TAAATATTGTTCTTGTTCTATTTCTTTCTGTTATTTTGTTTCCAAGAAACAATAACTGAGGTATCACCGGAATAACTTCCATCATCAAAATTGTCTTCCTTCACCCTCATCTCATATATAACTTCCTATTCTAACAAGCACGTATTCTTATAGGGACCCCAGTTCTGGCTCTTACGAATAAAACGGTTCATAGTTATCTGATTTGTTTTGGATAATGAGGAGTTTCATTCAGGACATCATAAATCCACTTGGACATCTTTTTCCCAACACTATACCCTTCTAAAACCAGAAGAAAATCTTTCCATTGGAAACTCTCGCCAAACCTCTACTCACCATGTCATTTGAAAGCAATAAAAAAAGAAAAGGATTGTCAATCCACATATCTCGCTGCAACAAGAGAACATCATGAACAGCTACTGAGTGTTGCCTTGAAAATAAGGTATAAGAAAAATATAGAGAAGTGCAAACAGTCATAGTCTAAGCTGCCTGATGTAAAAGGATGGCAACACGAATCTAAACAGATAAAAAAAGGAAAGAATAATTTCCAAGCAGATTGCATTAGATAAACTCGAAATTTCTAAACAATTTTAAGAAACTCTTGATATAAACTGTGTATTGTGTTATCAGTTTGAATTAAATAACAGAACAAGAATAATCGTCAGTAAAGTAAATCATATGCAATCCTTAGATCCTACATACATTAACAATATCAGATATAAGACTTAAATTCTGAAGTAATTCTCTAATTGGCATGATAGTCACTTGCAAAACTATTTCTTCTTTAAAATGGATCACAGCTACTTGCCACCCTTGTGGAAGCGGACAGTCAAAATATAATCCAGAAATTATAGTCATATTATTATAGCCATTTTGAACAGTAAGTACCTCAATCGACTTTCTGTGGAGAATTCTTGGAAGCGAGAGACCTGGTTAGACGAGACCCACAGCAGACGCACCTCATGCGAGCTTGGCATTTATGGTTCGTTGTGATGCACCAACTTTAGCTTGGACCTTTTTCACTTTTTTCTCTTTCCGACTCATCTGAAACAAGCTTTACACTGCCCAAAGGTTGCTGATCTTTTCCAGTTACGCTCGGGCAAGAACACCTTCACTGCATTTCTAGCTCCACTCGCTGTGCCTTTTGTCTTGCTTCCTCGAAAAACCATTGTTTGGGCCTATCAGATCTCTGGCATAATATACTACCGTCTTCAGGCTATCTATTGTATTCTGGCAGATTCAAGAGGTACAATCAATTTGCATTGAATGTTCTGAGATGCATCGTAATCAATCACAACTTCTTTCTTTTTGCTATAAATGTAACATAATCATTTACTGTAATGTATGTTAACATTTGCTTACTCGCTGGGCTTTGTGGGTTATTTGAGATGACAAGGATGAAATGTCTCTGTAATCGTAAGGTGGCTGTTGACTCATTCGAGACGACCGGGACGATTGACTTTCTCTCTTTTCGCACAGCACTTGTTGGATCAGAAACAAAACTCTCCATACTGCTAAAAATAGTTGAAGCAGGATGATAGTATAGTGTTATAATCAATAGCAAAAGTTCAGACGACGTAATGCTGTGATGTACGCAGGGCATCATTTTAGTAATTCATGTCTTCTTTGGCATCGGAGCAGGGAAAAGAGTAAATAACTACGAATAAGAGCAAAGATTTCAAGTTTGGAGCAAGCGCCAGTACCGAATACACGTGAACATAAGCTTCGTAGTTTATTCAGATTCGTTGTTCAAACAAATAATCATATTTTTAATTAATATTATCATATTAATTTAATAGCATTTTTTATTCTCTATTTCTTTTATTTTAAAAACTAAGTCCAGAGAAAAAAAAAGAAAATGAAAAAGAACTGGCTTGATTTTACTGACATCTTATTCAGCGACTGGAAAGTCAGCTACAGACACAATTACCTTCAGGATTATATAATATTTTCTACTCATCCTTTTCCTAGATTTGAAATTTTCAATAAACGAAACTTTGGCATGAAAACACAATCCAGTTCCTTGAAGACTATATTAAAAAAAAAACCACTTACCATAAATCTATAGTAATATACTATAATGATCGAAACCAAATTTAATTACTTCAAATTGTTGCATTGAAAAACGGGCTATCAGAGTTCGATTTAACATTGAATCGGAAGTATAGACTGAATCCACAAGACTACCCGCTACAAACACTGGATAGTTTGTACGAAGTCAACCAACGTATTACTATTCAGCAAATTTTGACGCAAGCCGAGGGAGAAATCATTACCTAGATGGAAATGTTTCAAAAACAAATCCAAATGAAATACCTATTAAACAAGTTTCTAAGAACCCCAAACGAAATCAATGGGAATTAAAGAAGGGCAATTTAATTGTCTGGCGTCGTAATGAAAAAAGCGTCAAATTCTAGAAAGCGACCTCTACAAAATAAAACCATATAATATCAGTGTCAGTAGACAGGTTGATAGTAATAGTTTAATGATCAGTAGATAATTCAGCAGTAGGCGAGGGAGAGTGATTGGAAAGGGAAAGGAGGCAGGAGGAGGAGGAGGAGGAGGAGATTGTGGCTTGTCTTTGAAACAATACATTGAACAATAAACTATAGTTAACTAGAGATAAGATGAGAAACGACAAATGGTTGAAAGGAAAATCATATTACAAGATTTGAACTGATTCTAACATAATCTTATGTAGACATCCCAATTCCCTACAACCGCATATAATAATTCCAACTGTACTCTTGTCGGATTTCTCAACTTCTCACCACATCCCAATATTTCCTCGGATTCTAGGATGTTGGAAGAAGGGATAGTAATGCTGCTATACTTCTGTAATATTGGAACAAAGTTAATGTTTACCTCCAAGTATACGTTCCAAAACGCAGGAAAGTTTAAAAAGGGGGGCACAATTTTTTATGGACGATGATATTACCTCAACATTGTGGCTTGTCATGATCATGTTTCAGTTAACATTACGTATAAAATAGATTAAGGAAACAAATGTTTAAATTATTTGATACATGTGTGTAACAGTTTACGTTTCCGGGGTTTTTATATTGGTCAATCTATATCCGCCAGAGAATCACGTCGCCTTTATGCGATCACGATCCAAATTTGGACCCACTGGTTAAACGCTTCTCGGTCAAACCGACAAGCAGTGTTAATTGCAGGTAAAGAGTTCTAAGTGGTCAACACGGACAGGAATGGAACACTATGAACATACTATGACTCTAACCGACCAAAAATTGAACCACTTGCGTTTTGGTTAATTCAAGGATATTTTACATAGCACGGTTTGCATTTTTGAATCTTGTGCAGAAAAGATCCAACTTGTTTTGTTCCCGGTTGATTGACTTCTCACTGAACCAAAATTAAGACCAAAATGTCCAAACAAAAAAAAAAAAAAAAGCTAAACCTCGTATTGAGCCATACTAAATTCGAAAATTTTAAATTCAAATTTTATCATGTAAAAAAAAAAAAAATCAGCATTTGACTTAGTCAAAAAAAAAAAAAAAAAAAAAGCTAAAACCGATTGAACCAACTAAATCGAATTAAATTCAATTTTAATTAAAAAAAAAAAAATCATTTGCTTAGTTTGCTCTGGTTCTAACCAACCTGATGCTCATCCTTACAAGCAACATAGGATAGATGCTCCTAGCATTGAATGACATGTGAGTTAATGGATTCAATTTATTTCGTTGTTAGATATAAGACTGTGGATAAATCAAGCCACTCATAAATTATATTTAAAATTCAATTCAAAAATATATTTTATTTGAATTTATTTGATAAAACTAACCAATTAGGTTCAAGTTTATTTATCGAACCTATTAATTAATAAGTAGAATTTAAATATTAGTATAAATTTCGTTAAGTGACTCGCGAACTAGTTTGATTAAATCACCTTGTCAATGAGCTGAATCCCAGCTTATAAGCAAATCATAACATATATGTTTTTATTGTACTTTAAAGTTTCTAAACTTGAGCTCAATTCTTTTCCACGAGCCAAGTTCGAATTGGCTTTTAAAGGTAGAAGAATCATGTACAGTAACTTCTATAAATGTATAAAATGCAGTTAGTGAATTAAACTGCAGTACAGGAACCACTGAACAGGATGAGTCCCGACTTTCAACCGCACAAACTGTCAGAAATATACGTTTGCCATTTATTCGTAAGGCACGGTCTGTCGTCGCGTGACAATTCATAGATTGTATGAAATTTCACGTTACATGAGTTTCTGCCTATTTAGTATAAACTAGGTGTAGACTATTTTCGAACGTCTATATTTTCAATTCAATATAGGATAAACATGATTTATTGCAAGAATACATAAGGTATGTAAATATCTCCTCCAATCAGCAATTGCATGAATGTAATATTTTTTATTTTTTATTTTTTATTTTTTACTCAAAGAAGGAAACTATTAAGTGTGTTAGTCATTTCTCTATCGGCTCGGGCTACCGTTTATGTGTTGACGTCCCAATTTAAGACACCCCATAAGGTGCATTGATAGAAGACGCTGCCCCTTCCTACAGGATTATAGCGGTCCTCATATGTAACGGGATGCTGTCGTGGATGATCGAATATGAATAATCAAGCAGAATGATCAACGTCTTTACCATCAGGCCACCACTTTAGGCGATGAATATAGTAGATTTATGGATCACTTTCTCTTTATTATTTTAATGAATTATATCACATATATCCTCAATTGAATTTTAATTACGAGATTCCCCTTCCTAGATCAAATCCCATAATTAATTTTTCCACGTTCTTACTATAAATTACACTCACCCTAATTATATATATCTCACCAGTCTTACTTATTCTCATATATCTCAACCAGTCCTCGAATTTTCACATATCTTAACCAATCTTCAAAACCCTAATTTCCATTTTCCTTTAAAGATCAGATCACCATGGAGAGGCTAGCCAATCTGAGAGGCATAATCTCAAGCGGCTGCAATATTTTCCTTGTGGTCTTCAACTTTTTGACAATGGCAGTAGCAGGCTTCATTTTGTGGGCTGGTTTTGCCCTAGCTAGTGGCAATACCTACTGTGTTCAGTCGATATCGACGCCCATGATTTCCATAGGATTTATTTTGCTAGTTGTTTCAATTCTAGGCTTAATCGGTTCTTGCTGTCGGATTAACACTCTTCTTGCCGTTTACTTGGTCATACTGTTTCTTGTTACTGTTTCACTTGTCGTTTTTACTGTATTTGCTATTGTCGTAGCCAGTAAAGGAAGTACAAGTAAAGATGGCAAGCTTAGTCTTGATAACTACTCCAACTGGCTTCAAAAGAAAGTGCAGAGCAATAAAAACTGGTTCAAAATCAAAGCTTGTTTGCAAGAATCTGAATTATGCTTAGTCCTTTCCAAGAAGTCTAATATGACTGAATATCAACTCTTTCATTCCAAATTATCTTCCATTCAGGTAAGTGCAACATTTGTCTACCGAGGTAACGACTGAGATTCTCAGGATTTACCCATGAACCAAACTAATGAAAAATACATTTTTCAAAAACGATATATGAGTCGACATATAGATCGAGTTTAGTCAAGTTTTATCCGCCTTTAATTCATTTTAAATTACTTTTGTGTAGGATGGATGTTGCAATCCATCGAAAGAGTGTGGATTCACTTATGTTCGTCCAACAATGTGGAACACCATAGATGGGAATTTTAGCAACCCAGATTGCAAAAAATGGAGCAATAATCCAAAAGAGCTATGCTATAATTGCGAGTCATGCAAGGTTGGATTCCTCAAAGACACAAGGATTAGCTGGTTAACCATTGTAAAAAGCAATGCTTTCTTCATCACTTTCCTTTTTGTTCTCTTTGTTGCTGGCTTTATTGCGTTTAAGAGGAATTAATTATGGCTATTAGTATTAACTTCGATAAATAACTATGATGTCTTTTAACTTTTGTTTTGGCTCGCTATCAAATTCTTTTGTTCAAAATGTTAGCATTTTACTGTTGAGTCGACACCTTTTGTGGATGCAATATATTAAAATTACTATTCATGTAATTAGATGGCAGCCCATAAAATGAATTATTATATTATATAAATGTTAACAAGGCCCAATGGGCTACCCAATAAGAAAGTGAACGTGGCACATGAAGCAAACAGGGAAACGAAGGTCGGGAGAGAGATGGTAAGGTGACGGGGAGGGTTACGTGGATGACGCGAACTGCGTCAGGAGAGAGGTCAAATCTGAAGAGATGGGGTGAAAAATGGAAAATCTACAAATTATCAATCAACAATCAAACAGTAAGTGACGTGTTTGATTGATCAGACCACTGATGTTGACGCATTTCACCTCTCTCTTTATTTAGACAGTATCGCGCGAGAAGCGCGGGTGCTCCCTTTTCATCGCTACACGTATGGCCCACGTCAACGTTATCGCACTCAAAAATCTTAGCACTCTCCTGGGTCCCACTCCCTTAGTTTTTGTAATACAATTTTCTTTTGATAATAGTTCTTTAAAAAATTAATAAAAAATAATCTTGATTGCTGTATTCTCTAATCAAGAATAATTTTATAAGAACCAGAAAAAATATTTCTATAATTTTACCCCTCGTATATGAAAATTTTAAAAAATAAACAATATATTAAAATTTCATATTGGTCGAACCAGTAAAATGAACAGGTTAGATAGCGAAGTGAATTATATTAGCAGACCAACCTTAATTATTTATTGGTACTGAAATATCACAGCTGAAGGTTTTACCATAATATAAAATATAAAATAAAATTTAATTTGGATGTACAAGGGAAAATTAACATTACCATATTTAATTAGATTTGTCCAACATGGCCACTGTTAGGTCCTCCCAATGTTAGGACTACTCCTTGAAGATCATTTCTCTGCTTTGGTTCTTTGGCTAATGTTGGACCACCTGTTGTTACTGGATATGTTCTACTCATTTGAGTTTCCCGGAAACCCTGACCGGCCGGAAATGTCGATGACTGCCTTGAAGGCTTTAAGGTTTCAATGTGAGAAAATGGTAGACTATTGATAACTTGGTTTGCTGGAGTTGACCCTCTTGAGGGAACTTCAGGTGCCTAATAACATAAAACTTACTAATATGTTATTGCTAAGTAACTTGAAATGAAGATGCTTAAAAATGAAAGAAAACGTAAAAGTATTGAATAAAGGAAGCTTACAGGTGCAAACAAGACTCCTCGGAAGATTTTCCCATTAACAGTTGCAGTCATCAGAAGACCTGAGTCAAATGCTCCATCAACTCTGCCGCGGACCTCGGCACCAATCTTTTAAATTAAAAGCCAAATAAAAGAAAATGTTAAGCAAGAATAATGAAGAACATACACAATTGACAATCCAAACTTACCAGGTTTTGAATAGGGCCTGCAGCAATATCTTTCGGTTTTTCTTCGATAGCTGGGAAACGAAGTCCTTGTTTACCTCTACTATGAACAACATGAACACATTGTTCAGGTCTTTTGTGATGTCTTAATATTTGGAGATTGTATGGAGTGCTTGTTTGGAGTGTATTTCCAATTAATTCTTTTTGGTAATTAGTAGCATCATTAGGTTGGCAATTTCTTGGAATTTGATTTAATTTGAACAAATTAAATCCTTGAGCAGGTGTAATGGAATCTGCCGCTTTTCTAACTGGAGTCTGCTCTTGATCGGATTGCGATGGAGAAGAATGTTGAGAGAGTGAAAGAGAATGTTCTTCCTGTTCCGATTCAACCTCCCATGACTTTGAATTAGCGGTTCTTTTCCTTTTTGTATATGGAATATCTGAAATGCAAGACATAATGTTAAGAATATTTACCCTTATATATGCTAATGAAAGACGCAATCATATCATTTTAAACCAACCAGAAGTGAACCAAAAAGCTTTTTTCAATTCTGATTCCAGTCCATGAACTCCTTTCCTGACTGAGTTATTTTCAGCTCCTCCAGGAGCCTGATTCCAATGTTTTCCGAAAATTTTGTACTCGGAAATATTGTGACGACCATTAGGATGTGTTGCTCCAAGCTGCAAGATCAACAACTCGTTCAGAGGACGTTCATCCTCTCCGCATCTGCATACATGCATACAAAAACTAAGAAAATAACTTTCACTTTCAATAATTTCGTCACAATTAGTATTAGTGAAGCCAAAAGGTTACCCTCCATAGATAGCAATATCCGAGTCCGTAACAACAGCAGTATGAGAAAATCGCCCTTGAGGTTGCTGGCCACATATATCGAGTCGAGTCCACGAACAAGCAACCACATCGAGAACCCAAACATCATTGTAATAATGTTTATCTCCAACTCCACCAATGACATAAACCTGCAGAATGCATAAAAGCACATCTATGATTATGTGCTATCTTATCCAAAAACCAATTTGAAAAAGAAACACTCAAATATTACTTGCCTTGTTCCCGATATTTACAGCAGAATGACCTGCTCTGGCACGCGGCGAACATCCTTGAACGATAAGCTGTCAGGAAAAACAAAACATCAAATGTTAAGACAATTTACCATGTAAAAAAAAAAAACATCACTTGATGACTGCAAATAAGTTCAATACCTTTGTCCAAGTCATCGTATCAGTATCGAGTACATCAACATCGCCATAATACCGGTCATCGCAATCACCACCATACACAAAAAGTTCATTACCTATTGCAACAGCACTATGACTATCCCTGGGAACAGGAATATCTCCCTTAACTGCCGGACACCTCCATCGCATAGTCTTAAGGTCTAAAACATGCAAATCATTTAAATAATTTGCTTCACCTTCTCCACTACCCCCAAATATCATTATCATATCATCACCAATAAGCGTGGCAGTGTGACTCTCGCGAGGACTTGGAGGAGTTCCTTTACATTCAGGGTGAAACCATTCTTTCGTAACAAGATCTAATACATGAAGATCATTTACTTTCTTAGAGCCATTAGTACCTCCAAATACGAACATTTGACGCCCCACAACAACAGCACTATGGCTATCTCTCGGGCCCGGTCCTTGCCCAGTAGTTGCAAGAGTATCCCAAGACATAGTATCAAGATTTAGAGTTAGGACATCACCGAAATGCAAACCCCCGAAACATCCCTGAAATCAGAAAACAGAGTTAGTATATTTTGACCATGGAGGTAAAGAATGAAAACTGCTAGACAACACGTTACAAATGAGATAGTTCAAGAACCTTTTCTTTTGGTACTGTCTTCCATTTTATTTTTCCCTTTCAAGAATTAGGAAACATGATAGAATTGGCATAACCAAAATTAGAAGCAAGTTTTTCTATAATTATTATACTAAAGAGAAAAATCCGATAAGTGAAATTCATCATCTTGTCTTCGATTGAATGTTGCAAAGACAAAGAAAACAAAAAGTAAATAATCATTATGAGGAAACTATTTTCTTTTTTATTTTCTTGTTCCTGCAATTTACTATATGGAAGCATAAATATAACAATAAAATAAATAGCACAACAAATGGAAAGAAAAGGAAAGAGGCTAAGAGAGATAACCCAAAGCATGAAAAATTGCTACTATATCAAGAAAGCAGAAAGAAAATTAGCCTCCTTCCTTCCAACAAGAACTCTTCAAAAAAGTACAGAAATTATATAACCAACACCATACAGAACAATAAAAAATAGGAAAAACCTAAGATTCTTGAAGAAAGTTTAGGTTTCCTTTGCCAAATATATTACTAGACAAAGAATAAAGGGCCAAATTCTAATTATAACATGAAACAAAACTAGAGAGAAAAAAAATAAAAAAAACATCTCATGACTTAACAATAAAGAATAAAAAATAAGGTAACCAAAAAGCCAAGTTTATCAAGGTTTGCACTTCAGACCCAAAAAAATAAAGAAAGTAAATAACAAAACATACCCCAAAGACATAAACAAATCCATGAGAGTAGCAAGCAGAGTGCCCCCATCTTTGAGAAGGATTAAATCCAAGCAACTTAGGATAGAGCCACATTGCGTTTTTTGTTGCAGTTTCATCTCCAAGAGACCCCATTATAATTAATTCTCTCTCTGTCTTTCTTTCTTTCTCTGTCTGTTTGAGTGTCTGGAAGCTGGAAGTTTAGTCTACTTGTTAAACAGTATTTAGCCTTGACAAGGATAAAGAAAAGGGTGGAGGAAAAAATAGAGTAGAGAGGGTCAAAAATAGAGTAATATATCAACTATCAGTGTCAATAGACATGAAAATATGGGCGCTTTCAAGTCTCAATCACTGTGGCAACCAACATCAACAGGAGGTTGAAGTGAAAACAGCAATTTAATTGATAATATTATTTATCTTTAATTCTTTCTTGCACCTTTTAAAAGATATTCTTCATCAAAGAAAAATAAAAGAAAATTCTTTGCTGTTAGAGAATATATAAAACAATTCATGTAAAATCATAAGAACTTGACTGTTGATTGAGAAACAAAGACAGAAAGAGAGCTTTTTTTATTTTTCTTTTTTCTTTTTTTGCATTCTTTTTAATTCTAAATTTGTTTTTACAAATATAATTGTTTGGTCACTTTTCATACTTGTCTAACTGAAAATGATGGAGAGTGGGGGCATTGGGTTGTGGGAAATGATGGGAAGGTGTTTGATGAGTGTCATTTGTAAGGATTTTTTGACAGCATTATAAGTTTATTAGGAGAAGGACAGGAAGAAAGCAAGAAAAGAGCTTTTGTTTCCCTTTTCTTTTCTGCTAAACTCACATGTTGGGTTTTAATTAATTTCTTTCTTTCTTTCTTTCTTTCCTTGCTAGAATGATAATATTGGGATTGATGAAAGGAAAGTTTTCCTCTCCATACACTTTCTTTTTTTCTTTTTCTTTATTTATTTATATCCATTCACCCACCTCCCAATTTTCAAGGTGGGTTATTGATGTGGATCTAGAAAGAAATGTCTCTTCTCTAGGCTCTTTGGGAAAAGGGTGGGGCTTTGTGTTGTGCAAATTCTTTTCTAGTTTTGGAAAATGGAATGGTTTTTGTTTCTCTCAAAAGGTTTAGGTTTCTGAAAGTTCAAAAGCATATAATTAATTACTTAGTTAATTAGTAGAATACATAAGAGTTTGGCATTTTCTTTTTCTTTTTTTTAAAATTTTTCTACCTTTGTCTATACATAACATAACAAGCTTAGTTATTATGAGTTTGATATGATATATAGTATAGTGTATGCCATGAAACTTGTGCTTTAAAAAAAAAAAATGATATGACAAGTCTGTTGGGTCATGCACATGGAGACCATTTTTCCTACTGCTATGACTCCTTTTTCCATTTTCTTTTATTTCCCTTTTCTCCCTTCAAAATTACCAAAATTAAAGTTGTTCAATAATTGAGACTGTCATTTCCTTCAACAATTAAATTAAACCTGTCATATATAATTTCACCCCTTAGCTACTCAAAATTACTTATTAAAAAATAATTAAAAAAAGAAAATTGATTGGTCCTCTATGGTGAGAAGAAAGAAGCTGCAAAACAAAAACATAGTATTGGACGCACGAAACGAGGGAAGACGTAAAATACACGCGAAGAACACGGGAGATTTTTACTTTCTCGCCCTTGATAGATTCACGTGAGGGACTTGCCCTTTCTTTTCTTTGTAACTTGAAATCAAACCTTTTTTTTTTTTTCCTTCTATTCAATTATTCACTTCATTGCTTCCTTTATTTTTAATTTCTTGTAAAGGGAAAAAAATAAAAAAGACAAGACATCTGTCTTATCGAGGATGTGTTAATGTTGGTGTTTCAAACTTTTTGTACTAAACAGTAGTAAATTAATCCATTGTCATTTGATTAATTTGAATCAAATCGATTTAATCAATCATTTTTAACTATTTTTTAATGATTTTTTCAATATTTCTTTACGAAAATTGAAACTGAATTCGATTTACTAAAAATACACCAAATTAAATTAGTTATACCAGTTTAACCACGAATGCTCAATCCTCAATATACTCGAAAATAAGTCATTCTTTACCTTTTTTTATTATTATTATTATTATTTTTTATAACCTTGCATGTACAAGAATAAGAATTTCATCGAATGCATAAGAAGAGATTACACGTACAAAAGTAAAAACCAAGGAAATTAAGGCTTATTTTTATATTTTTTTTTCTTTTTCAAATTCAAGATAGAAACAGTTAATAAAAATTTGCATTTCTTGGAATATGAATGGCTCAACGTGACGGGTACGTGCAGTTGATTGATATCATATCATAACTTATAACTATTCCATTACACAAACCCACATATACTGTTCGAGATTCCCTAATAAAGAGAGAATAACCAAAAAAAGATTTTATCCTTGTAAATTCAAACTAATGGAGTGTTAAATGTGCAAATTACGAATATTTATGTTTCTTTTGCAAAATAAGGATCCGAAAACCACTTATAGGGAAAGACCATCATGAAACTCGAAGCCAGATTAAAGATTTGATTACCCACATACTAAAACTTCAACCAAAAAAATGGATTCCTTCCAAAGAATTGAATAAATCAAACGATTTACATGATTTACATAGCGTTATGGGGAATAAAACTTTGTTTCAACATTGTCACTATACATGGTGCAATATGATGTGACTGATTTTCACACCAAAGCCGTGCAATTATAGAAACAGCTACCAGTAAGTTACTAGAGAAGATGTTACCTCAGGCTTCCTGCACCAGCAGACGCTAGAACATGTGTTCTGATATTGGCATACCTTTGTCTTCTGTTATAGTTAAAATGCCTTTTACTATAGCAACTCAGAAACAGTTCAGAAAAGAAAAGCATTCTGTAACCATTTTTCTACCCAGAACGAATCAAGGATGATAATCAGATAGCGAAAAATCAAACCATGCCTTCGACATAATTTAGATTTTTTATGTCTGGAAAACATCTGGAAAACATGCATATACTTACATTAAGAATCATAATCTAGACTCGTAGGAAAAGAGATTTCTTTGTGCATCTGTTGGATTCAACAACCATTGGCAGAACATCCATGCTGCACCAACCACTGATAAAAGCGATAGTATAGCCAAAAATCCAAAATGTGAAGCATCATTAGCAACTATTGCCACTCCCAACATTACTGACTCCGCCAAACTTGCAATAGAAACCTCTGTTGCCCCTATAAGATTTGCTTTAGATGATGGGATTCCGGTTTGGAGAATCTGTGCCCCCACAACATCATATGACATGTGTCCCAATCTTGACAAAACCTATACATATCGAGTTTGGTCAAATCACCTCTGATGTCTCAAAATAATTGCAAGCAAGTGGGAGAGAAGAGTAACAGCTTGCATGCACCTACATATGATATATCTTGATACTGATATGAGATGTCTGATATAATTCCCAGAAGTATACACACCAGAGTAGTAATGGTTTTGGAGTTTATTTATCATGTTTCAAACTAAAAATTTATTTTCCAAATTATAAACTAAAAATTGATTTCGTAGTATATGTATGTAATGAGGAAAAAAAATGATTCTTACAATCAATCCCAAGAAAAAGAGAGGAGGGCTGTTCTGTGAAAGAGCTCCACTCCAATATACAGCAACAGCTAGGGTGAGAAGTGAAGCCTGAAATACCAAACCAGCAGCTCCAGCCTGCTCAAAGAGAAAAGAAATCTAAGAACCAGAACTATAACTCAGAAAATTTAACAGATCTGTAGCAACTATGTGAAGCATAAAGTAACCTTCAAAATGCCCAGCTGCCTGACCAAGGTTGCAGATAGGAATGTTGCCACAACGCCCATTGAAGCACATAATCCACTAAAACCCCCAATCATAGATGGATTTACTCCTGTTAGCAAAGGGAAGCACAGAATCCACATAATTTATATTAGCAAAGGGAATTAAATGAAGAATGTCAAAAGGTTTACCAAATTAAAGCTTATAAAAAGTAAATCCTCATCAATGGAACTTCAAAATGAAATGAAAGATGAGATCATCTTAGAACCAAATAAAAAATTGTCATCAGCTGACATATCAAAACAGGGCAATAATCAACCACACAGAGATACCTCGAGAAAAGACATACGGATATTCAATATACCAACAGCATAAGCATGTATGGTTACAGAAAGAAGAATATTGGTGATAACTTTAAGAAATCAAGTTTTGAGCAGATTTCTAAATGTGAGTTGACATTGCTTCAACCTTGAAGTCAGATACAGAAGTAAAGAACCCTGGATCTGAAATTCTTTTAACACTTGAGATCTATAAAAAGTGAATGACAATTGGGAAAAGGTTCTGAAAAGTACCACGTTGTGTTAGAAATGCTGTCATCAAACTGCCCGGAGCAAGAACAACATTAAAGTATAGAAGAACATAAGAAAGGCTTGCAGGAAGAGCTGGCTGTTGCATGTATTCCTTCCACCCAAGCTTGATGGTTTCCAGTCCTCTATCCACTGCTTAAAGGAAAAGATAAATATAGCCAGAATTTTTGAACCATTTTAGAATAATAATATCCCGTAACTTTTACCTATGCTGTCAGCATCAGCAGTAGCTCCTTCAGTTGACTGTTTGCAACATGTCTGGAAAGATCTAGTGTGGTCAAGCACCCCAGTAGACAGCTTGTTGGTCAATATTGTTAGCGCAATCTGATAAAAAGGTGTTGATAGTTACAAACAATGCAGAACCCATTATTTAGCAAGAAGATACTAAAAGAGTAATTACCATAACTGGTAATGACCATATCATTAGACCAGCAGCAATCTTCAAGCAGGTCACTGGATCATATTTGGAGAGAAGAATGCCAAACAAGGATGCTCCAGCTATCTGTAATTAGTGGTTACATGACAAGTGAAAATGATTTTACCAACAGCCTAATATATGAGGGTAAATAAGAATGAATATAAAATGCTAAGTTCACACCAATTTAACGATAGAATGCTCCCCAGTAGTTGGAAATGAAGAATCACGCATGGTATTTCTTATATAATCCATAAGTAATCTTTTGAAATTGTGAATACCTCACACAGAAGATCAATTCGACTAAGAACAGCATTAGCTTGTGCAAGTGCAATTGGCCTATTCATTCCAGCTAACTGTACACACGAGAACATTACATTAGAGCGTATATTGTGATAAACTTCCCCAAAGAAGGAGAACAAAGAAAAGGATAAACACCAAATATATAAAGTATCAATGGAAGCACAACAAGCCAGTACCAGCACAACCCAATCCCGCTCCATAGCCACCCCCAATGCTACCCCACATAGCCTCTCGATAGCCCCTGTAAAAACAAGTGCAAGAAACCATGGCCGGAGAAGAATGGATGATGCAGAAGTAGGAGAAACAGTATGTGCATGAATGATCATAGTTGCAGAAAACAACTGAGCAGCCACCTGAAAGAAGCAGATGAATGAAGAGCAAAATCAGAAGAGAATAGTCCTTATCCAACTATTTAATTTATAAAATAACAGAAGGTACCTGGACTACATTTAAACCAATTGAAGAAGGTATTCTGGGATGATAATCCATAAGTTTGCCAACCAAAGGACCACCAACAATTATTGCAAGCTGTTCAAGACAGAATTTGTCAATAAATACCTTCCACCTCTAAATGTATTGATTCAACTTAACTATTGGACAAACCACAACCTTGGTGAAGAAACCCATGACTGCCACTGGTAGAAGGCTTGGATGAATCAATGCAATTGCAGAAGGCCAAGCGAAATTCCATAGTTGTTCTACTAAATTCCCAGCCAGGAAGGTAGCATAAAGTGCTGACATACAAGTGATAAAGGTGATTTGATATCAGTTCAAGAAAATATTTAATCCTCTAACTGGTAAAGAACTGATTTTGAGGAAAGGTCAAAACCTATGTAATCACTAAAGTAAACTAGTTGGAACACTTACTGAGCCAGAAAACTACAAGTTCAAGCAAATTAAGTATCTACCACCGGTAGAGATTTTCTAACTAAAATGGATGTCAGACATCAAAAGAAATAACTTTATTATGCAACATACAACATTACCATTGGAGATGCTAGCCAAACATACCAAAGATGTCAAAGATATTGCTTAAGTTTTGAGAAAGGAGAATTTATGAATCCCTCTCACTGAAATTGACTCAATGAAGCTGATTAAAACTCATGATCAGGAGAACGAGATGTTTCTTAAACACACAAACATATTAACTTGATTTTCAATCGCAGAGACTTGGCATTTTTTACCTCTAATTACCAAAAGAGGACTTAAGTTCAGAATTTCAAAATGCACTACTTGCACATTATGGAAACTTCAGGATCCTAAATGATTAAGCTGCATATTTATATCATATGCTTGATTATAAGAAGAGATTTCTGTTTCAAACTAATAAAAGAGAGTAAGTAGACTTAAGTAGAAGACCCTTTACCATATAATCCAACTGGATGAGCTGGAGTTGCTGCAAGAGCATTTTGCTCCTCCTCTGATAAAACCTAAAAGCAAACATCAGAACGACAAAAGGATAATAAGTCGTTATGACATACAGGCACTAAGTTGAGATGACATTCAAATCAACAATAATAAATCAGAAAGGAACATACAGGCAATGAAGTCAAAAGACTATCCACAAAAGTCACTTCAGCTAGTAAACTCAGAGGTTCAGCCTCAAGGATATCAGAATTAATATGAATAATAGGGGTTGAACATTCATGCTCAACTATTGATACATTTGGAACCTCATCATCGGTGAGAACATGGCTGCACTCTAAGTCAGAGTTTGTAAATGAGCACCTTGAATTTAAATTGCTGAACCTACAACAACCGCAAAGCAAAAGGATAGTTAATTGCTACCGTAATTATCTAAGTTACCAGAAAATTCTTGACATTTGATTTTACCGCCCATATATGTATTCATTTAACTCCCACTTTATGAATTGACTCTATGCATCATTGAGAATGCAGTTTCCGCAAATGTGAATAGGATTCAAAATTTATTCACATCTATTCTTGCTAACGAGAAAATAGAAACAACAGCAGAGAAAACGAAAAATAAATCAGAATTAGATATAAGGCTTTATGTCATTATGGCCTTAAAAACAGAAACAAAAGCATTAGTTGATGGAAACGATTAAAGAATACTCCTTTGATTGCCAGAGAGTAGAGAGCAAAGAAAAAGGAAAATTGAATCCACTTGAAGGAAAGAATAACGTCAAAATAAGATAAGACTAGGCCCCACGATAAAGTTGATAAACTTCAAAGAAGCAAAGTTGCTATATTTTTCCACTTCAAAAAGTAACAGAGAGCCCCAACTTGATTCATCCACAAAAATAAGTAAATATTCAAATTTTTAGCTTAGATTGTCCTTGCATTTTCTCAGCAAGCAAAAAGACAATAAGCTTTTTATCCTGTCAATTCCAAGACTTAATAAACTAAGCTAATTACGCTGCAACCAATAAGTAGAGCTCCCAAAGACCATTAATTTACTCAAAAGTCCAAATTCCTTAACAAGCAAAATACCTGAACGAAGATGAAACAGAACTAAGGTTCAACCATCGGCGAGTAGCGATGCGATAGCGGATTCTGGAAGCATGCGGTGCCGATAAAGAAGCTTGCCGTATCGAGAAGAGATAAGAATTAAAAGAGAGAGTGTGTGAAACTGAGACCATAGCCATACTAATTTCAACTGCTTTAACTTTAACAACTTCAAGTACCCCAACTTGAAGAAGAAGGACGAATTGGTACAAAATTCCTGATTATTCATGCAGCCTCCGAGAAAGGATAGTAAAGAAAAACAACACTAAAGTGTCCTTTGGCCTAATTTCTGTGGGTACATTTCATTACAAATGGTGTCAGAGTTTTAGACGATTGTATTATGAGCAAGAAAACGTTTTTTCTTTCTGGGTCAGTTTATTTTCAGATGGGTGTAGGGGTATTACGAGCAAGAGAGGCTCATCAATGCGGTGGTGTTGTGTTATGGAGTCCGCCAGTGGGCGGACAATCCAAGTAGGAGTCTTGCAACCTGTGTGTGGCTATAAGTTTTGATGAGTCATTATTCATTAGGTTTTTTATTTTTGTAGAAAGAAATATTTGGACCAATCAGATTTTGCCATGCTGCTTTGTGAATTTCCACAAATAATTTCTAAAATTCAACCTACACACCAAACAATTTAGAAACTTCCTTATAAATGACACCTATAATCTAACCCGTTGTTTTCAAAATTATGATTTTTTAAGGGAAAGAAAAACAAATAGATGACACCTATAAATCTAACCCAATGTTTGAAAACCATGATTTTTTAAAGGAATGAAAATATGTGTAGAAAATAGAAATTAGGATAAAATTTACTTAAGACCAATGAATCAAATTGATAAAAATATATAATTTAAAAATTATTGTCACTTTATTCTTTTTCTAGAAGAATAGTCATAAATATACTCTTCATGGATTTGACTTTCTTTATTTTAAAATATGTAAGAAAATATAATTTATAATTTGCCTTAGAAAATTTTAGATAGTGTTTTGCTTGGGCTTTAAATCGATATAACTACTTTTAATTAGAAAATTATAATTCTTCCAATTAATTAAATTTTATATCAACATGTGAAAGCTTCTTTTTAAATTCTAGTTTCATCCTTCTTTTTTCATAAATAAAAAGATAAAGCTATTATTCATTATAATGAATAGCATATATATATTGAGAAAATAAAATACAATTAATAAAATATTAGAAAATAACAAGATAGACCTAAAATAACATAGATTGGTAGATCTCCCCTTTACATCTGATTTAAAATTTATAATGTCAAAATAAAAAAAAAAAATTGTAAATAGATATTCACCCTAAAAATATTACAAATAAAAATTGGAGCCTCTCTCTCCAAATAGTGTGAGTTTATTATTTTGAAAATTTATATCCTTATGATAACTTTAAATCCCTTACCTCAGAAAAACACATATACTTATTGAATTTGATTTATATTTTGCAAATAGTTTATTCTCATTTGCTCCTTTTTTTTAAAAAAAATGAAATTAAAATTACATTCGAAACAAATGACTTTTATTAAAATAGTACAGCAAATCTTAGTAAAAAAGAATAAGATACAACAAGACATTCTGTTTTTCCCCCTTTTTTTTTCTTCTTTAGGGGAAATAATCATCGGATTTGAGGTTGTTCTTGAATCCATCTACTTGAGGTTGTTGTTGAATCCATCTATCTCCATTTATGAAGTGATTAATATTAGTTAATTTCTTCAAATCGCGAGTTGATAGTGTTTTCTCCCATTTGACTCGTCGAGATTTATTTGCTCCCGGTCCAAAACAAGAAACTTCCGAGTACTTAATACCATTCCTTAATTATAAACAAAAAATTCGATTGTTAAAATTATGAAATTAACTATTAGTAGGCATTAAGATTTAAGAACATATCAAAGATATGTCAATCAATTGTAGTTTTTTTGATATATGTCAATCAATTGTAGTTTAGTAAGTCTTTTAGAAGTGGGAGATAGTGTCGAGTTCGAGTCTTTTTTATTATAATAGTTTTCACAAATTTCATGAGTAAAAAAAAAAAAAAAAAAAGGTGCGGAAATCTTACTCTCGACCAATAAAAAACCATGCTTCCCAACCCTCAGGCTTGACAACATCGGACAGGTAACTTGTCCTGAACACCACTGTTGAATATTGACCATATGCTCTTCCTAGATAAACAGGGCCAGTCCCATATATATAACATGACAGGAATGAAAAACCATCTTCATCGTTTGGGCTTCTCCTCCCTTGAGCTGTAATATAACCTGCTGTTCCATTTAAAATTCCAGTTTTTGCATTTATAACACATCTCTGCACCAAAAAAAAAAAAAAAAAAAAAAAAAAAAAAAAAAAATCAACATAAACATTGAAAAAAAAAAAAAAAAAAAAAAAAAAAAATCAACATAAAACTGGAGGACTTTTTTGTTGATTAAGGCAGTTATTTTGGTTTCCGAGAAACACACTCGCTGAAAGGATAAAAAACCTTTATGTTCTACTAGTTATTTTTATTGGTTCTTTACGGAGAAAAAGCAACGAATTCGTTGGCTAACAGCTTAAATTGTGTGGCAGGTACGCGAAAATGGTTCAACAATTTCTTCTGGTTATATGAAAAAAGAAAGATCTATATTTAATTACCTGGTATACTGATTGGCCTCTCCCCCAAATGAAATCTATTGCACCTTCAATATAGCAAAACTTAAAATAGTGACGGCCCTTGAAATCTGTTAAAGTGTCTTGCACTCCATAAAATCCACATCCATAGAAACTTGCCTTATCGGAATATATGGTTGCTGCCGGTGCCCATAAAATACTTCTTCCGGCTGCCCTTGGTATGACCAAATTATAAGTGTTCTAAGAAATAACAAAAAAATAACAATAATATATCAGCATTTGAAGGCTTCTAATATGAATATTTAGTAACCCCATCTTTATTTAAACAAATCTTTGACTTACATTTTTTTTTTTTCCAAAAAGAACAAATATAAACATTCACTAAATTTATTAATAACTTTTACGATGAATAAGGCTCGAACCCGAAACCCTTCCACCCGTTACATCCATTACAAAACGGGAAAAATTCAATAAAATCATATTTGATTGAAAAGGTTAATTCACCTTGAACGAAATATTAACCGCAACAAAATTATCTGCATTCAAAATAAATGTAGAGCTTCGGGTAGAGCTACCACAATCTCCATATTGAATCCGAGTTGTTTTCCTGCTCTCTCCTTGAAGAATAATAAACTGTTTATCTACAGGGACTTCAACTTTTTCACTAAATACATAAAAAAATATATATATTGAGCTTTAATTATTAAATTATTTTTTGGAAACTAATGAAAAAATGGGTTTCAGAATGTACTTACATGTAAATACCTGGTTTTACATGGATGAGAGTCCATTGATTGTTTTTTGAAGGCACAGAGTCAATGGCTTTTTGAATGCCAGTGAAGTGTCCTCTGCCTTTTTGATCAACTATGATAGTTTTTGCAATTGTTGCTTCTTCTTGTTCGTAGTGACTGGTTCTGGTATAGTTTGCTTTGGATATACCAAGAAAGAGGAAGAAGAACACCATTACAAAGTAGAGGTTGAAATGAAGAAGAGACATTTTTTATTTTATTTGGAAAATCATATGATGATAAAATACTTGTTGTTTATAGCTTCTTTTGTCCATTTTAAAGAATCATTTTGTTATGATGTCATAATTAATTTATTATTTTTTTTAGGTAAGTATTGAATGTAAGAAAATATTTTGCAAAAATATCTAGGATAAATAAAGAGAAATCTTCTGTTTAGATTAATTTTTGTAAGAAAATTAGTCTATACCCATCTTTTAACTTCCATAATAAACATTTTGGTGATTTTTTTTCTTTCATTCATCAATAATTTGGTGATATGGAGAATCTATATGTATTTGGTAGAATTAAATTTATCTCTTTAATAATCCATATGTCAAATAATCCAAATGTCAAATGAGTTACGTGATAAAACACGTGTTGCAAGAAAATAACGTCCGGATATAGGTAAGAAATTTTCGGATTTTGATAGTTTTATGTAATGAAATTGCAATTAATTTGTATTTAATACAAATAAGAGTTGAATAATTATATCAAATATGGGTAGGAATTAATTTTAGAGAATATAAGTTCGATTTTTCAAAAAATCACACTTGCTGAGAGTTTTAAAAAAATATTTATACTCTAGAGTCGGAATTTCCAGCTTGCTGTTCAGTTTCTTTCTATGATTTTTTTTTTACTAAATCGGTAAATTAGTAAATTTTAACAACGGGAATGGTTAAAAAATAACCGTTTCTAAAAAGTAACCGTTTATATTAATTTTAATATATTATTTTTAAGAGTATTAGCAAAGCTTTTAAGTAAGATCAATTCTCGTTTAACTTTTAATGTTTGATGATAAAATTCATAAGTTACAATCTCTATTTTTAGAAATTAATTAATTTTGTTGCTTTTCAATTAATTAGTTATTTTATTAAAATTTTGTTGTTAAATAAATTTTTTTTTTTTTTTTTTTTTTTTTTTTTGTTGTTAAATAAATTTTTTTTTTTTTTTTTTTTTTTGCAAATTTAACTTTTTTGAGTTCTCTGTGTCTACTAGTGTACGCAAGAACTTAATCTAGTTTAGTGCTGGAAGCTTTTTTTTTTTTTTTTTTTTTTTTTTTTTTGCAAATTTTACTTTTGAGTTCTCTGTGTCTACTTAGTGTACGCAAGAACTTATCTAGTTTAGTGCTGAAGCTTGGCCCACCATATCTACAAAAGAAGATGTAATGTTAAGCTTTTCATGTACCTTGCTCAAATTCTTGATAGAGTAAAGAAATATGCATACAGCAATGGCAGCCAGAAATCCTCCATATCATCATTCACCAACACCAACAGAGCACATACCCACTTCGAAAATCTCCCAAAAAACAATCCTAAACCTCCTTGATACTAAATGCAAGTCTTCACTTCAATATATTTCCCAACTCCATGCTTTGATATTAAGAAGTGGCCATTTTCAAGACCATTATGTATCTGGTACCATGGTGAAATGCTATGCCAATCCCCATTTCAGTAACCTGGATTTTGCTTTCAGGGTATTTGATTATATCCCAAATCCCAATGTTTTTGTGTATAATATTATCATTAAGCGTTGCTTAGACAATAATGAACCTTTTAAGGCAATATATTTTTACTACAAAATGGTGGCTACCTCAAATTCAAGGCCTAATAAATTCACTTACCCTACTCTATTGAAGGCTTGTGGGATTACAAAAGCAGCTAAAGAAGGGTTGCAAGTACACGCTTATTTGATTAAACAAGGGCTTCATGGAGATGGGCATATCAGAAGCGCTGGGATTCAAATGTATGCTAGTTTTGGTCACATGGAGGCAGCTCAGCGAATGCTAGAAGAAGATGGTGAAACTGATGTTATTTGTTTCAATGCAATGATTGATGGGTATTTGAAGAGTGGAGATTTGGATAAAGCTAAAGAATTGTTTGAGAAAATGGAAGATAAAAATGTTGGTTCTTGGAATGTAATGGTGACTGGTTTGGCTAGGTGCGGAATGATTAAAGAAGCAAGGGAATTGTTTGATAAAATAACTGAAAGGGATGATATTTCTTGGAGCGCTATTATTGATGGTTATGTCGAAGGAGGGTATTATAAGGAAGCATTGGAAGTATTTAATGTAATGCAAAGAGAAGAAATTAGGCCAAAGAAATTCGTTTTATCAAGTGTTTTAGCTGCATGTGCTAATGTGGGAGCTCTTTATCAAGGAAGATGGATTCATGCTTATGTGAAGAAGAATCCTACTTTTTTGGATGCAGTCTTAGGTACTGCATTGGTAGACATGTATGCAAAATGTGGGCGGCTCGACATGGCTTGGGATGTATTTGAGACAATGAAAGATAAAAAGGTGTTCACTTGGAATGCTATGATTTGTGGGTTAGCAATGCACGGTAGAGCAGAAGATGCAATTGAGCTGTTCTCTAGGATGCAAAAGGAGAAGTTTAGGCCAAATGGGATTACCTTTGTCGGTATATTGAATGCTTGTGCACATAAAGGAATGGTGGATGAGGGTTTAAAAATGTTGGATTGTATGGAGAAAGTGTATGATATTAAACCTGAGATGGAGCATTATGGGTGTATAGTTGATCTCTTAGGAAGAGCAGGGCTTTTGGCAGAGGCAGAAGAGCTTATACATTCAATGCCAATGGAACCAAGTGCTGCTGTTTGGGGAGCACTATTAGGTGGTTGTAGAAAACATGGAAATGCAGAATTAGGTGAAAGAGTAGGGAAGATTTTGATCCAATTAGAGCCGCAAAATAGCGGTCGATATGCATTATTATCGAATATCTATGCAAAGGCTGGAAGATGGTATGATGTTGAAAATTTGAGGAAACTAATGAAAGAAAGAGGAGTTAAGACCACTCCTGGAACTAGCATGATTGATTTGAGTGGTGTTGTTCATGAATTCAAAATGGGGGAAGCTTCGCATCCACAGATGAAGGAAATATACCTGACGTTGAAAAAAATGATTGACAGGCTAGCATTGGAAGGCTATTCACCAGATATCTCTCAAGTTTTGTTTGACATTGAAGAGGAACAGAAGGAAACAGCACTACAGTACCATAGTGAAAAGCTTGCAATTGCTTTCGGACTGATTAACACAAAGCCAGGTACAACTATCCGTATTATGAATAGTTTAAGGATTTGTGAGGATTGTCATTCTGCTATCAAGCTTATCTCTCAAGTGTATAATAGAGAGATTATTCTGAGGGACCGTGCGCGTTACCATCATTTCAGGAATGGAACATGTTCATGCCAGGATTTTTGGTGAACTAATTTGCGAATTAATAATTGTAAATTCTAAACCTTGTTTTCAAAAGCTTTACTACTATCTATTAGCAATTGACTAATTGTTAGCAGAAATGTAAACAATGACCAATATATTTGACTGTTCATTTAAAACATTCCCCTATCATCCAAATAGCAATAGCATTACAATTCCTTTTATTTTACCTGTCATTCTTGTATTTATACACACCAAGTATACAATAGTCATGGCTTTTAGTTAACTATATTGTTTAGCTTAAGCGCAAAGAAGCCATACAACCATGACAAAAGTATCATCAAATAACAAGAGGAACATAACTACATAAGTTCTAGTTCAATACCATAAAATTTCCTAACAGTGTGGAATACACTTCTAAGTTGCACTTAACGACCAATTTTTCACGCTACATATTTACACTGCTGCTGATCAGAATCAATTAACAAACCTTCTTTGGATTGCAATCATTCGAATAAACATGATGAGTCTCTATTGATGATCCAGATGGGTTCCTATAATTCCCATAGTTGCTGTTTGGTTCATTATCATCACTAGTAGTGTTGCTATTGTCGTTATTGTTAGTCTTAGGATCAACTGTCGGCAGTGAACCTGTCACTGGATTTCTGTCTGTATTTGATTTTCCATGTTCATCATTTGGCTTAATATCATTATCAACAGCAGTAGCAGCGTTGTTAACCGCACCTGGCTCATTGGACTGGACCTGATTATCAGTTCTTTCATTTTTGACTTGCTCTAAATCTAGCCTTCTAGCTTCAACTTGAAGATGCAACAATAATGCCAATCCAAGAATAAGTAGAATTGTAATCACCTTCATTATCATCCTGTACTTTTCAACCAATAACTAGTTCTGCATGCAAGCACTTAAAGTTATAAGATTAAAAAAGCAATTTATGAATGCACTTGAAATTGAATTGACTAAGTAATGCTTCTCTACATACCTTAACCTTATCTTCCTCGTTTAAAGCAAAAAACTGATAATGAACATTACTCCAAGGAACCAAATTTATACAGGAACTTTTTATCTTAATCATGATTAGAGAGTGGGATAGGTAGGACTAAAAAAGGCGGAAATAAAAACACAATGATGTAGTGGAGTAATCACATTTTTTTAACGTTATTGGAAGGCCATTTATAGGCGTGCTTCAAAGTGGCCACCATATAGAGTAATTATCGATAAAGATGAAAATTAAATGAAAAAGAATAACAGAAAATATGTGAAAATTTTAGTTCTTTCTTTTAATTTGTTTTTCGTATTATTATTAGTGATATTTTAAGTAATTACATGAATTAGATTAAATTAAATTAGTTTCTGGTTCAGATAAAGTCATATTCATTGCCACTAGAAGATTAAAGCAAAATCTTTCTACATGCTGACCAGTCTCTAAATAAAATCATGACTAATAATAAGGATAGAAGACTCACTTACCAAATCGATGATCAAGTTTACTCTTATCTATTTTATTTTTTCTTTTCGATTTTTTGAAGCTTGATTATGTTGTCACTATATGGTTCAACAAGCGTCATCCAAAATATACAGTTTACTGCACTATGTCCTAGTTAGTTATAGCATGGTTATTGGTAGGTGGATGATAAAACTATTAGGTCATTTTTAGCAAGTGTTCTTGATAATTATCTTCATTTTGAAATCAGAAAAAATAAAGATAGGCTTGCTTGCTTCTTTACATACTAAATAAGATGAAGTGTAATAAATTAGCCATAACATAAAGGTGATTTGGTTGCCACGCTGATGCAAAATGGGTAAACATGGAGGGGATAAATAGACTTGGCACTTGCTAGGGTAGACAAAGTTGGGCTTCCAAACTGTATCAAGAGACTCTGGACCAACTTATCTTGTTTTGACATTACACAATTCAGCTATCTAGCCCCCTCTTGGTTGTAAGCCAATCTATTCAATCTCGTTGTACATTAAGCTTAGGATTTGGATCCAATCCATTACTAAAATTATCTTAATACAAAAAACGGTGATCACCAAGTGGATAAAGTACCAGACTATTCTAGGCTATGACTCTGTGCTTTTGTCCTAAACAAAAGAAAACCAACAGCAGTTCAAAAAAGTGAAAAGAAGAAAACCTGCACATTTCTTGGCCAAAGAGCACATCAGAAACAGGGTTCCAGATCTTCCTGCCCAATGTTCAAAGAAGAAAACCTTTATAATAAGAGGCGATATATTAAGAAAAAGGAAAGAAAGAACTTACTCATATGTGCAATGCGTGAGGCAGGTGGATGGAGTTCAATCCAGCTCAACTCAAGCTTGTAATGTTCCCTGCCTCTCTCTCTCCACGTCTCAATGTTATTTTTGGTGTCTGTTGTCCAATATAGCCCTCAAAGAAAGCTGTTTGCCGGCAATCATTAATGTATATAGTTACATAGTTCGTGCAGCCATCTTATGTTAATTATAGCATACTATTCTTTGGTAGATTTATGACATATCAAGTAAAAGAAAATCCACCTACTGGTCTAAAATTATTATCTCAAATGCACATTATCAAACAGAACTAGATGGAATTTCAATATTGAGTTTTGGATATAGTTTTCAGAAAAAAAAATGCAGTTCGCATATGAGAATATAATTAAAAACTTTCACAAATATATAGTTAGCAACCACGATAATGGTATTCTTACACTGGGAATTGACACAGATTATGCAGAGCTTAAAGGGAATATATCGGATTTCCGAGAAGAAATCACCTTGCCTTTAACCTGTTATCATCTCGGCTTCGGTTCATCATACAAACACTTGTGCAAAGATCTGAAATTTTTTTTATAGGATCGAGAATGATAATAAGAAGTTGTGGAGAAATTACAGCACAAATGAAAGAGAGAGAGAGAGAGAGAGAGAGAGAGAGAGAGAGAGATAATTTTCAGTTTTCACATACCCAAGTTGCGCGGCTTCATCAATAGACATTGCCAAGTCACCATGTGGCACGTAAGCAATAAGGAACACGCGGAACAACCTAATCTCGTAACATGTCTTCTTGGAAGCCATCTGGTTTACCACGTCGCATTTCCTTTATCCACGCCAGCAAGATAATGCCACGTAGGAGCAACTAAGCCACGTGAGCAACAATGGCCCACGTGGGAGAAAATTACCGAGTCAATCAAGGACACATCGCGGCAGCTAATGACACGTCAGAAACTTACTAACAGTTCATCCAATAGAAGACATCATCGTATGGTTGACACGTCGACAGGATTGCCACGTCATCAAAAGGAGACCACGTTATCTTGAGAATAGCTGTCAGTAGCCATACACAAAGACGAACCTCCGCTAGCGGCTCCCACCGCCGTCGTGGCCACAGCCTCAGGCAACTCCTGTTACGCTAATCTTCCCGTCCTCGATTGACTGAAACAACAGTAGGTCACATCCTTAAGACAAACCATGTTTCCTAATCGAAACATGATGTTGTCGATGAATTTTCTCTCTGGTCCGAGACAGGGAGTCGCAAAGAGAAGAGGCCGTTGAACAGTTAATGCAAACCCAATTTGATTAATGCAAACACATTCCTCAGCCACTTAAATTCCGGAATTTTGAAAAAAAAAAAACAAAAAGGAGTGGATAAAGTAGCAATTTATTCAATCCCTTGAGTCCTAACCAACCCATTTCTCAGCCACTAAAATGTCTAATAAAACTACGTACAATGCAAAAAGACAAATGAACCAACCCCCAACACAGATTCATTTGTGAAATTCAAGGAGAAAATTGTCCTTATATTGACTGCATATAGCCAGAAACCTGCCCGCCTCTCTGTTTAACCACCAACGCCATGAAAATGCACATGGCAATGAAACTGCTTACGCCACCCTCTTACTTATCACGCCCCACCTCTCTATCCTTCTTCTTCTTCACATCCAATCCAAAGGGACCCAAACCCATATCAACTTCGGTTCAACTCTTCCACTGGAGACCAAAAGGCGTAGCCTTTAATGCAAGGATGCTGGTAAAAGCATGTGTCAAGGTGGAGCAACAGGAGAGTGTACCTGAAGTAGAAGGGACGAGCTGGGGAAAGGTCTCTGCTGTGCTGTTTGACATGGATGGTGTCTTATGCAACAGTGAAGAGCCTTCTAGAATGGCTGCTGTGGATGTCTTCGCTGAGATGGGAGTGGAAGTCACAGCAGAGGATTTTGTGCCATTCATGGGCACAGGTAAATGTTTCCTCTACTCCAAATCTCTATTTCGATTAAATACTCTACTGATTTCATTAGCTATTGAATTTGATGCAAGGTATTTTTTCTGCTCCAATTTGATTAATGTATCAGGTGAGGCAAACTTCTTAGGAGGTGTGGCTAATGTTAAGGGAGTTAAGGGATTCAACACTGAAGAAGCAAAAAAGAGGTTCTTTGAGATATATCTAGAAAAGGTGATTATTCTAAAATGTTATCCAAATTTGTTTGGCGGCATTCATTCAGCGTAACGCCTAATATCTTTTTCCTTCTCGCAGTATGCAAAACCAAATTCGGGAATTGGATTCCCAGGTGCCCTTGAACTTATTACTCAGGTAATATAAGTCATTGGTTCATAATTCACTTAATCAATGAGACTCGACAATGTTAATAATATAATGGGGCCGTAAACAGTGCAAAGAGAAAGGACTGAAAGTTGCTGTTGCATCTAGTGCTGATCGTATCAAAGTTGATGCAAACTTAGCTGCTGCCGGTTTGCCATTGTCGATGTAAGTTCATCTAATCATGGTTTAGGCTTCTCCAGTTTCAAACCAAATAAATTTTGATAGATTTAATTCCTCTCTAGAGTTAAATTTTTGTTTGGTATGAAGCGGAAACTTTTTGGGTTTTATTTCAGTTATGCATCACCATTATAAATTACAGGGAGAAGCTTCCTCTAAATATTTATTATATTTTGAAATATTATTTTAATGCTTTTGCATTAGATTCAGTGACATAAAATATTGTGACTTTTAATTATTGCAAAAATTTCCAAACCTCAAAGGATGGTGTAAGTTGGGCACACACATGCCTATGTCTATAATTTATAATGATTGTAGCTGTACATGCATTGGTTGAATGTTGGTAAGAGTTGGAATATAATCAAGTCAAAAAGACTTGCAAGTATTGGACTTGGTGATTTTCCATGGGTATGGTCTGCATCAGATTTGTTAAGACACGGCGGTTTAAAATTTTAGTTGACTCCAAATATTTGAGGCACGCCCATCTCTCTCAGCACACTATCACAGGAGTATATCAATTTACATTAATTTTTTAATGCCCTTTTATCAGGTTTGATGCTATTGTATCAGCAGATGCTTTTGAAAATTTGAAACCAGCTCCTGACATTTTCTTGGCTGCATCAAAGATCTTAAATGTGCCGACTAGTGAGGTATAGTATTTGTTTTATGCTGTTCTTATCTGTTATAGGTTGTTAGAACTTTTGACCAAAATAGTTAATTAATTGCAAACTATTAAAATTATGAAATCAGCTCATAAAGTTGAGGGGCCCGGAGGGCTAAAAGTTGCCAATTTGCTGTTGCTATAAGGGCTGCTCGCCCTTATATTGCTTGTCATTGTTATTGCTGCCATGGATTACGATTTTTTCCCTCTCAGAAAGATATATGAATTTATAGATAATTGCAGCAAAGTATATGATTCATCGACTTCTATTAGATACATTATTTTGTGAAGAGTGAAATGTGAAATAATTCGTGTCATTGTCATTGCTTTTTGAATGTAGTACAAAAATATCCAAAGAGAATTGTTAGCATTAGTGCCATGGACTTCTTCTTGATGTTGTTGGTGTATGGTCATTTTACTTTATTTTGCCTTTGGAAGAGCATCCCTATCAATTCGTGGTCATACAGCTAGTGAATTTTGTCAGCAGAATTTCAGCTTTCGTTCTTTTTTTTTTTTTTAAATTTCACAGAATTTATCTACAGTCAGCCAACTTTTTCCCATGCTTGATTCTTTTCACATTAATTATAATATTTTGCAAATTTTTTCCAGTGTATTGTTATTGAAGATGCACTAGCTGGAGTACAAGCTGCAAAAGCTGCAGAGATGAGGTGAATATACTGAATTACTAATAACATCTTTCTTCAGTTTTATTAGGATATCGCTAGTGACTAATTCTTTTAAACTGAACATGTTTATAAAAATGGTTTAAAAGAATGTCTCAAGTCTCAGCTCAAGGATAGAATATTAGATTTATTAATTTTCCCTCGTGGTAGTCTGCTGCATTTTTCATGCATGTCATGCTTTTGATTTCAATTGAATGCTAACCTATAGAATTCTTCACTTCTTCAGATGCATAGCTGTGAAAACTACATTGTCAGAAGAGACTCTAAGGAATGCTGCTCCATCCCTTATCAGGGATGATATTGGAAATGTTTCACTTGAGGATATTCTCAGTGGTGGATCTAATGGCTATAGTATGTAGTTCTGAAGTTGTCTCCTTGTACCATCAATAATGTGGAATAATGGAGTAATTTTTTTTTGTCAAATTTTAAGAATTCCAAAACATTTTTTGTAATGGATTTCCTCTGTATTGAAAACTTTTTCTCATCAAAACTAAGGCGATCCCTTGTACACCATCGATGAAGTTTATATTTTAGACTTTCTTAAGATGGCAAACAAGCTTACATCTTCATTGTGCTCCAAGCAGTTTTTGCCTTGGTTAGTAGTTAAGACTGTTTGTGTTCTAGGACATCTCTGATAAAGATACACTGTTGCAGATGAGATGATGCAGAGGCCTCAGGTTCTGCATAGTTCTGAACAAACTTTGGCCTCAATGCTCGAAGAAAAAAAAGATAATGGATCACTTCTTAACAACCCCAATGACAAAGTTTTTTCAGCTGGGGGGTAAGATAGGTTCCTTTTCTTAATAATTTTAATTGGCCCACAATTACTAATGAACATTTTGGAATCCAAAAATCTACAATTTATTCTAGAGTTTCTCTCTGTTATTGAGATGCTGCAGAAATGAGATAAAACTCGAGAAAAGATTGAAATATTTAGACAAGCTTCTGCTCCTTCCCACTTTTTTACCATATTTTGGGTTCTGTCAACCACAATCGATGAATCTTACAATAGTTTGAGAACTTATAATAAATGGATTAAGTAAAATCCTTTATATGTCTTATTGAAACTCTCAGATTTGGTTTTTCTCAGGACACGATAAATCTGGTACAGTACTGACCTTCTCCAAAATGATGAAAAGTGTTTCCTTATTATGCTAGCATACTATTGTCTAGCGACTATTTTCTTTGCCTCAAGAAGTATAGAAAACTGAATCTAATTTATGTAAAATAGACAATCTTGAGTGTTTTATTTTGACAAATAAAAGATAAAACCATGGTATAACTACTTCAGTTTCCAGAAATAATTTTTGGACAGGTTGCAGGCTTCTCGACGCAATATATTGAGGTATGGGAGTTTGGGGGTTGCCCTTTCTTGTCTGTATTTCACCATCACAAACTGGAAGGTAATTTTCTTAATAGGAAAGTGTAGTGGGTGCTTGCATATCAGTTGGATTAATATTTTTGCCATTATTTTCTCTCTCTGTCCAAAGATAATAGTCCAGGTTGACTTTTGCACAAAGACTAAGAAAAATCTTTTGAATGGAGTATATTTTGTTAATTTACTAGTTTTACCCTTTAGTCAAAAGGTGGCATAGAAATCAATATGAGTTATATGGAGGGTATTGTTGACAAAAAAAATTTCCGTTTGTTTTCCTTTTTGTTAGAGAGAACAAAATGTATAGTTAATTTGAGACATACCAATTTGGTAACATGGACTATTTTCTTGGGGCAGGAGTATGAAATTACTATCTCGTCTATTATTTCACATCTCCTTGTACGCGTATGTTTGTGTATTTATAGGCTATGCAATATGCTTCCCCTCAAGCTATATGGAATATGCTGTTTGGAGTTACTAGGCCAGATTTTGCGCAGAATGGGGGTATGGATATATGTCAGGCAACACATGTTGTCTGGCCATTCGCTTTTGTATTTTGCAGTTTGATTTTCTTAATATGTGCAATTCAAATTTTTTGAATTGCCCTTTTTAAGTCTATGGCCAATTAGATTCTATTTAATGAGTCGTGAATTTGTGATTATTAACGAACTCACTGGCATTTATTGTTCATAGGTAAGTCGCAGTACTCAAGAGTCGAACAGTTTGTAAAATATATATCTGATCTGGAAACCAGGTAACCAAGAATTTGTCCTTCTGACCACTGTTTATACATTTATAATCTTATTCATTTCGACTGTATTGCATTTATTAAGTGTTTTTCATGGTACTTTATTTTTTATCTGTTCTGGGTTTATCATCTTTTGTTGTCTCAGCGGAACTGCTCGCATTGTGCCAGAATTTCCAACTAAACTCGATTGGTTGAATACTGCTCCACTTCAATTTCACAGGGCAAGTTTTACTCAACGCAAAGTTCTGTTATGAAATCATAAGTAATCATTAAAATATGTTACTTATTGTCTATTTTCAGCCTTGTTAGTTGTGTCTTCAGCTTAAGTTTGGAAAAAACAGTCAATTTTTTTTTGAATTTCTTTAACTGCATTCTTCCACATTAATATGAGCCATCACAGCCTTACTGGACTCAAAAGTCCCTCCTTCGGTCGTACACATATAAAAGAAAAGGATGATACTGAAAAATTTCTGAAAAAAGTAATAATTAGAATAAACTGTTATAAGCCTCCAAGCTACAGAATATCAGTCTTACATCACCATAAAGTAGCTATTCTCAAGGCTTGGAAGTCTTCTCTTGCAATCTTCTGATGGCTTTGAATATCATGGCTTTAGATTGTTGTTGTGATAACTCGTATTACTCAAATTATACTTGGGAGTTTGGAATTTGTTCTTTTGCATATCTTTCTGATCCTAAAGTAATAGAAATTTCTTATGTGGTTTCAGAAAGTTTTCCTCATTGATGAAGTTTCTATATACCAGACTATGCTTTTAGTTTTGAACCATTTAAATTTCTTTATGCAGGAACTGAGAGGCAAAGTGGTTGTTCTGGACTTTTGGACCTACTGTTGCATAAACTGTATGCATGTGTTGCCAGATCTAGAATATCTGGAGAAAAAGTACAAAGATGCACCAGTAAACCCCTCTTCTTCCTTTTCGACTATCACAGTTCTGTTGGTCATTTCTTCCAGTCTTGGAAATCAGAAAACTCTCCTAAGTAAACTTAAAAATGATAATCTTCAGCGAGTTAAAACTTGAAAATGCTAAAAAGCCCTTAACTCACCAACTTCCAATAGTTTATAATATAGTTAGGTACTTGACCAAGAATCTCTTGTACTACTTTATGCATGCATTTTATTCAATCATTTCAACCTTCTGCTCTGGAGAGGTATTTGATGGAGAAGTTAATCTCCTGTCTAGTTATTTCATTCCATTAGTTTCTGTGTTCTTAACAAGAGTGACAGTGACTATGTTTCTATATCTGGTTGCCACAATATAATAAAGGCCAGCTAAATACATTGAATAGTTGTATTATGACATGTATACCATTCTAGAAATTAAAACCATATATGTTCCAATAACAGCTGTGACACTTAAAAGCATGAGCATAGTACCCTTTAAATAATTAATACAAAAAAGGACCGCAATTAGTGTTCAAGTTTCATGCTGATGCTTTGCCTACTCTTTCTTGTTTTTGGTATTTATTTTGACTGAGTACTGTGCATTGTGATTCCAAATGATTTTTTTTCCCTTTTATGTGGTAATATTATCACAGTTCACAGTGGTGGGGGTACATTCAGCAAAGTTTGACAATGAGAAAGATTTAGAAGCAATCCGAAATGCAGTTTTGCGCTATAACATCTCTCATCCAGTAAGTAAAATTTTTAAAAATACAAGCGTAATCTTGATCTATCATAGCATATATGGGTGTTATAAAAATAGATTTTTTAGATACTCAATGTGCATGGTTGAGGAAAAAGGAAAAAGGCTCAATCTTTTACTCAGTCAACATATAGAACCAGAGTTGAAGTGATATATATATATATTGGAAACTATCACTGGTGCATTTGAGTTTTCATGGTAATATAAGCTTAAATAAAACAATCAGCAGCTATAGACTTCTGTTGCTGTATTGATGTATCTATCTGCTTGCTGAATTTGAATTAGCTTGCTGAATTTCTGTACTCTGTCAAGCATACAAGTCTTGCTGTAAGGTTAGTGAGCCAAACAAGAATAGCCTGAAGTTATACTAATTGCAGCTTGTGTTAGGAACTGTATGCTATAATTGTAAATAATGTGTGAACTGTGAATAAGTTTTGTATTCGGGTTGATCCATGTAATCTATTACTGGAGCCCATTTAACATAAAAAGTTTTTATATGGAGAATATTGAAGTCAATCATGAATAATCATACTTCAGATATCTTTTTCCCTCTCCCTCAGTTCTAACTCTCTCTGTTTCGCTCTCTTTCCTCCATTTTCTCTCTATTTCTGACCTAACAAACATTGCTGTTACTGATTGCAAGCAATTCTGCAAGTCCTAACAACTTGTATTAGTCTCGATAAATCAAAAGAAAAAAAATTATAAACAATAACCAAGATTAGGAAAAAAGTCCTATTCTGTCAGATATTTTATCCCTTGATTCAAAATCTTGAACTAGTATGCCAAGAGCAGCTAATCTCCATCTGTTTTGAGATTTTAAGATACTTCAGTCATGCTTAACATATGTTCAAAGTAAACCTTTTTGTGCTTCTCTGCTAGTTGTTATGCATTTTAAATTGCTTCTTCTATTAAATAATCAAATATTTTCAAACTGTTTATTCTTAATCCAGCCTCTTATCAGTGTAGGTTGTCAATGATGGAGATATGTATTTGTGGCGTGAGCTAGGTATTAATTCATGGCCAACATTTGCCATTGTTGGACCCAATGGTAAGGTTCTTGCACAAATATCAGGAGAAGGCCATAGAAAGGTACCCATGAGCAGCTCTATTTTGTTTTACAATTCATGTAATTCTTGGCTAAAGCGCAAGTATGGGCATATCTGTCTAGTAAATTTCATATATGCATGCACCCATATGGTTATAGTTTATCCATCTTCACAGGTGACAGACCTGCATATGGAAATTAAGTATTATAAATTTCAGCTTTTCTAAAATGATTTGTGCTCTACAGTTGAAGTGTTATCAAGTGATTTATGAAGACTGAAATCTTTTACATTCAAGTCTTGTCTCTACTGCTTGACAACATTGATTTTCAAGAGATTTTAATTGTTAGCCTACTGTTACAGATTACTGTTAAACTGATCAAAATAACATAAGACAATGTGGAGGAAATCAGTTGAAAGGTTCAATCTACAAGAGCTCAAACCGCAAAATCAACATAATTCAAATGAAATGTCATGCAATGACACAATTGGACAGAACTGTCAACACTGAAACTGAAGAAACTGGCAATAATCTATACCATATTGGCTTGTCTGGCCAATGTTTTTGAATTTGCAATTATGAATCTCTTGCCTTGAACGCAGCTTTTGAAGAAAACTAGAACTACCAGTAAATTAGTCGAATGAGATGACTTTTACAATTTATTGCTGCCACTATTTCAGTCTGCCTAGCATTTTTAGTGGATTGCATTTTAGAAAATCACTCAATTTGAGATTATCAATTAATATGTGAAGTATGTAACATAAAAAGGGAATGGTGCAATCTAATTCTTTCCTCTGCAAGTTTTTGTTTATCTTACTGGATGGTGATTTTATGATAAATAGCATACTTTAAGCTGATCCGTGTTTGTGTTATTTCTGCATATATTATACACTTATTGTATTGTAATTACTTATTATTACTTCGCCTTCTCATTTTAGGATCTCGATGATTTGGTGGAGGCAGCTCTTCTGTTTTATGGTGGGAAGAAGCTCCTAGATAGCATGTCAATTCCCCTGAGTTTGGAGAAAGATAACGATCCTCGTTTATTTACCTCTCCTTTGAAGTTTCCTGGAAAGCTGGCAATTGATGTGCTTAACAAGCGACTGTTCATTTCAGATAGTAACCATAACCGCATAGTACATCTCTTTCTCTCTCACACGCACGCATGCAAAAACACATGTACCAAAAAAAGCGAAGAAGAAAACATTTACTAGGTTGTATTTATGCACTAGCTGCTAGTAAAAAACGCATCTATTCATTGAACATAATTTGCAGCAAGAAATTCACAGAAAATAGTATTTTAAGTCTCCCAACTTCACAATTTATAAAGATCACAGGAATGTGGATCATCCTCAATGGGCATTTAACCATCTTGTTGCTTGTCAAGTTCAGGTGGTCACTGATGTAGATGGGAACTTTATTATCCAAGTTGGGAGCACTGGAGAGGAAGGTTTACATGATGGTCCCTTTGATGAAGCAACTTTTAATCGCCCTCAGGTGAGTATTAATTACTAATTAATTTCCCCTGAAATATGTCATATGCCAAGAATTTGTTTCCTACTTCTAATTTAAACCCCCTTAAATGAATTCTGAGGAGTGCCATATCTTGTTTCAAACTTCAAATTCACTTTCAATGCATTTTGGTATCATTGCGGTTACATGTTTGTCCAGGGCCTCGCTTATAATGCGAAGAAAAATCTCCTTTATGTTGCAGATACTGAAAACCATGCTTTGAGGTATGCTGAGACTTCAGAACCATCCTTTAAATGTTTTCCTTGTGTTTTTATTCCAAGATAGTTTCAGATGCTTTCATTTATCTCTTACATAATTTCAAATCCTCTGTTTATGGCCACGCATCATGTTTTATTACAATGTGAAACAAACATATGAAAGTTGTAAGTCAAGATTAATTCTGATGAAGGGGGAATTTATGCTGCAGAATGTCTGACACTCCAAATATTCATCTGAATGTTCTGGATATCTCATTTGATAGAAATATATAGGTTCATTTGATAATAAAACAGTGGTGTGGATGTTCATTTCTCGATAATTTATCAGTATATACCTCCTGTATGCATTAGGATCAGTTTAAGTAGTGCAGCCAATGCGTCCTTATCAAAATTAGTTTCCATGAGAAGCTGTTCGATAAAATAATAACTACATAGTAACAATAAATAATTACAAATTAATGGAAGATGTATGCCAGTTGGTGCATCTTGAACTATGAAGCATGTTTATGGATGATAATTGACAATTCTTTTCGCAAAGCCACTTGTTTCTAAATTGGATGGAAAATTTGAGATGCAGATGGTCCAAGAACAAAGAAGCAGAGCACAAAAGAGGAAACTGAAAACTATAGAATGAATAACTATGTGGTAGTCAAATGTAATTGCTCATATCATTTTTAACCATTCCTCAACACCAGAATTTTACACATAATTAAATTGATAGCCTCATCTTGTAGTCAATCAATTTATAGTAATTTGACTTTTTCCTGTTACAGAGAGATTGATTTTGTCAATGAAATGGTGCGCACTCTTGCTGGAAATGGAACCAAAGGTTCTGACTATGAAGGGGGACGAAAAGGAACCAACCAGGCAAGATATTTTATGCATGACATCGGGATGCACTTTAAAAATGCATCCTTAATTTTCTATGTGAAAATTCTGGGTCTTCTTTTGATATTCTTCATAAAATTGGGAAAACTGACATTGAAGTGAAAGTGATTCAGGATTCCCCAAAAATTTTTATCATCTTTGCAATGATTATATCTCATGTATTAACCTATTTAAATTCTAAGATCTACATCCTTTGTCCTTCAGGTTCTCAACTCTCCATGGGATGTCTGCTTCGAGCCAGTCAATGAAAAAGTTTATATTGCAATGGCTGGACAGCATCAGATATGGGAGCACAATACTCTGGATGGAGTTACGAGAGCTTTCAGTGGTGATGGTTATGAAAGAAACTTGAATGGATCAAGGTATGACACTAAACAGGTTTAACTTTACCTTTATTGTTTCTGTGCACTTTCATATTGCACTATCTTCTGTGTTATTTGAGCAGGTATCACCACAGTTTATTTCTTTTGCAATTTTGTTACTTCTGTAGTTCTGTTCTTAAAGGTTGTTAAGCAATCTATTAACTGGAGACATTTTTTCATATGACATTAATAAATTTTCTTGTTTCATTATTGAAATAGCTCCACAAGTACATCATTTGCACAACCTTCTGGAATTTCACCATCTCCTGGTAACATTTTGAATTTTTTGACAGACTTTTGTTAATGACATTTATAAACCATTATTTAAATTTTCCACTATTATAATGAAAGTTTTACTTTAATGCCTATTCATAGATTTGAAGGAGCTATATGTTGTTGATAGTGAAAGTAGCTCCATTAGAGCACTTGATCTCAAAACAGGAGGATCAAGACTACTAGCTGGAGGTGATCCAATTTTCCCTGATAACTTGTTCAAGGTAATTCATTTGCATACTAATACTATTTCATCATGACTGATATTTAAAATTTCTAACAATTATACAACTAACATCGGAGATTCTCAAGTGTATTGCTTAGCAGAATCTAACCTTTTGCGCCAATAATTTTCAATTTAATATGGCAGTTTGGAGACCATGATGGAATAGGGTCTGAAGTACTTCTTCAACACCCACTGGGTGTATTATGTGCAAAAGATGGTCAAATATATATAGCTGATAGCTATAATCACAAGGTAATATTGAAGATACGAGATTTTTTATCTTCTATAACAAGATGCATGCATTAAATATTTTTCAGTTTTTTGGTGGCACCCCTACTACTAAATATTTTGGTCTTGAATACTGGCATACCATAAGCAGCTCCATGTCTATTGTAATGCTGATGGTTCATGGCATGCTATTGATTCTTTCTGCCTTCATATCCAGATTGAATTATATCATTCAATGCAACAAGTGCATAGATACTCTATGGTCCAAGAAATTTCCTTTTGGTGCAAATTTAATATTCTGTATGTCTATTGATATGATTTTGTTTTCAAATAAAGACTTGAGCATTATTGGTTGCCTGAATTTGTCCTTTCAATTTTCAGATCAAGAAGCTAGATCCAGCTACTAAAAGAGTTACTACGATAGCAGGAACTGGAAGAGCTGGTTTCAAGGATGGAAAACCACTGGCTGCTCAGGTTAGGAAATGTCTCATAAAATGCTATGCTCTTTGGATAGTAATAATACTGAAATTATGGCTTATATCCTTTTCTAGCAAGCTGAAAGGCAGTGAAAGGGTATTGAGCTATGAATGCTTATACACAGCAACTATGGGCTTATGCCCCTTTGTATTGTCACATGAGCCAGTTATCTACCCTTAAAAGCATTAAACCATTCCTCAGCATAAAAAGAATTTTCCTACTTTTAGAAAGACAAACAGACCCAAATTATCCAACAAAATTTGCGATTTACTTCAATGGTGATATATTTGATGTTAGCATGTGATATGCTTGTTTGTTCTATGCAACACATAGCATTGTTATAGTGCATGTAGTTAAGTTTGCGAAATATTAGACTGTTGTGGTACACTGAAGGACAACGTTTGGAATTGAAATACTTGAACCAGAAAAAAGTGTAAAGTAAAAGTACTTGAAATGAATGACATGGTTTTAAAACACTAACACCAAAAGAACCACATATATTTCCAGATGCTTCTGCTTCTCTCAGACTTGAATTTTAAATGAAAATATTTGACAAGTCATTCCAGTGTTCATTACTGCTTTCACCCAGTTGTCTAAAATATCAAATCTAATGCTCTTTTATGTTTTGCAGCTTTCAGAGCCATCTGGAATCATTGAGGCTGAGAATGGTGATTCTCTTTCCTATCATATGCAAGAAATGATATAAATTTGAAATGTCCAGAAAGTCCCAAAGGTTATTAATTGACAGAGTGTAGCTATCTTACCTTCTTAATCAAGTAGGTCCATTTGAATTGTTGTCGTCAAATACAGGACTTGCTTTTTGATGTGGGTTATGCTTATAATAAATTTAATCAACATCTGCTATCTCCCGATGCATCACTAGACTAAATTTGATGATATTACATAATGCTTTTTCATGAACTTGGATCCAAGTTCTGTTCTTTAGCTTTTGCTTCTACAAATAATAAGCATACGTTGAAAGCTTTTCTTGGTTAATTGCAGGAAGACTCATCATAGCTGATACAAACAACAGTGTTATCAGGTATATAGACTTCAACAAAGAAGAAGCTGAACTTCTTACTTTAGAACTGAAAGGAGTTCAGCCTCCTGCACCAAAATCCAGATCCTTGAAACGTCTCAGGAGACGATCATCAGCTGACACACGGACAATTAAAATTGATGGTGGTTCATCTAGGGAGGGAGACCTTTGTCTCAAAATATCATTACCTGAAGAGTACCATTTCTCAAAGGTATCGCAGGGTCCAATCTTTTGTATGCTTAATCCATTCTCCTAATGTCACATAATTAGTAATCTGATCCTTTTTCATTTACTAATCATTTCATATTAATTATTTTCTCCCTGGTGATTTGAAAGCAGGAGGCACGCAGTAAATTTATAGTCGAGACTGAGCCTGAAAATGCTGTATTAGTTGATCCCTCAGATGGATATCTTAGTCCAGAAGGAACTGCAGTCCTTCATTTTAGGAGATCCTCTTCCTCAGCTTCAACAGGGAGAATAAATTGCAAGGTAAGTGTTAGAACTTGCTGTATTTAGGGTAGTTTTATTTAGCTATTTTTTATCATGTGTAGCTAACGAGGTGGAATCAGTTCCTTTATTAGAGGGTGTAGTGGGTAGTTTATAAATCTTTAGCTATGTATCCAGTTGTTTAAAAGGCTGTGCATTAATGAAAGATGTAAGTAAATTTTAAAACAAAGCTTTGAGTTCCTAAACTCAAAGATCATAAATTTCTCTCAAACAAACTCCAAGAAATCGTAGGGTTCTCTCTTAATGGACTACCTTATACATTCTGAATGAACTGTCCTCTCATCTGGTCAACATTTTATAACTTGTAATATATTCATTATTTAACCAGGGTTTTTTTTTTTTCACATTCTGTATTGACTAATGAAATATTTTTAACTGTCAGTTTTGGATTTAATCGATACTTGTATATTAAATGCATCTCTTAAATATATATCATCCTTTTGTCAACAATGATAAAATTGTCTTGCCAAAAAACATCTTCTTAGTTCACTCTCGATTAATTTTAATTATCAATTTTAGATTGAAAAACAAACATTAATATTTACCATAGAGAAACCTTTGAACAGTTGATGATGAGAGAAGTCCATAGCGAACAATTTTGAATTATTAAGAGGTAAACAATCGATTTGCTTGCTCTTTGCAGGTCTATTACTGTAAAGAAGATGAAGTCTGTTTATATGAATCGCTTCTGTTTGAAGTGCCTTTCCAACCAGAAGTTCCAGATGCTACCCCATCGAAAATCACACTTGCTTATGCTGTGAAGCCCAAAGCTTCAGCAAGTAGCTTGCAGCTACCAGTTAGCCGCTGACAGGAATATGCCACATTAATACGTTGTAAGATTCTCTACTTTTTTACTCTCTATGCCATGAAAATATAAGCTCAATTGGACGGAGCGGATAGTTGCAGCAACATCATCCAAAGAGAATATGCACTGCACACTGTATATTAGGTACTCTATTGCATAGATAAATTACATTTAAAGCAAGCATATGGCTTAGTTGGAGAATCCTATGATAATTTTAAGTTGCTTACATATTTACAATCAGAATTATCTCAACTTCTGACCTCCAGCATTAGATAATTTTTGTCTTCATATACATCTATCATCAATGTATTTAATTCAAGGAGACAGGTAACAGTCAACTGCTATATTACTTTGTTTCATAAAACACTGCAAATCTTACATCAAGCAGATAAATAACGTGTGAAGAAAATATTAAAATTATTTATTCATAGTCTCTCCAGGCATTGACATATTTTAAGAATCTGCATTTGCTTGACTGAAACAAGAAAATTAACGTATTGATTTAGGGAGACAAAGAAAAGGTCAAAATTGAAAATTCTAGTTTTGTGCAGCTTTAATTCTGTGGATCAAATCCAAGAATTGCAGTATTTTAAGGCACGCTTTTAACCATTTTCCTTCTCAATTTAGTTGTTAAATTTGTCTCTGAACTTATATTTTTTTCCCCGACACCTCCCAAGGAAAATCCCAAATTGGATCCTAAATTGACGGGTTAGTATTAACTTATCGATGCAGTTGAATTCAACGAACCTAAAGGCGCAAGGGTCATATATTCCGCGGAACGGCGTTCTTGAGGCTTAGCCTCTGAGCATAGATAAAGATTGTATTTTAGGGCTTATTTGGTGATTTTGGCTTGATGATATTAGAGTTATCTTTAATTTGAAATAAATAATTCATATAGTCGACTCCAAGTATAATCATGAGATTGCAATTAGTTTAATATGTGAAATTAGTATTGTTGGTTAGTGTTAGGGCACTTTCAATAGGTGCTGTGCTGGGCTGGCATTTAGTTAAGCAATATAATAGTAGCATTAACAATTAAATTAATTATTATGATAATATAATAATAATAATGTTTGAGATAAGCAAAGGGATTGATTGCATATCAAGGCACGCCACTCGTGTGCTGAATCGGCCTAATGATGCTGGATGGCGGTGCTCTCAATTATTTCACAAAAAAAAAAAAATTAGAAGAAGCAAGCCAAGGGGACAGATTTAGCCCCCTACATACCTAGCAATCTAATTTTTTATTATCAAGTGACTTTAGCCTCTTTCAAGCTTTTAGACCCATTATTATACAACAATTTCACAGCGTAAATTGCGTTTGGTTCCACCAAATCTCATCTTTTTATCTTTACAAAAATAATTATTGATGTAGGACTATACTGTTCCTATCCATTCCATTACGGTTGTCCATCACAAAAATAATTATTAATGTAGCAAAAAATGACAAATATTCAGGAATATGGATGTTTTTTCTAAACTCGAGTTTCACTCGTTTACTAATTTATAATTTGTCCTTAGTAAATAATTGTCCCTTCAAAAGCTTGAGCTTGACTCGTTCATTAAATAAATTCAATAAATAGATTTGAACTTATCCTTGAAAAACGTCTACAAGCGGCTTGACTTATTTATAAACCTGCAATTCATCAAATGAAGCCAGAGGTTTCAAGCCCCACGTTGAATCAAATCTATGATATTATCCTCTTAGCTTGCAAATTCAACTCTCACAATTGAATTCAAACAATGTTATAGTTAATAGGTTTTGATAGAGTCAACAACCTCCTTCGCCCGTGACAAATGAAACAAAACTTATTAATAAAAATTAAATTAAAATAGCAATGAAACAAGAAAATTATTAATTTTAATAAATTACAAATGTATATTATTTAATCGAAAAAACCCATGATAGGGAGCAAAGCCATTAGAAGTTGCTTGTCTTAAATATAAAATCACAGGAGGATTTCATAAAATCTTTTGTAGACAGCTGTTAAGGTTTCAATTAAATATCATTTTCAGTTCTTAGAGACCACCAAATGCTCCCATTGGAAGTAGTTAAGAGAAAGGATAAGTAGGAATCTTTAGTCACACAAAGTCCAATATTATTGGGTTTCATTCACTTATATTAGCTCAATAATTGAGTTTTTATCTTTTATTGTAATAACTTTGAAAAAGGACATTCATTTAGTATGTAGGAACAAAATAACCATAAACTACCACATTTAGGTAGTTGCTAACTATATAAGAGATTCATGAATATATGTCCGGTAACAGTTTTTTAAGTAACTTTTAACTTTCTGATCGATCGAAGTGCTAAACACTATTTTTTTATAATATTCGGTAACATAGCATTTGAACTATAATGTTTTATGGAAAAACTATTAAAACAGTTAACAGCTATTAAAACAGCTAATAACTATCAAAATAGTCAATTTTATTGAACAAAACTCTAGAGTTGGTGATATTTTCGATGGTGATATTTTCGATGTACACCACAAATAATATGAATTCAAATATCAAATATTGCCAAGAAATCATTTCATAAAATAATATGAATTCAAATATCAAATATTGCCAAGAAATCATTTCATAAGTAACTATTTACAGACAGTCAATATAAAAGAATAATAGAAAGATGTACATTATTGTTTGATTTACATGAAACAACTTAAAATGCACTCATTAGAACATAATTTTGCAATATATAATTTTTTATTGAAACAAAACTCTAGAGTTGGTGATAATTTTCGATGGTGATTTTCGATGTACACCACAATAAATGAATTCATATCAAAATATTGCCAAGAAATCATTTCATGAAATAAATAATCAATAAGTCAACATTGCCAAGAAAATTCATTTCAATAGTAACTATTTACAGACAGTCCAATATAAAAAGAATAGATAGAAAGATGTACATTATTGTTGATTTACACTGAAACAACCTTAAAATGCACACTCAGTTAGAACATATACTTGTTGCAATATATATACTAGATTATATATATATATATATAGAAGAGAAGAGAGAGAGAGAGAGAGAGAGAGAGTCAAAGGTAAATTCCAGTCTTGGATGGGAAAACTTAAAAAAATATGAAAACCAACAAAGAAGCACACAGTCAAATAAATGTCTTTTAGTATAACTGACACAAATCCTAAGATTATTGAGTTTTATTTTAGTTGACAAGATAACTTAAGAGTTTGGTGAGAGACCATTACCTTGGTCTAAGGGAAATACACAGGATCCAATACTTATTGCATAAAATTTGATATTTATGACATTGAAGCTTGTCTCACTCAAGGAGGCAAACTTTCTGGTATGTCAATTGCTAATGGGGCTCAATCTGATTCTCTTCAGATTTCTTTGTTTTTTATAATAAATTTCACATTACCATTATAATACCTTCCTTTGTGATTTATTGGGTATGGGATGGATTCTAGCCTTACGATTTGTGTAAACAAGGAAATTGGGGAAGGGACTTTCAACCTTTGAGATTCTCCGACTCCATTATAATACCTTCCTTCTTTAAATGTAATTTTAGCTATTGGAAACAAACTAATTAAGCATAGTTTGGTCTAATGTTGTAATGAAATTAAGAGCAAATGAAGTTAAATTATAAGCAACGTGGATCAAACGTGGCCATGCTATAAGGTCTCAAATAAAAGGCCAAGAAGCTAATGAAAGGCCATGAAAACAGCAAATGCCTTCTCTTTTTTTTTTTTTTTTTTTTTTTTTTTTTTTCTTCTCCTCTTTTCTCTGTGTGCATCAACGCCACTAATCATTTTTTTTTTTTTTTTTTTTCTTCTCTCTTTTTCTCTGTGTGCATCACCCACTAATCATTGCTGAGAATAAAAACAAATTCCTTTAGCCCCACATTGGAAAACCCAACAAGTGGAAGCCAAACACTTCCCTTTGTTATCCAATCTCACATTTCCACATCATCCTCCAATTTAACAATTATTAAAAAATAATAATATGATAACCACAGCAAGGCCATGTACATAGTATATCATACCGTATACCGGCCTTGCAAGAAAAGATAAGGAGACATACGCTTTTATAAATAAATAAATAAATACTCCTTTATAACAAAGTTTATATTCCATCCTAAAAGAAATTTTCTAATGGAGTAGGTCTTTTTTTTTTTTTTTTTTTAAAGAAGAAAAACTAAACAAAATTTTAAGGTGCCAGACAACATATTCCACTTATCTTGGATCTCAGATTAGAAATTTTAAGGTTTCAATGTAGATTTATTTGAATTTACTCTGTCCAACATCAATAGCTAATTTTTGAGATATGATTCTCTTAAAATCATAATAATTATTATCGATTCTCTCAGTTGTAACCCGACATAGGTGTGGACACTACAAAGCTTGACCCCAATATGAGGTTTTTATGAACTCAAACTCTCCAACCTTAACTTTCCTTTGTATAGTTTTAAATTTACTGTTTAGTATCTTTTACCTAATTCTCTTATTTTAATCCAAACTTATTATCTATCTTAATATAGAATATTTATCTTATAAACATATTGCAACATTCAAACCCTAACATTTACTCTTATATTGTATTGCATTTTAATTCTTCTATTTATTTATTTTTTTTTAAATGGAGCAGAAAATTTGACTTTCTTCGACTGAACACATGCAAAATGAGCCTTATGTTGGATTCAATGAACCAAAACTGAAAAGGTTTCACCTGCCAAAGATTGACGTACAAAGTAAAAAAACATTAAAAGTACCAAAGACTTACTACTTTGTTGAATTATTTAGATTGCACTAAAACAAGGTTTATCCATTTGGTTGACCTAATTAGTTGTAGTTTTATTTTTTATTTTTTTATTTTTTCTTCTTCTTCTTTATCTTTGTAAGCAAGTTAAGGTGATTGACACAGCACGCCATGTGGAAGTTTTGTCTTTATAGATTATGTATATATATAAGAATAATTAAAATTTAGGTGGTTTAATATGATGTTTAGATGGCTTCTAATGTTGGTTGCTTGGAGATTCAAAATCCATATCCCTTCTTTCATTTCTTTTATCACTCTAAATCTGTTTTATTTCCCTTAAGGTTGAAAATATTTGAGAAGTTATTATATATAAAAAATTACAATTTATTTTAATTGGCTAATTAATTATCCCTTATGATTCCACTTTTGTGTATGATAATTAATTAAGAAGCATCTAATTAATAATTAAGTGTTCCATTTGAAAAACCATGCTTGAGACAAGCATAATTGCCTATGTGTCCACTAAAACAGCAGCCACTATGTCCTAATGGCCTCATGCATGATGAAATCACTATGTAGTTCAGTTCAAGTGTAGGTTTCATTATCTAAATAAAACTTGATTAATTAATTTAAACATTTTTCAAGCCTTCTAGACTCCACCTAAAATTTACTTCAACTAATTTTCTCTTTTCAATGCCATTCGACTCTTAGTAAAGCCAATGTTTTTTTTTATTATTATTTACATTCTAAATTTATTTAAAATAATTAATTAACTATTTTAAATAAAATTTTTATATAATTGACTAACTGTTAATACAATACACAAAGCAAATAAAATTCATTATTACTAAATAAAATGTACCATATCAATAATAATATTATTAATAATAGAACATTGTTTCAAAAAAAAATATATAGAATATTAGAATATATTAATAGAGAACCTGAAAGCACGAAGACTAGTACTATTCAATAAATGTGATTAAGGAAACGCCGCGTGGTTTCCCGTGTACTGCTTTTAAAGTCTGCCCCCACTCCCTCTTTTTCCTCTCATTTCTCCCACGCTTCTTCTTCTCTCTCTCTCTCTTCCTCTTCCTCTATAAAAACCTTCCACCACCACGCGGCCGCCATCGACGCTGCGCCACCACTGATTAGTTGTTTTCAATTTTCCATAACTTCCATAGCCACCGCTTTAATCTCATTTCCTTCCAAGGTAAATTGCTCTGAGTTTCATTAATAACAAATTATTGATTCTTAATTAGTAGAGTTAAATTAATTAAGAAGATTCAGGAATTTTGAGTTTGTATAGCTTTATTCTCTTCTGCTACGTATCAATTTATTCTTACTGTTTCAGGGGCAAAAAAAAAAAAAAAAAAAAAAAACTTAGTTGTATTTCAAAATTTTCCATACACTTCCCATAGCCACCGCATTAATCTCTATTTCCTTCCAAGGTAAATTGCTCTGAGTTTCATCTATATTAACAAATTATTGATTCTTCAATTAGTAGAGTTAAATTACATTAAGAAGATTCGTCAGGAATTTTGATGTTTGTATAGCTTTATTTCTCTTCTGCTAAGCGTATCAAAATTTATTCTACTGTTTCAGGGGCAAAAAAAAAAAAAAAAAAAGTAAAAAACAACGAGTCAAAAAAAAAAAAAAAAAAGAAAAAACAACGAGCAGAGAGTATATTCAAGAGAATTATATTATGGCATCCTTGATCTCAAGCCTCGAATCAAATTCAGACACGTCGCAAGAATTCAAGCAAAGGAAGAAGCGAAGAAAACTCACTCACGAAACGCAGAATCAAAGCCAAAACGGGGAGACGAACAATCGAAACATCAGCAAAACTAGGTGGAAAACTCAAGCAGAACAGCAGATCTATTCCTCCAAGCTTCTAGAAGCTCTTCGGCGATCTCGACGGACCTCCTCAATTTCTTCCAGAGGCAGAGAAATTCGCGAAACTGCTGATAAAGTCCTTGCGGGGGCTGCAAAAGGCAAGACGCGGTGGAGTCGTGCGATTCTGGCGGGAAGGCTTAGGTTGAGGAAAGTTAAAAAGGTTAGGAAAGTGAAGGTAACAGGAGAGAGACGGTTGAGGAAGAAGGAGGTTGCTAGAGAGAACAAGAGATTACCTATTTTGGAGGATAGACTGCGAGTTTTGAGCCGTCTGGTTCCCGGTTGTCGAAAGACATCGTTTACCAGTCTTTTAGAGGAAGCTACTGATTACATCGCGGCTTTGGAGATGCAGGTCAAAGCTATGACAACTCTCACAGAGATTCTCGCCGCCGGCGGTGACGCGCAGGTTAACTCCGCAAGCTGAGTGAATAGCCCAATCACAACTTGTTAGTTATGCCAGGTGTTATTAAAATTTTTTATTTTGTTTCTTGTATTTTTCTCTCTTTTATAATTTTTTTCTTCATTATTAATTCATGTACTTTATTATATACGTAACTCGCATCTTTGGAGCATTCGGACCTCAACTTTTTTTTCTCCCCTTTTTACCGGTTTTTATTACCAACAATTTGCATTTTAAGCAACGATACAAACTAATTTTAAATTGTGATAAATTTGTTTATATTTATAAATAAAAATAAAACACTACAAAATAAGAAGCTTGAAGTTTTGTGGAAAAATATTTATGAATTTTCTATATATTATCAAGATTTCAAGTTTTGTTCGCTTAGTTTTAAATCTTTCATAACTATAATTTGCAACGCCATTTAATATGTTTTTCAACAACTCATTCGAAGTATATTCAAGCTCAATCTCAAATTTATTAATTTAAATCTTAAGGGCAATTGATCTATATCCAACAGCCAGCTTGTAATAAACCTTCTATGGTGTTATTAGATATTGAATAGTCTATATAAACAATAGTATTATTCAGAATTTAAACAAAGCAACCATATTATTTATATTAATAATATTGTTGATTACAAATGAATATTATATCAATAAATTAAAAATATATATATAAAATTGCTCGAAATGGTGAAAAATTAAAATTTTTTGAGAAGCAAGGATTATAAGTTGCAAGAAAGTTAAAATTGGATACAAGCTAATGAACTAAATAAAATATGCAAATAACATCAGAATTTAAATTTGATTTAATGAAAATTTGGATAAATTAACATTAATAGGCAATGATTTTTGGATATTTGTGAGATATGAATGAGGGTAGGGATGGAATGATAAATAACCCCACAAAACCCAGAAAGTTAGTGTATAGTCCAAAAATGGTCTAGTCTGTAGTGACCAACAAAGCCTCGTGTCATGTGCCTTAATGGCCCTACACTTTCAACCGCACCGACCTCTCTCTTCCTTAGCCCTCCTTCCTTCCTTGCCTTAGCCCACGCCCTCGAATGCCTTGCATGTGATTCTCAACTCTAAACTACAATCAAACAATTAAAATCCCTCACATGCTCTTTTGTGACTTTGCTTTATAATTAATAATGACAATTGAAAATATATTAATAATTTTTTAATTTTTTGACTCCTCCAATTTTAATTTGTGTCGGTGAGATTTAAATATTACTATTCATTTTTTAAAAAATTTCATCTCTTTTGATAAGAGTTTGTTCGGTAAAATTGACTGTATTGGTAGCTGTTAATTATTTTAATAGTATTTAGTTATTAGCTGTTTGACTAATTTTTTATAAACCGAAATTAACTTTCTACAAAATGCTATTTCAACCTTTAAAAATTAATTCAAATACTATGTTGCTGAACAATATAAAAAATAGAGTTCAAACTCAAATTGATTAAATATCATTTCATCTCACATGTATGGGGTTTTGTAAATAAAACTTTAACAAATAATATATATAGATTAAATTTACTTGATAATACAACCAAACCAAGCATGCCTTTTTAGGAATTGAAATTGCAATTGATGATGTTGTAAAAGGACCAAAACATTATGGTTCTAAACAAGCATTAGACCAAACCCCACAAAGGTGGGGAGAGTGGGTGGCTATTGAGGCATTTCATTTTCTCATTGAAGAGCTAACACGTGTGCTAGAATGAAAATCCAATTGTCAATTTATGAGTGGAGACATGTGGGATGCCAAATGGCATCACTATCAAAAGGGCATTTGGAGCCAAATTAGTGATGATGAATGTTGAATTTATGGACCACATGATTTGTTGTGTATTTTTCCTATGCTACTATTGTCTAACCATTCAAACTTTTTATTTGTGTGCTCTAATTCAACTATGCATATGCCCACAAATCTCACATGCATCCATGTGCTTGCATTTAAGAAGCTAATTCTTCTTGTTCTTCTATTCTTTTGTCTTTCTTCAATTTTACAATCCATATCTACTCAACAAATTATTTCCTCAATTTGCAAAATGCAAATGACTCCCAAATCTCACTACTCATGTCCATCCTCTTCTACCACAAGGGGGAAAAAAAAAAAAAAGTCAAAGTCATAAATTCAAATCTAAAATTGTTAAACTATTTATTTATTTGTTAAAAAAAGAAAAAGATAAACTTAAAGTTTATTTATATATTTTTCTCTGTTCCTAAATACTTATCACAATTCAGAAAGTATTATATTTCTAAATACTTGTCGCATTTGTCTATTTTCAAGCACTGAAGTGTAATTTTAAATTAAATATTTGAGTATAATAATTATAAATCACAAAGCATTAATATTTAATTATTAAGGGGAAAAATGTTCTGCATCAATTAATGGAGGTAGTAACCTAGAACTTTTAGTCTATTGATAGTTGGTAGTATATATATATATATATAGATCATAGAGCATGCCTCCATGGGAGGTAATTGGAGATATTCCTAAAAATTAGTGGCTCTTATAAGTTATAACAAACAAAAAGAATTTCATCTAGAAGCAACTAATATGGAAAACATTTTAAGTAAAGTGTCAAAAGAAACACATGCAATTGAATATAAAAGGGGGAAAAAAAATGTCAATTTGCATTTCCATGTTTACATGCATGAAAGGAAATCCCTAAGGATTTTTGTGTTTGACTAAAAATGGAGAAGCACATTTACATAATATACAGCAGCATATATTGGTGGTTTGCGATTTTTATTTACCATTTAGCGATTTGATTAATTAAGATTAAAATATTATCTTTATTTACCATTTAACAGTTGGTAACTACTAGCATCACTAAAACATTTAATTGTCAAAAACAAGAAGGAGAAGTTATTAATATATCAAGAGTTAGAATGGTCATTTTATTTGTCATTTAACGGAAATAATATTGATTTTGGAAGGATGGAAGTAATTATGTGACGGACTATTAATTTAGAGAAGTGTGTATTGATTTTAGAATATAGAAGAAGGTATGTGTTATTTTTACTGTAACTTTGGGAGATAATTTTTTTTTTAAAATTATTATTCCCAATTGGATTGATGTAACAAATGTTACATAAGAAGGGAGGAGGCTAAAAATGCAAATGATATTTCAGATTTGTTTTTTGCTTGTAAAAATTTAACATGTGCAGAGGTGTCACTTTCTGAGTGGCAATCTATTTCCGACATTTTTTAAGCCACGTGGCATCTAAATCACCACAATAGCAATCAAATTGACAACTCTTCTTTGATTCTTCTATTCAGAAGAATTTCCATATTCTTTTGTATTTGGCACTATTCTTTTTCCCCTACATATATATATATATATACATTTCTAATTTGATTTTTTCCAATTAAGGTAATCTCTTCCTTTTCTTTTTTCTTTTTTTCCCCATTATTTCTTCTATTTTGTATTGAGATATGGTATTTTGGATAAATTTTATTTTGTTCCTTTTTTTAAAGCAATTATTTTCATTCTCATCAAGAGATGTTAATTAATTTTTGTTTGTAATATTGGCAAAGGTAAATTCCAATAACCGTTACTTAAATTTTTTTTTTCTTTGAAAAATTAATTTTATATTTTCTTTGAAATTTCTGACAAGAGCAATAACTTTCATACACATATATATCTTTTATAAATACCATCAATGTGCATGACTTTCAAATTGTGCCCCGCCAAAACATTGCATGTGCCCAAAATGGTTAAAAGCTAAAATTCAAGATTTGACTATATTATTCTCATTTTTCAATTTAAAATATAAAACTCATAAAGAATGGTTTAAAGTATAATTAGAAGTTCAATCTATGTAAATCAATGAAATATGGTCTGATTTATCTTGTCAGTAATACGAAAAACAAAAAAAATCGAATTTAAATTTTCTCTATTATAAAATTTTTTACAAATTTGATAAGTCACAGAAAAATGATACTTCTATTATAGGTCTATTGAGTCTTAAAAAAAAAAAAAAAAATTCTTTTTGCAATCTTATCATTAACAAAAATGGATTAAGAAAGGAAACGAGAGGAAGGAAATGGATAAAGAAAGGAAGAAAACGACAAAAGAAAGGAATCGGTAGTGAGCTGGCAGGGGAGAACCACCACCAAACACACATTGTGGGTAGATTAAGACCAGTATGAGGAAAAGGACAAAAATGTCAAACACGTTTTGGCAGTTAGTTAGCTACCTTTGTTTAATTTTGTCGTGCTATAAATTGAAAATTGAAAATTCTAATTTTTATAAATAAAACCTCCAACATCTCATTTGTTGCCCTACTGCTTTCTGTCCCCACTTCCTAACATTTGCTCATTGCACGTGCCCACACGCTGCTTCTCATTAAGGGCCCCCCACCCCCTTAAACCCCTATCCTCGCATTACCTAATAATATTCACATAAAGTTCTCTCATGCTTCGCATCTGTCTCTAACTACCCTTCGTCAAACTTTATAAAAATGTGAAAATAAATTTTTATATTTACATAATTAACTGTTTTATCTTTATATTTTAAAAATCGTACTATTTTATTATTGTAGTTTGTTTCTGTTAAATGAAATTATCTTTACGGCATTATTTGATATTTTAGCCGTTAACAAATCTAAACTACAAAAATGATACCATTTGAAATGATAAATGGAAAGATAATTTTATTTAATGGATCCAAACTATATTTATTATTCTTAATTACATTGGTGAGTGCACGCAGTAAGTGTAATTAAGAAATTTGATTATAAGACTTTCATTTAAAATTATTTACCGGTTTTTAACAATATTATAAATTATAAAGCTGGGCTATGATCATGGCCCACGAAGCCACAGGGCTACAAATTTTGAAGCCCATTAAGAAGGATAGATTAGTAGCTTACCAAAGCAAAGATCCTTTGTCTTCGTTTCCCATTCCATTCAACCAGCCATTAAAGAATCATATTCGTAGAAGAAATACAAACAATTGCAGTTTAGTTTTTTTTTTTTTTTTAATTATACTTATTATCAGGTTAAAACTGTAAGTTATTTAGAGATTTTGGCAGTCAATTTTCAATTTTAATTGCCAATCTGAAAATTCTCAAATGGGAAGGGGTGAGTTATACAAAAGCAAGCCAACTAAGAAAGCGCAAAGGGGAGAGCAAAACAATCCCACATCGCTTACACAGATGTAAAGAGATGGGACATTGCCTTATAAAAACGTAAGCCCAGGAACTTGAAAAATCACGCAGCCGCGCGGTGAGCTCAAAGCGAACTATTCTTTCGCCTTTTACTAAAGAATACCGTGTGCTCGCCGCAGATAGCGGCATACGCCAATTTTTGGAGGGCTCTCTTCCTTTGGAGGAGTGCCCACTCAAGTCTAGTTTTTGAAGATGAATTTTTTTATGTTCTTAAAATTTTTAGCTGGCGGAGTATATGGCATCAAATTCTTTTCTTACAAAATATAATGTTTATTTTAGCTCATCGACACTAGTAATTATCAATTTAAAAGTTTAAATTAACCGCTTGTCATTATTAGTTAACCACAGATAAACGACCAATAGAAATGATAATATTATCAAAAATCAAAATCTAAATTTTAAGGGTAAAAAAAAATCTTCAAAGGATGATATTAATATCTTCATAATGTTTTGTAAAGTGATTAAATTTAAAATGATCTTTGCGCCTTAAATTTTACCTTTTAACTTTATTGTGCTTTAAATTTTATTTTTTCTGCTTTTGATCTTTAAAATAATTCGATTTTTTAATTTATTGAGGTATAATATTATCACGAAAAGTGAAGTTTATATTATAAAATTAAAGGGTAAAATTTAGAATCACAAACTCATTTCTAAAATTTAAAAATGACTTTTTTTTTGTAAAGTTAAAGGTTAAATAATATATTTGGCATCACGATGTTAGAATAAACTAATAAAAATATGTCTCGTTTTTATTGTGAATCAAATTGTATAATTATTGAGTTGTAATTGTAAATTAATTTAAAAGTCGCATACTATCACATATGATCAACATTTTAAGAATCACAAACTCATTTCTAAAAATTTAAAAGACTTTTTTTGAATTAAAGGTAAATAATAATGGCGCATCACGATGTAGAATAAAACTAATTATATATATAGTGTCAACGACATTTGGATACTGTGATTGTTATTTTAACTTATCTTTGGACAGCTAATGTAGTTAGAAAATTTACTATTTCACAATATTTTTTTAGGCAAAATGTTCTAAACGACATAGCGTTTTTATTGCCTCAAAACCGAAAACGGTGCGATTCGGGAGGGCTCTCTTACTTTTCTCGTTTTGGCTTGGAACTTGGCCTCTCTTTCCAGATTGGAGGCCTCTCTGCATACGAAATTCTCCGCAACAATTTGAAATGGTATGTTCTGGTTTCCACAACTTACATTTTGTGATTTCATTTTTTCTCTTTCTGTTTGGTTGGTGAGAAATAATGATAGGAAATCTTTTTTTAAATCACATTTTCATGCTCCATCGATTCATCTTAAAAATTAAAATAAAAATCTCACCTTGTGTATTTGATTAGATTCATCCACGTGGATCGTTTTTCTTGCATTTTCTTGGAAACCAAAGAAAATTTTGTTTAGGCAGAACAAAGTTTCTCTATTTATAGAAGGGTTATCTTTGCATTATTTTTAGATTTCATCTTTTTAATGTAATTTTCTTTCCTTTGATTCATGTTTAATATCAGGAAGGTGAAATGGGTACATAAATTATTACTTTCTTTGTTGGTGTTCTTGTAGTAAGAACGGTTGCCCTTTTCACCTTTTATTATCAGATGGACAATGCAATTATTTTAGCATTCTTTAGCTACGATTATGGTCTATAAAGAGGGAAAGTTATAGCTACTTGTATTAATTCGGGTTTCATTGCTTGAATTCCACGAGTTATGACAACGGATTCCCGTGATTCTTTTGCCTGGAGGATTTTTATAGTTTTGCTGTAATTGTAAAGGTTTAGCTGCTTGACAATAAAAGGCAAAGGATAGAGATTGAGCATGCATGGATCATTTGGGAATAAGAAGTAATAGCTTAGTTGATTTGGAAATAGGTGGGAGTTCTAGTGCAAATGATGAGGTAAGAGGACTGGGTTCAAGTGGTCAAAAACCCAAGACTGATAGGTTAAAAAGTGGATCTCTGAGTTCCGCTCGGAAGATGAGGAGTGATGATGAAATAAGTTTAAGTGAAGGTGAATTGAGCTCTAGTGGAAATTTGGAGATATTGGTTGGTGAGAGAGGGGAAAAGGCAAAAACTAGTGTGGAGAATGGAACAGTGAAGGACAAAAGGAAGAAGAGGAGTGCTAAGCCACCATTGCCTCCTAGGGGTCCTTCACTGGATGCAGCAGATAGGAAGTTACTTAGAGAAATGTCTGAGCTTGCAAGGTTGAGGCGTACAAGGACTCAACACATAAAAGCATTGAAGAAAAAGAGGGCAGAGAAAGCATCATCTCCAAGCAGCAACATTTTCCCAATGGTTGTCACCATAGTCTTCTTTGGCGTGATAATTTTCCAAGGTAACATTGTCTTTCATTGACTATTGGATTTACAATAAAGGAAAGTTTAAAGTGAATAAAACTAAAGATGCTAAGAACCATGATAAATTTGAAAATGTCTCGATTTGCTATGCTTGTGTTGATGAATTAGAAGTCCTACTTATTTTCATTCAGACTTTTAAAATATGATCTAAATGTCTACTCTTATTGTTTAATTTTCAGGTCTCTTGGGCTCTCGTGTATGATGCCTTTGGATATGCTGATGTTTCAAATTGCACTGGGGAGGTACTATTGGTCTTTCGTATTTTTTTCTGCCCTTTTTCTTTATTTTTCAACATTTGTTAAGGACTGTTGAAAAACTTCCTTCTCGCCATTCTGCTGTATTTTGAGTTTTGTTTCTTGTGTAGGATTTATTTCTTTTTTGTTTTTTATGTGTTTATTTTAGCTTTATTGCAATATTTTGGCATATGATACTGAATATGAGCAACTGCTTCAAGTAAAACAGCGATTATTTTCTTGGGTGAAGATTACCCTCTTTGTTCTTTTATGGAAATGGAAAATCAAGTTGCAATAGCTCACCCTGGGATATTTTCTAAAACTATTGCATTAGTTGTATGGAATAAGTAAGCTGAATTTCTCAGCATAATCTCCCTGCGTCTAAATTTTATTAGTAATTGGTTGGAAGGGGATCCATAACTTACTATTTAACAACATTTTTTTAATGCAGGAGTTTGTGTTAGTTTACTTGAGATGCAGATCCGGAGTTATGAAATGATGGCAATTTCATCGCGTGGCTCGACTTGACGGGGCTCTGGTGTGCATGAGTACCGTTCTGCTGCTTCTAAAAATTCTATGATTATCACTGGCATGAACTTTTTTGGATGGAGATATTTTATGTAACTCTTTGGCAACTGAATTCTAGTGTCAAAATTTTCTTGGACTAGGTCTCTATCAGTGCGATTGGCACATTGTGTTTCGATGATCTTGATTAGTTGGAATGTAGCATTTGTTGAGTTTGGCGACTGAATGAGGGAGTTTTTTTCTGTGATGCTTTTATGTGCAAATTCCTATAAAATACTTTCTGACAGTGAATTGTGTGCAAGTTCCTCGCAAAGTTGTAACTAGCAGGATTTCTTTTACTTCGCGTTTGTCTTTTGCCATCATACTGTGTTTGCAATAAAAAAAAAAGGACACTGAATTTTTTATCATGCCAAAAAACAGAGCTTGTTTAACCCATTTGCAGGATATTGTAGTATTTGATAATTATAGATTTTGATTTTTTTTATTATTGAAAAATGGAAAGGAGATTATCACCAAATAACTCATCATGCATTGCTAAAAAAAATATAATCCTTTCTAACTGTCCAAAATTTGACAGAAGCGACAAAGCATAACTCATGCCATGGTATCTAATCTTTAGAAACCACAAAACCACTTAGCAATGTCTATCAGTTATGCATAGGTGCAAACAGAAATCTTGTGATCCTTGAAGGTGTAACAAACCCAAATCTTGTCATCCTTGAAGGCGTGACAAACCCGAAAATTATTTCACTTTCATAAGGTCAGCTCTAGGCCTCCAAAGCCCTACCCTGTACTTTTGGGAATAGCTCAGTATCAGCTTCCTCTGCAAAACCAAAATCAATGTTAAAGAGTGCTCTTTTGGTTGAGATTTAACTGATTTCAGCACAAAAATAGATGTCCGTATTGTTAAAAAATAAAATGCCTCAAATTTTGACCTAAAACGCATTCCAATTTAGAATGCTCGACACAGAACACGAAGTTTTTGAAGATTATTCATTAAAACAAATTTACCAAGTCTATAGGTGCAATAACCACTGGAAGTCCGGAATTTAATAAGGCTATTAACCCATAACAACAAAATATCAGTTGCAGCAAGAAACCAGACCTTAAGCTCTATAAAACACTAAATCGACATAGTGTTAATAGCCATGTCCCTTGCAAAGGACTTCAAAGTCATCCCAAAACATGATTAACTTCAAATCAACTGAAAAAAATTTGATAGAGCATAACGTTATGGAATGGAATCAGCAAGCTAAGCTTAGGCACATTATCTATATTCTAAAAGAATTGGGGACAATTACATGTTGACAAGGAATGCCTAGCTTCTTGAGCTTCAGGGTCCGCGTAACAAGAAGTTTATGGAAATCGCCAATCTCAGATTCTAGCTTTGCTACATGGGCTTCAACTCCTTTCCCTATTCCATTAAGGAACTCTGGAATTCCAACCTTCACTGCAATAACAAAATGCCTTCTCAATCGCATTCTAAAATTGTAATTGATTCAAAACAGCCAAAATTCTAACTTAATTGCTAGAGCTAAAGTGAGAAAGAGGCAAACTAACCAAATATTTCCAGAATACCCACCTAGCGACGAGTAAGTAAAAAAATATAAGATTCAATAAACCCTTCAATGAGGAAAGTAAACCGAAAACCTAATCCCAATGTACAAGCTATTTGTCGCCAAGTTTACAATTTTAGTAACAATCAAACCTTTAAACGAAACGATCTACAAAACCCATCAGCTATTTCAATTTCCTACGAAAATACCAAACAAAACGCAGTACAAAGCCAAGAAATTGTTACCAACGTAAGCTGGAGATTTGGAGAAGAATCTGTTAAACCCAGGTATTGAATTTGCTGGTGGGATTGAAACAGCACTTGCGTTTTTTATTGTTTGCCTAAATGCCATATTCGAGTCGAATCTCTAGGATCGCAGGACAGAGGCTGCTCATAAACACTTCTTGTTCTTGGGCTGTGCTTAGTTGAAAGCGGCTTCGGCGTTTAGCAGAAGATGGTTTTTGTTTTCGACGAAAGCAAATATTTAAAACAGTCTTTCACTGGGACTCCAAAACGCAGCGTTTCAGTCTTTTTTTTTTTCTAAAAAAAAGAATAAAAAGTCAAAATAGTTAAAAACGAAATATTCACCACACACACACACACACACACATATATACAAAAATAAAGCCACAATGACATTACTTGATCGCTTAGGAAAGACTGCTAAAAACTGAATATTGATGCTTCTTTCAACAAATTTTCAAGACACCCTGGGTGCTATCCTCCGAAAACAGTAGTAATTTTGTGTGCCGCTTTTCCCGATGATGCTGGGACCAGCTAGAAGTGGATTAGAGCAGGTCCTTCGGTTTTGCAGCGTGTTGCTGATTTGTTGCATCTTCACTCTTCTTCCATTCATCACATATGTCGTGAAGGAAATCAAGCTACACATCTTTTAGCCACTCATCATAGACTTCACCATACTTCTCTTTCTTTTACCTCTTTTAATTCTTTGACTCATTTGATTAAAGAAATTGTACTTTTAGAAGCCACAGGGACTCAATATTTGAGATATAAATAAAATAAAAAATATCTTTTGCTTAAAAAAAAAAAATAATAATAATAATAAAAAGATAACCATTCCAACATCTCTGAATTTGTTTATCCAACCATTATCTCTTAATTTTTCATTAAAATTTTTAAAATAAATTGTGATTATCCAAATTATGAAGTATTTATAATAGTAATTGATTATATTGTTATTTATAATGGTTGGCAGCTTCCACTGTAATCATGAGAAAATGATTTTATTTTATTGTGATGAAGTGGTAATGGACTGATTTTGAGATATACCAATCTTGCGTGTTTGGTTTGGAAGCAACAACAACATTTTTGTGACAGAAGAAGAAGAGCTCATTCAAAATCAATGCTTTCTTACTATTTCTCATATCTGCAGCCTTAGAAGTAACGATCTAGACTACCGCGATGGAGCATCAGATCAATGAAGCTGCTGCAACTGAGGAGAATGGTGTTGCTGCAAATCAGGGAAATGGAGGTTCTCCAAATCAAAATCAGAATATTCTTCCAGTTTATTACACGGGGAAGTCTGGTGATGGCAGATTGAGCCAATTAATTGAATATCAGTATAGTGTTGGCAGTATAGACAAAAGTGCAATGAAAGATTTGAGCCAATTTGAACATGAAGTCTTTCGAATTGCTCTAGAAGATGTTCCTGTGCTGGTAACTAACGAACATATAGGTGTGATGGAGCCAAGATATATGGGTGCCAATGGACAGCAATTATCGGCTGAAGAAATGGAGTGGTCGGATTTTATCAACCAAGTGATTTATGTTGATCTTGCTGCTGCATGAAGATCACTATTATCTTAACTGCAACCTTTTTGCTGCTCCTATAATTAGGATATGATAAATAATAATATAATTATATAGTTATTGATTAACCAGTTGTAATCTGTTCTATCTAAATAAACTATATAATTTATTGGGTTTCTTTAATTTCTTGTCAACTTTGAACTATCAACTATTTCTTGTCAGCTTGAACCACAAACAGATCGTTTTTGCAATATTGCAACTTCTGAAAATGAAAGTTTCAAGCAAGAATACGAAACTCATTGTTATATAACTGAATGTACACAAATAAAGAACAATGATTACTACAACAGCTTGGATAACATTCAAAAGTTTATCAACTTGCAAAAGGTTTAGTTAAATGGATATCGATTCCAGCATCAATACTGTTGCTTGCTTCCTCAGGCATTGCATGTGCCGCTGTTAATGCAATAACTGGAATATGAACATCATAATGTTTTTCCTCTCTCATTTTAAATAATTAATTGCTCTTTTAAAAAATCATCGCTTTTTATTATAGATTTTATATCTTTTTTTTTCTAGCAAAAATATTTATATTGGCTTAATGTATGAGTAAGACATAAACTATGAGTAGGTTAGTGTAATGACATAAAATTATTATTGTTGCTGGGTGAATGAATATAACAGTGACATATTTGTGAAGAGGAAGGTCATAAAAAACGAATGCTATCTTCCTATATTTGGTTGGATAACAAGCAACAATTACTCTTGCCTTAGGACGAAGTTGGTAGAATTAATTATTTGAAATCTGAAACTTCCTTTTGTCATTGTGCAAATCAGATGGACGGTGCTGCAAATCAGAGGAATGGTGCTCCAAACCAAAATAATAGTGGTGGTGGTGGTGCAAATCGGAGGAATGAGGTGGTACAAAGAACGGTGGTGGTGCCGTTGTATGTTACATATGATTCGTATGGTGCTTCAAATTACCATATTATGGTTTATCATGCACGGCATGAAACCAGAATAGACAGAACTACAATTTGGAATTTTGCCCATTTGGAAATGCAACTTGCTCTAATTATTATTAGATTTTTTGGTAATGTTCATCCGTCTTTTGATATTATTTATATTGGTGTCAACGGAGAGGTTTTAAATCCTAATCAAATGACGTGGCCGGAATTTATAACCAGATTGAGCTATATCACCATTGAAGAACATCTTTAAAATTGATTAGTATAATCATCAGACTGCAGAATATACAGGATCTGTTTCTTTACTTTCTTGCAAATTTGAATTGTAAAAAAAAAAAAAAAAATACTAATTAGTCTTCAGTTTGTGTCTTTAAAATATTTTTCTCTATGCATCTGAGATGAATTATAGGCAAAAGAATTTTCTCAAGGGAGATGTTTAACATTTGAATGGTGCAAATTAGTGAATTGGAGGAGGGATCTTTACCGTGCAGCCACCCACTTATTTAACACTACCAGTTTAGCTTCTAAAAGCAAAATCATCGTGAACGTTGGGTTGTGTGCTTCCACTGCCGTGAGAATATGGTTTTACTGTGATGGAAATGATGACCAACAATGGCAACAAGGACGTGATTTTGAGATATATGTATTGATCATGCGTCTTTGGTTTCGAAGCAACAGAAGAGAAGGAGAAGAAGAAGAAGAGGTCATTCAAAATCAATCCTATCCTAGCTATTTCTCATATCTGTCAGAAGTAATCTTTTCTTTATCTCTGACTCTGATTGTTTACTTCTTTTATTTTCAAGGTTTTATTATTATTATTATTATTATTATTACATATGAAGGCAATGGGTTATTTTCGAATTCAAAGAAGGAGAGAAGAAACGGTGTCGTTTAATATTCTAACAGAATAAGGCGGGCAATTGAAGGATAGCCTTTCTTCTTCACAACATCCACCCCATTTTACAAAACACCTTTCCCTTAGTTATTCTTCTCCTTATCTCTCCCATTTCCAAGTAAAGGATTTGCTAGAATTAATAGTCAACTTTAATTTTTACAGTTGAAATCTGAAATTTCTGTTTGTTATGGTGCAAATCAGATGGAGGGCGATGGTGAGGATCAGACGGATGTGGTGCTGCAAGTCACGCAAATTGCGGATATTACATATGCCAGGGTTGCTGCAAATACGTATATTCCGGTTTATCATACGGTGAACAAACGTGTATTAGACAGACGTGCATTCGAAAATTTAAACCAATTGGAAGATACAGTTGACCGAATAATTGGTGAATTTTTAGGGGATTCTCAGGACTTTGTTAGGGTTTACGTGGATGTCAATGGAGATACATTGAATCCTACTCAACTGGGGTGGCCGGATTTTATCATTAGCTTGAATTGCATTATAATTCAACAATATCATCTTCCCCAATAGATTGTTTCTGTAATTTCTTGTCAAATTTGAACTGTTTCAACTCATATATATGGTTTGTGTGTTGTCGTTTTGGAGTTATAGCCATTGACAACAATTGAAGGAATCCTTTACTGAAATAAACTCTGCAGTTTTTAATTACTCGTTTTAGAGCTTAATTAATTAATTGTGATCATTTTTATTATGATTTTGGCTATTTAACAATTTTCCATATAGCAATTCATAACGATCTCAAACAAGAACAAAAGAGTTGTAGAAAGAACCATTAAATAATTTTATTAATTAAAATCTCTCATCATCCCTAAAAACAATAGATTTCTGTTCAAATCAGTTCAATTTTGGTATCGATTTATAAGCAAGTAACCGTTGATCAGAGTTTGAGCGGTTTGAGTCCCGTTTAAAATTAAAATTTGGTTCCAAGGATCCAACTAGGCCCTCGTAGTGTTTAACAAAATCAAGGAAGTTAATAATGACAAAATCAAGAGTATGAATTATACTGTGTGTGCTTCTGCTTCCAAATGATTTTGTTGTGGTAATGGAAAATGACAAGAAGAACCTGATTTTGGCAGTAGCAAATGAATGAAAGGTATCATGCATCTTTGGTTTGGAAGCAACAATAACATATTTATGACAGAAGAAGAAGAAGAAGAAGAAGAAGAAGAAGGAGAAGAGCTCATTCAAAATGAATGCTATAATCCTATATGTGGGGTGCTCCTGAAGTCTCAGAAGTAAGGATCTAGACTAGACTAGACTAGACTAGCACGATGGAGCATCAGGTAAATGAAGGTGCTGCAAACGAGTGGAATGATGGTGCTGCAAACGAGTGGAATGATGGTGCTGCAAATGAGGAGAATGAAGCTGCTGCAAATCCGTGGAATGGAGGTTCTTCAAGTCAGGGTAGTGGAGGTGCCCCTCCAAATCGGCATATTCCGGTTTACTATACATTGCCGGAGGGGAAGTTTAGTGTAGGTCAGGTAGACAGAAGTGAAATGGGAAATTTGAGCAAACTTGAAGATGAACTCATTGGAATTGTTATAAATGATGTGCCTTTGCTGATACCTACCAAATACATAGGTGTGAGAGAGACGAGATATATAGGTGCCAAGGAAGAGCAATTATCAACTGAAGATATGGAGTGGGCAGATTTTATCAACCAGTTGAATTATGTTAATTTTGTTGGAGCTTGAAGATCAGTAAAGCTTTTAGAACTTAATTGCATCTTCCAGTAGCAGCAACTGTTAATTAGAATTTGATAAACAACATATTACTATATATAAAATAAAATAGATTATGAACTATATAATTTAATTATGTAACTAGTTGTTATTTGTTCTATCTAAAAAAACTTTTTTGTCAAATTGAAATATTAACCATTTCTTGACTGATAAACAACATTGGGATTTAGAGTTTTTGCATTGAAACTTTTGAAAATAAAAGTTCCAAGCACAAGAATGTACAAGTTCAGCTTAATGCAAGAAGTGAAACATTAATCTACTTTCAATTATCAATTATCTTTTACTTTTCCAAGTTACCTATTTACATTACAATATAAATGATTTTGTTGTGGCAACGAAAAATGGCAAGAAGAAGGTGATTTTGACAGGTGTAGAATGAGAAGATATGGATATAATGTGTGTTTGGTTTGGAAGCAAAAATAACATATTTGTGATTAGAAGAAAGAGTTCATTGAAAAAGAATGCATGCTGTTATCCTATAACTAACAAGTGCTCTTGCAGAATTAGAAGTAACAATCTAGACTAAGGAGGGAAATGGAGAATCAGATGAATGAAGCTGCTGGAAATGAAGGTGCCGTGAATCAGGCGAATGGAGGTGCTCCAAGTCAGCATATTCCCGTTTATTTGACACTGCCAGTTCCTGTTTATTCGACGCTGCCGGCGGGGGATTTGACAGTGCCGGAGGGGGAGGGAAGTGTTGTCTAGGCAATATAGAGAGGAGTGCAATAGGAAATTTGGGAAATTGTAGCCAACTGCAAGATGAAGTCATCGAACGGTTTCGTTTTAACTGTATAGCGATAGACACCTTATTTATAGGTGCCAATGGAGAGAAATTATCGGCTGAAGAGATTGGGTGGACGGATTTTACCAACAAATTGACTTATATTAATTTTATTCCCTCTTAATTAGAATATAATAAATAATATAAATAAAGTATTAACTATATAATTTTTAATTATATAGTTACTTACTAAACATTTGCAATCTGTTCTATCTAAATAGACTATATACTTTATTGGGTTCTTCTAGTTTCTTGCCAAATAGAACAATTAACTATTTCTTGTCAGCTTGACTGACAAAACATCAGGATTTACTGAGTTTTTGCAATGGCAGAAGAATACAGAAGTTCAACTCAATGCAAAGAGTGAAACATTAAAAACTCGTCCTTAGATAACTGAATGTACACAAATAAAGAACAATTTCGTTTTTTATAATCTTTTTCACTGGTTATTTATCAATAGATTGGATAACATCCAAAAGTTTATCAACTTGCAAAGGTTTAGTTAAATGGAAATCCATTCCAGCATCAATGCTCTTGCTTGCTTCCTCAGGCATTGCATGTGCTGTTAATGCAATAACTGGAATATGAACATCGTACTGTTTTTCCTCCATCCTTATCAGTCTTGTTGCTTCATATCCATTCATTACTGGCATCTGCATAACCAAACAAGACGAGCAATTACATAAACTGCAAATGATATTTTGAGTTACAAGTTTAACAAGTTTTATTTAGTTACCTCGCAGTCCATAAATATGTAATCATAAGGGGAACATTTTGAATCTCCTTCCTTCTTTTGATCGCTCAAAGCTCTGCAGACTTGATTTAAAGCCTCTTCTCCATTTGTGCATACTTCAACATTTGCTCCGAGTTTTCGAAGACTAGTAGTAATTAATCGGCGCAACAGCTCAACATCTTCAACAACTAGAACTTTCTTTCCATTCAAAGGTTTTTCTTTCTGTTTTGTATCAGGTTTATGTATCATTACGTGCTGTAGAGTGGTAGGATGTGACGTAGCAGAAATGTCGAACTCAATCATTGACGAATTTGAATCATTCGATAAATTCAAATCTACAGAACTGCGAACTTCTTGAATTGTTGACCCCATTGCTGGCCTTGTGAAGTTGCATTGGGATGCACCTTTGCGTTCAGGAAGCAGTGATAGCACTTGAATTAAACGCGAACCATGGAATGGTTTATATATCACATAATCACCTTCAAGATTTCGCTTATCCTGTTGCTCTTCATATATTGATTGTCTGATCATTTGATCATCTAACCAAACAAATTTACATGATGATTTTGGAATGTCCCTTCTGAAAGTAGCCAGAGTATAGTCAAATTCAGAGAAGTTACCAGCAGCATTATCCATCACAAATAAAATGATACCAGAAGAACTTTTGGAGTTGGTCTTTTTATATTGTGGCAAAATATGGTCAGTTCCATCTTTCATGCTCTGAGGCTTACTGCTTGCTCCTCCCGTATCTGGATTACTTGCTGCAGATGCCCTCAAGTTGTCAGATAAACTAGACTCATATTTTCCCGAGCTGAAATAAGTAATGTCTAACTTACGCTTAACTTTCTCCAGCTCCGCACGAAAATGTCTTCCACTTTTAATAATTGTCACCTTTATGTTCAAGCTCTCAATATACTTTTTCAAAACTTTCCTTCTTTCTTCACCTGCTATAAACATTACAATATGCGATCCTTCTGGTTTAGGTGAAATAAAAGTGAAGTGTTGATGAAATGCAGAAGGGCGACTTTCCTCAGTCTCGACAGATACAGGTTCAGGTATGGAGAGAAAAACATTGAACCTGAAGCAAGTTCCTCTTTCTCCAAACTCTTTCTCAACAATACTTAATTCTCCTTTCATCACACGTACCTGAAACACAAGATTTGATAAATCGGTGAGAAATGGAGCTTGAATCAGGCTGAAATAATTAATATTATTAAATAGAGTAAAATGACATTAAGGAGTTTCACCAAAGATTGAACAATGCCAAGTCCCAAGCCACAGCCTTCTTGTCCAATAGTAGTTTCCTTCACTTGAACATAGTCTTCGAAGATAGACTTTTGCTTATCTCTAGGAACTCCCTTGCCAGTGTCATCCACCTCAAATTCAATTTCCATTTCATTCGGATTTTCTTCAACGGTTTGGAGGGCATCAAGATCAGTAAAAGCATCGTCATTTCGGTGACAAAAGCGTGACAAAAACTTCAAAGCAGTTGTGCGATTGGAAGCAATGATTTCTTTCTTGAAATTGTTTTTCTTGACCACAGCACGGACCGAGATATGACCTTCTGATGTAAATTTTATGGCATTACTAAGTAAATTGCATAAGATCTGTTTAAGTTTTATTCTATCGCCTCTGACAAGAGGTAACTTAAGAATTGAGCCGTCACAAGGATCTAGCACAATGTCTACACCTTTCTTCATACCTAAAAGATAGTACATATCAACTACATCTTCCAGTAGTTGAGCCAAGTTGAAGTCTTCTCTTTCAAGTGATGCTTTCCCGGCTTCAATTTTACTCATATCCAGGATTGAGTTCAATATGCCTGAACCATTTTTTTAAATTAACAAAAAAAAAAAAAAAAAATACTTTTCCCGTAGCTTGCAAATAAGTAAAATGATCGTAAACTTAACAGCATCTTAACTTCTCTACCCAGCTCCGCACCGACACACCTGTCGTATCCACTGTCACTTAATTAATTGTCACCTTTCTATGTTCAATCAAAATAGCTCCCTCAATATAATATAGCCTCGAACTACTTTTATCGCCAAAGAAACCTTGCACGTCTACATTTATCCATGCGCACGCTATAAACCTAGTTACCAATAAGCTACACCGATCCTTCCTGGTTTACGCGTTGAAAACATAAGTGGAAGTGTTGATGCAAAATGCAGAAGGGCGACTTTCTCAGTCTCAATAATCATTGACAGAAAATACACGTCTTCAGAAAACAGTCATCGGAAACTTAGAAGACACCTTAATTTAATCATGAGGACCGTCTCAAAAGATATATACTTTGCGCATCAACCATAACTACCTAGCTCACACAACAATAACTAATTCTCCTTTCATCACATCAAATGACAAACAGGAGAGAGTTTTGAGAGTATAAGACCTCGTGGAGAAATGGAGCCGCTGTGAGTAATCAGCACTGAAAATAATTAATATTAAGAGACATTATAGAAGTAAAATATAATATGACAATGTTAAGGAGTTTCAACAAGCAACTCCAAAGATTGCGAAAAATTTGCCCACAGATTTATCCCAAGCCACAACCTTCTTGTGCGTCCCAATAATAGAGGTTTTCCACACACTATTCACATCATGAACAATAGTTGTCCCGAAGATCCTGAGCTTTATGCACATATCTCTAGGTAACCCCTTGCCAGTGTATAAATACACACCCTAAAATTCAAATTTCCATTTCATTCGGATTTTCTTCAACGTTTGGAGGGCATGCATGAGTCCAGCTTAATCAAAAGCACAATCGAGTGAATCTATTCGTGAGTGAACAAAAGCGTGACAAAAAAACGCCAATCAGAAAGCAGTTAGTCACGTATTGGAAAGCCAAATGATTTTACTTTCTTGAAATTGTTTTTTCTTGAACCACACAGCACGGACCGAAGATATGACCTTCTGATGTAAAATTTTAATGGCTTACTAGTAAATTTGGCACACAATAAAGATCCTAGCGCTGTCAAACAACTCTTTAATTCTTATCGCTCACTGAGGACACACAGAGGTAACCTTAAGAAGAATTGAGCCGTCCACACAGGAATCTAGCATAAATGTCTACACCTCTTCATCACCCGCTATAAAAGATAGTACATATCAAAACTACATTTCTTCCAAGTAGTTGAAGCCAAGTTGAAGTCTTCTCTTTCAAGTGATGCGTTCCCGCTTTCAAATTTTACTCATATCCAGGATATGATAGTTCAAATAATGCCTCTCGAACCCTTATATTTATTAGAAATTAAACAAAAACAAAAAAAAAAAAATACAGAGCAAATAAACATTATTAAACTGAATATTCTTGGACAAAGACATAACCAGTTAGAACGCTAGCTAACCAACCTATTAGTTTAAAAAAAAAAAAAAAAAAAAAAGACAAATAAACATATTCAATGAATATTCCTTGGACAAAGACAAAGTTAGACCTAGCTAACCAACCTAGGAGGTCATCCGTGCACCTTTTCAGTTGCACCAGATTTGCTGCTAACTCAGAGGCAGGCTTAGCATTTTCTTGACAGAGTTCTATCAAACCTGTAATGGCTGCCAATGAGCCACGCACATCATGGTTTGCACCAGCATAAGCCTTGGTTTTGTTCATACTCTTGCGCTCTGCTTGTTGAGTTGCTTCTGTTTGCTTAATTAGGGCAGCACATAAATACATCTCTCTTTTTGTTGCTCTTGCAGTTAAGAATATGTAGATGCAAAGTGACACAACTATAAAAACAAACAGTATAACAAGCAGAATGATTGATAACTTGCTGTTTCTATGGACAAGACTTGCCAATTCATTTTTGGGATATGCTAGTACATATACCTGCAGAAAAAGAAAAGTTAAGGACTAAAAGGATCATAAAAACCAATGCAAAACCTTCATTTTTATTCTACTAATGCGTAACATACTGATTTTACTCCTGCAATGTCAGTAGTAGAGCAGTAAAACATGTACTTGTTTCCCACGAGCTTCCCAGGAAGAGGTCCAGATTTTTTGTCATTAGAGCTGCAATATAAATCAATTTGATCTACAGGACCACCATTTCTGTTTAATACTTGCACCGTAGCTGAGGAGTTATGGACATCTATTTGGGTGTCTTCAGGATTTGTTTGCACAATCGCCTGGCCTTCTGCCGTCGCCAAGTAAAAATACCCTCCATGAAGGTCTAATGCTGCAAAATGATCAATGACTGCATCTCGCGGAAACCCCAGAGATATAACACCTCTTCCATCCATAGCAACAGCGTTAAGAAGTAAACTATCTTGATCTTCGTTCCACCCTGTACCAACTGAGGAGAAACCACTTTTGTTATTCAAGACATTTGGAATCCAACTCGTATGTGCTGCCATCAAAGATTTAGAGGAAACAGCATCTCCATATAACTTTCCGGTGTCGCGATTCACTGGATTAGCATACCGGGATGAAGAATATGAAGTGTTTGAATACACTGCAATTATTTTTTGCTTGTCTTTATAATATGAGAACATCAGACCATCATTTCCAACGTATGAAACTTGTGACATTCGTGGAATTGTTGCAAGAGATAAAAATAATATAGGCGCAACCTGGACATGAAGAACACCGACATAATCATTAATCCATGTATTGTCAGCTTCTAACATTTTAGATAATTACTATTTCTATAACTGGAAAACTTACCAACCTTTGTTTCAATTTCAAAGAATGATAGCTGAGTTCCATTTAGATATGCACTTACAGATCGTGCTACATTCCATGCTGATGAATTCAAAAAGCATAATAGTCCTGCAGTCTTCTCTACAACCGTAAAAGATTTGTTGCGAACTTTATATGATTCCAATATCACATGATTTTTGGTTTGTTTAATCATCAAACACAATTCTGAGATTATACAACATGACAGAGCCTGACAAATAGTGAAATCAAGAATGTAACTGCATGCAGCTATTACCTTTAAATAAAACTAAAAGGAAAAAATTAACCAAAAATTGAATATAGCAGTAAGGTTATGAAGGAAGCTACAAGAATGATGCAGAAGTAGACTGGCCTCAGAACTGCTTTTAGCTGCTGTAAAGTCCTGAGATTGAACTTCAATTCCATGGCTAAAACTTTGTGCTCTAGAAATGAATATTAATGGAAAACAAAAAATTAGTTAAAATTTATTGCAATTTGATTGATCATCCTGCAAATAATAGTTGCAGATAAAGAATGCATATATATATATATATATATATAAAGATAATGCAGAGTGCAAGAGTGGCAATGCAGGTGAGTAACAGGATGAAAAACAATACAACTTCTTGATGTTAATGAAAAGAAGCATATAATTTATGAGGTAATGTAGGAGTATTGGATACTTGCCTGAGTTGTAGCGATGAAATGATGAATGAGGAAATGGCAGCCATCAAATAACCTTAACACAGTGGATGATATTTCGATTGTTTTAGTTCAAGTCAAAGAGATATATATATATATATATATATAAAGATAATGCAGAGTGCAAGAGTGGCAATGCAGGTGAGTAACAGGATGAAAAACAATACAACTTCTTGATGTTAATGAAAAGAAGCATATAATTTATGAGGTAATGTAGGAGTATTGGATACTTGCCTGAGTTGTAGCGATGAAATGATGAATGAGGAAATGGCAGCCATCAAATAACCTTAACACAGTGGATGATATTTCGATTGTTTTAGTTCAAGTCAAAGAGAAAGATCAGGAGTTCTAAACGGACAATATCTCCATTCGTTATAATCCAGATAACTAGTATATATATTCGTTTTATTTTTTAAAAAATAGACAATATCCCATGTAAATTATTATTATTATTTTATTTTTCCAAGAAATTAAGAATTAGAATTTCACTTCCCACAAGTAAAAAAACAAAATTTACACTTAAAATGAGTACTATTACATATTTAGTAGTAAACAAAAAAAAAGGTAAATAGATAAAATTAATTATTATTATTATACACATTAAAATGAAATTTATGTACATAATTACATATACATAAAGCCTATTTGCTTGCACCAGTTGATTTTGGTTTCTTCACAATCAATACAGGACACTTGACATTCTGTGCGCAGTGGCTGCTCACACTTCCAAGAAGAGCCCTAAAATGCCCAAAATTCAAAATATTAGTCGATTTATCGATGCGAAGAATTAAATCAATAAAATAAAATTAAACTGAGAGCTTCTTGATTAACACCAACCTCTTGATTAGACCGTAACCGTGGCTGCCCATCACAAGCACGTCGACGCAGAGTTTCTCTGCCTCCCGGCATATCACTTCCCTTGGATCACCATTCTCTACTCTCGTCTCCACCTTAACCTGCCCACACCACATACTCTAAAATTACCTCTTTACCCACATGATCTAAATAATCAAAAATTGAAAAAAAGAAAAAGAAAATTACACTGAGAGCTTCTTGTTCTTTGCACATCTTCTTGGCCTTCTCTACAATACACTCCGCCACGTCGCGACTGTACTTCTCCATCGTCGATATTATATCAGAAGAAAACAAATATCCTGAAAAAATGAAATTACAAAATCAGAATGGTTTTTCTTTTTTTTTTTTTCAAAAAAAAAAAAGAAAAAGAAAACCTTGACCTGGCAATGGAGTTGCATTTCGGTATTACCTGTTCCATCAAGAGCAGTGTAAACAGTTGTGGGAGGCCTAGCATAGAGAAGGATAATGGTATCTTCGGAATTATGAGAAACAACATTCTTCAAACACCATGAGAGAGCATATATGCTCTCTTCGCTCTGATCCACAGCCACCAGGATTTTCCGAGCTTTTGCCGCCGCGTCGGCCATTAACGATATCGTTGAAGGAAAAAAGTAGTAAGATTTTTGTGATTGACAGTATCGTCGCGTGTTTGAAGAGTGGGAAAGTGAAGGTGTATTTATAGGGGTAGTTTTGGGATGTTAATAAAAATTATAAATCTGTTGGCGGTAAGTGGATTTTGCAGAGACAATGGGTTTTGCTTCAACTGTTTCCGGGTTTGGACTTTGGAAAAAGCCCAAAAAATCCGACTGATGACGTGTTAAGCTTAGATAGATTAGCATCCACTTAATCTTAATTTCCTTAAAAAAGTATCTAATAATCCTCTTTAAGGTTAAGTTTATTAAGGTTCTTTGTCATCTATTTAAATTTTATATTATATTATGATTCCTAATCAAAAATTGACAAAAGTTAAAGGCAAAATAAATGATTCTTCGCACACAACTTCATCTTATACGAATTTATTAAAAATGATTAATATATTTTTTTAATTTAAATTTTTAATGGTAATTGAGTCCAAAACAAGTTTACATGAAATCAATTATATATAATAAAAACAAAATTTAAGTTATTTTGGAGCGTATTTGCTCTTCTCAACGTAACTTCCACATTATTGAATATTGATTGTTGCTAGTAAAGAAGAAAAGGACAAAAATTATTTATAATATAAACAAAAATAAAGATTTATTTGTCTGCAAGGTGGCTGACACAAAGCACAAAGCATCCTTATTTTAAACGGATTGATGGATAAGGTTATCACTATAAAATTGGATTGGGCATTTTTCCATATTGTGTTAGAGAGGCTAAGCACAAAGCACAACAAGATTTTATCTTTATCACAGCATGACTTGTCTATCCTTTTCTAGTGAGTTTCTTATGGGCCTAGGCCTCATGGATTGGCGGAAAAAGCGCAAGTTGAGTCCCTGTCTAGAGGGCTGGGCCTGGGAACCAGCAACTCGAAGCAACGGTGACGTGTTGAATCTTTTTAAATTTTAAGCATTGTTTTCATCGCCTCCGCCTTGCTTACTTTTGCTCGAACGCTACCGTTTTGTTTTGAAAGCGCCAGCTATAAGGAATCAACCAATTAATTACCTTCCCACCAAACCCCCACCCGAAAATACACATAAGCTGATCGACACCGTCCACTCTTCGATCGACGGCCGTTATCCACCCAATGACGCCAACAACCCCAATCGTCAATCTCTGATTGGTCAAAACAATTCAAACCCGATAACCCGATCCACTTATAGCGAATCTCAACCACGTTAGCCAATCAAGCTTTGCCAACTCACACTCACAGCATCTCCTGTACACAAATCTCACTCCGCATATATATACAAATTAATTACATAACCATAAAAAATCTCTCTGTCTCTCTCTAGATTTTTGCTTTATAGTTTCTACTTTTTACTTTTTCCCTCTCTATATCTATTTTTTTTTGAGCAATCGAGTAATAATTTTCTGGTTTTTGTTGGCTTCTAGTTCTGTTTTTCTTCTTAGTTAGATCATGTTTTTGATTGATTGGTTCTATGGAGTTCTTGCTTCACTTGGGTTGTGGCAAAAGGAAGCCAAGATCTTGTTTTTAGGGCTCGATAATGCCGGTAAAACGACGCTGCTTCATATGTTGAAGGATGAGGTACTTAATTTTTGTTTCAGGATTCTTTTTTATGGTTAACTTATTCTAGTTCTTAACAGTTAAAGAATATTGAGTATTTTCAGTTATAATTTTGTATTTTAAGAGTTGGGGATTGATTGAAAATGGTGTTCATTAATAGCAGCAATTTAGTGTATCTTAAGATAATATAATTCTATCTGAAGAAAGCACAACGTATCAAAGTATAATCCTTTTCTGTTTGTTATGGGTATTTGTCAGAGATTAGTGCAACACCAGCCTACACAGTATCCAACATCCGAGGAGTTGAGTATTGGGAAAATCAAGTTCAAGGCTTTTGATTTAGGAGGTCATCAGATTGCTCGTAGGGTTTGGAAAGACTACTATGCCAAGGTTTATATCTCTCAATTGACATGTGGATTTTGCATAAATGGGTAAATTTGTAGTTTTAACTGTTTCAGAACTCATTTTTGGCATGCCATTTCTCCATTTGAAGCATAGCGTGTACAATTTGATAATTTCTCCAACCAATTTAGCGAGTTGAATGGTGATTATATTTTTATAATTTGGGTTGGGGATTTTGGAAAGAGTTAGAAAACTGGGTCAAATAATTACCATGTGAAAATATTGCTGATATTTGCTTCCGCCTCGTACAGCCAAATGAAGTTTTTTTCCCCATTAATGGCATGTTTTGACATCACACTTGGAGTGCCCAACTGTTTGCAATTTTAAATTACATGGTGGCCTCCATAATCCCAGATGATCTTCTTTTGTGATCATCTGATTCATGGGAGGCAAATAATAATAATATGGGAGTCCGCTGATAGCACTTTCAATCTCTTGAAGTGTTTTGATAGTAGCTTACCTTACATGGATGTTTCCTTGCCATTTTTATTTGGGTATCTTGAACTTTTAAAAGCCCTAGGTTTAATATAACCTGCAGGCCTCTTCAGTTTTTGTAGCCATTGGTCATGTTTACTAGGAAGATGGCATACTGGCCTTTGATTGTGACATGTATCATATTTTTCCAAGAGAAACTATTAGTCATGTTGGTATAGCCATGAACATAATGTTTGCAGATGACATCATAACTTTGTTTGATCCTTTATTTTCAGAAGTTTTCTGCTGATATCGTACTCTGAATTTTTCTAACGTAACTCCTTTCAATTGAAGGTGGATGCGGTTGTTTACCTGGTAGATGCTTATGACAAGGAGAGATTTGCCGAATCAAAAAAAGAACTGGATGCTCTCCTCTCTGACGAAGGTTTGGCCAATGTTCCATTCCTTGTTTTGGGCAACAAAATTGATATACCATATGCTGCCTCAGAAGATGAGTTGCGTTACCATCTGGGCCTCACAAACTTCACCACTGGCAAGGGTAATGTGAACTTGGGAGACTCAAATGTTCGTCCCCTGGAGGTATTCATGTGTAGTATTGTCCGGAAGATGGGCTATGGTGAAGGTTTCAAGTGGATGTCTCAGTATATCAAGTAGTGAGGTATAGGAAATTGAGAACTATTTAGTTGATAATCACAATTGTATGTCATATTGATGAATTGGTTCTGAACATTTGTTATAGAATCACTGTTAAAAGAATTTCAGTTGTTTTGACTTCATATCTTAGTAAAGTTATATACTTGGGCCCCTTCATGCCAATGATTGTTCCTAAAAGATGCCTAATGAAAACGATATTCTTGTTTAAAGATTGTATCTTTTGATCTCTGTGAGTGACCAATTTGCATCACAACCCTTCTTCCGGGGGATGATAATGAAATGGTAATGGGAAAATTGAAGTTATTGCACTTTGGATGAACAACTGAAATTCATCCCGAAAAGAATGAGAATGGCAGTATATGGACAAATATATTAATATCCCCGTACAGGAAATGTGATTATTTCACCAGTTGTGAACGTCAACAAATCTGATAGACACTCGAACCTGATGTGTAGGTGGCCTGCTTACCTACATACTTCTTTTTTATCCATTTGTCACCAGGCTGCTCGGTGCAGACCAAACTGCCAACTTACTCTTCCTATATATTGTTGCTAAACTTAATCAATCAAAAATATAACAAGGGCAAGAAAGAAAACATAATAGACATATTGTAATGGGAATCCCAGCTTTAACGAAACAGAAATTCATCTTCATCTTCACTTTAATTTACATGGCCAAATTGCACTGTCACTCAGGTCATCAAATACCCATATTAATTCATTTAGTTCCCTAGTTTTTTTAGTGTTGACAATATTGTTTGAATTTAATTGTGATTAGCAGGATATGCAGAGGATGCGCCGGGTCAAATGGCTGAAGAGGCATTGTCCTGTTTCAATGATAAGGTTATTATGATTTTGTGAAAGATGAAAAAGCCTTAATTACTTATTTGATAATTTTTCTTCATGTGTTTTTGTTTGGCTATGTTTATGCAGATTTATAGTGGCTGCAGTGAGGCCTATAGATTAACAGAAAGTGGGAATGTTAACGTTCCACCAGAAGCAACTGACCTTTTCTGTAATGGACCCTGCTTAACTGAGACACAAGCAATCCTTTCTTGTATTAACAATATTTTGTCTGATTTCCTATTCTACAATAGAGCTACTGTAAGAGATATCAGATATGTCCTTAACGCAGGCTGCAGCTATAGCAGTCTTAGAGGTATCTCTTTTCTTCTCCATCTTGATTTTTCACTAATTCCCTTTTAACAGTTAAAATATTTTGTGCTGTATAGGAGACTTCAATGTGACAAGATACATAGAAGGTGAAACAAGCAGTGCATACAGATTGGCCTACTTCCTTGGCTTCCTTGCTTTCACTTGTGTTACTTTCTTGTAACTTTTTCAATTCACTTGGCGGTTCACATTCTCATTGGTCAGGCTGATATTTTTCAAATCCAAACCCATGAACAGGGTTTAGCTCTTGTTTCCACAAAACTCGATGAGCCACTTACTAATTGTTTCTGATATGTTGATTATAAGTGACTGATGGGTTTCATAATTTATCCACCTTATAAACAAGAGTACACGTATCTTCCTCAATATATAGTCAATCAATAGTATCTGGCTTCTTTAATCTACCAAAATCATGAGGAAAACAAAGATTAAGATGGATAGGAGAGGCTAATATCATGCATGGAGCTATGCACGGAGGTGAACGAAGGGAATAAGTTAATAAAATCAGCAAATATCAGTATCTAATTGCACTCTGCCCTGGCTCTTTCTTGACGCTCCTCTCCTTCATCAATGCTCTCACCTTCTCCACTTTGTCCCATCTCTCTTCTGCTGCATACATATTTGATAACAACACATAATTACCAGAATTCCATGGTTCTAGATTAATAAGCTCTTCTACTGCAAGTTGTGCAAGCTCCATATGACCATGAGTACGACAAGCACTAAGCAAAGAACCCCATAAAGAAGCATTTGGCTTCTCAGGCATGCTTCTAATCAAATTATAGGCCTCCCTGACCCATCCACAGCGCCCAAGGAGATCAACCATGCATCCATAATGCTCAAGTTTTGGCTCAATTTGATGATTTAAAGTCATTGAAGCAAACAAATCCATCCCTTTTTCTACTAACCTTGCATGTGCACAACAAGATAAAACCCCTATATAGGTTGCATCATTAGGGCTGATGCCTGTGGTTATCATGTCCTCAAACAAGTCTACCCCAAGTTCACCCTTGCCATTATAAGCCATAGCTGAGATCATTGCATTCCATGAAATCGCACTCTTTTGAGGCATGTCATTAAACACTCTTCTAGCAGTCTCCAAACTACCACATTTACTGTAAAAATCCACCAATGCATTGCCTACAGACACAAATTTTCGGTGAAGCCCACTTGACTCAGCATAAGACTGAATCCATTGACCCACATCAATAGCTCCTAAACGAGCACAAATAGGTAAAATTACCACCACTGTTACCTCATCTGGCTTAAAACCCTGATCCTGCATTTCATGAAAAAGTCCCAAAGCTTCTCTATCTCGTCCACTCTGCGCCAAGCATGAAATCATGGTATTCCAGGAAACAATGCTCCGCTCGCTCATCTGCCTAAACAAATGCAGACCCATATCAACATCTCCTCTTTTGCAGTAACCACTAATCATCAAATTCCAAATAATCACATCTATATCAGGCATTTTGTCAAACACGTACTCCGCATCCTCCATTATCCCACAAGACGTATACAACTCCACAACCCCAACTCGTATAGAGCTAAAACACTCAAAACCAGCAACTATAACATCCTTATGAACGCATTGGCCAAGTTTAAGGTCTAGAAGATTGGAACAAGCCTTGAGCAAAGGCGCAAAAGTATACTCATCAGGCCAAATGCCTCGATATCTCATTGCTGAAAACAAACTCAGCGACTCTTCAAAGGGTCCACACACAGAGTATCCTTTGATCATTGCATTAAAGAGGAATATATTGGGATTTTGGAACTGTGAAAAAACACGATCTGCATAGGCCATTTTGTTTTGAGACCCACAAACGGAAACGAAATGGGCAAGGACATGGTTGAGTTGGTGAAAACCCTGGCGAAGGAAATGGCCGTGGATTTGTTTGAGCTGGGTTCGGGTATTGTGGCCGTGAAGAAGGGTCAAGATCTTGCGCTCAATCTCTCTGCAAGTTCTGCTCATTTGACAAAGCAGTAAAGTTGGCTTTGGAGAAGTAGTTGGTTTTTTTTTTTTTTGTTTTTTTGTTTTTTGGGTTTTGGCGGGAGTTCATTACTTGGCGTGATAAAACCCAGTGGATGCAGTTAAGGGAGAATTACTGTTTAATCCCTATTAATTGAATAAAATTTACAAATCAGGACCTCTGTATTCACAAATCAATTAAATAGCGTCCTTGGTTTATTGTCCTGTAACTACTAACTTAATAGAGCTTCTATTAAAATTTCCGCTGAACTGTTACAAATTATTAATTTTACCCTTAACAACATTATTCGTGAATAATGCTCGCAAAAAAAGATAATTCATCCCAAGAAATATTGAGTTGTATAAAAGAGAATAATTTAGTAATGTGCTTTTTATCCATTCAAATGTTCCTCGTGTAAATAGGATTCAATCCCAATTCAATAACCTTCACCAGCTCTAAGGTTTAAAAGCATTGCTTGCAAGAACTTCCAGAAGATGCTTTTAGAATCAGGATACCTGAATTACTTTCAAGTATAATACCTCAAAAGGGAATTTAAGTACATGTATATTAGTTACAATCAATGTGAGTGACCTTGCGACTTTCTTCACCATTAATCTTGAACATTTGAACAACATAAAATTTTACTCTTCCTAAAAGGGTGACAGCAAAAATTCAAGTTGTGCTCCTGGAGGACTGTTAAATGTTGAAACGCTGCAGACATCGAATATTACATGGCGAAGCACATTTTGCTGTAGGAAAAGAGGGCCAAACATTAGGGTTACTTTTTGGATGAACGAAAACCGCCGAATCCCATCATGGCAGCAACATCAGGATCAACATTGGCTTCCTCCTCTTCTGCTGCCTTCTCTTCCTGTACCAAGATATGGATCAATAAAAGACCATTATTTACCACAGTAAACAAAGCAGTGTGTGTTTATAGGATGAATAACTATTAGGGAAAGAGATATTAACATCATAAAAGGTGAAGTCAACATTTCAGACAAACAAGCTCTACCTTAGTATTCTGCAAACAAAAGATAGGACATTCCTTCAATAGTACTAACCTTTTTCTCTTTTTTTCTTTCTCGACGTTGACGCTTCCTTTCCTCCTCTTCTTGTTGCTGTTTTAAGATCCTTTCATCAAGATCTGAAAGAAATGCTCAGAGAGCATAAATATATATTACACGATGTTTAAGATCGTTTCATCAAGATCTGAGACACAAGTACTATACTTTTCTCTCTGGATCAAGTTTTACCTTGCTCTGTGAAGCTGCCAGGGCTTTTCCTTTTCTTGAGTACTTCAAATCGCTGTTGCACCTGTATGTATTTAAGAAGGGAATAATGCTTAACATGCATCAATCCAACAATAAATATGACATGGTCATAAATTAATTATTGAGATGAATCAAAGTGACTTGGGGATTGTCATCTTATAATACATCCGCAAGATGGATTTTGTAAGCCTCTATCTTCCACAAAGTATATATTTTGGCTTTGCATAACACAATATACAAAAGCCTATCATTAATTATTTAAAATGAAACATACCAAAAGATACCCTCTAATTATAAGTGTGTTTTTATCCCATGAACTTCTACTAGTTTCCTCCAATTTTCTTCATAGTTGCATTTTTTTCCCTTTTTCAACTTGCTTCACAGAGTTTGTTAGCCTCTATGTTTTATGCATAATTATTTTTCTTGTGTATATAAACAAGTACAACTAGGCAATTCTGAATCAGTAGGAGGACACCAAAGATTTCATAATACTAGTCAATTAATTTTCATTAAAACAAGAATGGATAACCACTAAAAATATGTACCTGTTCCAGAGATGCTCGCTCTACACGCATGGACATTCCCAAAGCTCTTTGATCTGACAGACAACATGAGATATACCTAAATAAATATCATACAAAAAGATAAATCTCACAGTAGATTTGTGGATAACCACGCACGTTTCTTTCCATTGATATGATCTAAGTAATTGGCAGAATCCTTCACTACACATTCACATACTGAACAGTAGTATCCAGCCTGCAAAAGAAAGGAATAAGAAACAATTCACCAAGATATAAATATAGAGGTGCTGGCTTAAAGAATTCACCAAGAAAGGAGCACATAGTAAGGTAATCAAATACCTGCTGGCTTAAAGGTGCTATAGGAGTGACAACCTGCAAAAGGATAATAAAAAAGAGTATATAGAGTTCAAAATAGTAAAGACTTGAGCTCCATGATAGTCAATGCTAGAGATATCTCGACTTTAAATCTTAACGGGCATTCAATACAAGCATATCAGAATGGAAAATGGAAATGTTTGCTAAGGCATTGTCTTAAAGGACAAAAAGGTTTTGTTGTACGCTATAGTGCGACAATGGAAACTAGATCAGCCAGAACTCCAGATGGTGTCAAAATAGAATAGATCATATAGCTGGGCCAAAGTCCAGAAACCAGATGCAGGCTCATTGTATTCTTGCATGCCAATATAATGCACATAAAAAGCCATGTAACTTAATATAGGTCTTTTAAACAGCAAAGCAACATGATTGGTTATTTCAAATAACAAATTCTATGCTAATTTCTATCATTGACCCATATGAACTATTTAAAATATGTTTCGTTCATATTAGTGATCATTACTTCTGCGGTCTTATACCAACCAGTCATCTTCCAAAAAGGTGGGACTCTCACTACTATCCTCTATATAACATTTTAATGCGAGTTAAAAGACACTATTATGTTCTAATAATTTTTCACAATTTCCTAAGACTCTCCTTGTGGAAACTCAGTTATTCCTTCCTGTAAAATTAAGTTTAGTATTGTCAGTGCCCACTGGCATAAGATCATAAGATAGCATTTACATTATTGACAAATTAAAAATTAGATGACTCTACACCATTTTCCTGCTTGCCCTCCTCTAGCCAAAAACGGTTGACTGTTTAACATTGCTAATGAACAGCTCAACACAACAAATCAGTAAACTGTATAACTAAAAAATTAGATCAGACTCGGTCGCTATCAAAGGCAGTTCCCCAAATGATATATCAGAAACATCAAGAAACAGTCTTACCATAGAAATTTCCAGTTCACATTTAGGGTAAATGATTCATCACACTTGGAAACCAATTGAAGAAAACTACTTCAGATCTATCTTTCACACAATGCAAGCCACAACACCATGAGTAATAGACATCAACCAGTAACACAATAACCATTCACAAGCTTTATTTACTTACACACTTAAACAAAACAACGAATAAAATAAAGAAAAAGTGATTTCCCCAAAATAACTGAAATCAATCGTGTCAATAGAACTATCACCATCCCAACAATCAACAACATGAATAGCAATAAGTGCAATGCCCAAATCAAAGACACCCATTTTACCAGAATTCAAGTAGAACTACTAGCTGAAAAGCAAATAATCAAAAACAACTAACCTGAGTTTTTCCCAATCGAGATTCAAGGTCTACTTCATAATCCCGATGCTTCAAGGGCTTCCTCTGCACTGGAGGAGCTTTAGCTGCCCAAAAGCATATTGTTAAATCCTAATTCTGCAGACCCATCACTCTAAGATAGCATTACTTCACCTATATTAATTATTTCAAACAAACATCAAAAGAATGTTCAAAATGATTTAACTTACATTTGGATTTGAACCGCCCCTCAGCTTCCTAAATAAAAGCACAAAAAAAGGAGCAATTAGAAAGGTTAATTAATTACCAAAAGTTCGACAGACAGACAAAAAAAAAACGTTGAAGTTCTGAAACAATCAAACCTGCTTTTCACGCTCACGAGCGCGTTCTAAGTATTCTTCTCGGTCGAACTTCCTTCTAAATGTGTTATCAACGCCAACAGCCTACGCATAATTCCCAAAAAAGAATCAGAAACATACAATCACATGAACCAAGCTGCAGTGGATTAGAAAAATCGGAGAGAAAAAACAGCCCATACCAAAAAGAAAAAAATTGGAATTAAAAATTTGTTACTTACATTGTTATGAGCCATTTATCCAAAAATCTTGACCTGGAAACAGAATCAGAGAACTCCGAAAGATGTATATATCAAAGTAAGAAATGAACTTGAAACAGGGAATATTTAAACCCTAAGTCTGATTTGAGTACAACTTCAAAGAAAACTTTGGTGGACATAAATTAGGATTTAATCCCATTTCTTAAGCTTAACCAAATTTGAATGCGAACAGGGCGTTTGGTCTAGTGGTATGATTCTCGCTTCGGGTGCGAGAGGTCGCGAGTTCGATTCTCGCAACGCCCCGTTTAACGTTTTCGAATAGATTAGAAACTTAGTAACATTAGATAGCTCTTTTTTTTAAATGACTAATTCATTATTCATTTTTTTATAAATTATCTCACTTTTGACCAAAAAAATAAGGTAAATTTAAATTAAGTTTTTCCAAAATTTAGCATTCCCAAACGTTACAAAAGAATAAATGTTATTTACATAACTAAATATGAAAAGTAAACTAAATTTTTATTTTTATACTTCTCTCAGTTGAGTCAAATCAAATATCATCTTAATTGTTTAATTGTAAAAAAATAATTTTTTTTCCTTCTTAAAATATTCAAATGACTTATAATCCAGGATAGAACCAATACTTTACTTCTATTATTTAATTGAGTATAATTAATATAAAAATAAATGATTCATATAGTCGATCCAACTAATTTTATATTAAAATTTAATTATTTATATAATTATTAATGAATTTTTATTTGTCAAAATAAATAAATATATAAATAATAGAATTTCCATTAATTGAGATGGAATCATAAAAGCAATTAATTACTTTTTTTAAGAGAAAAGGATTTTGTGATTATTATTAAAAATAAAACAATGTTTAATTGTTTACTTTCATAATATTGGAAAAAAAAATAAACTACTATTATCATTTGGCACATCTTTGTTTTTAAATTAATAGTCTCTATATTTATAACTAAAACTCACCGTGACATTCCGACCCGGCAAAGCGATCCTAGGATGGCAGGCTAGCTAGGGTAGTGGAATGCGGGACACAGGAATGAATCGAATTATATATCTGTTTTATTGTTTTAACTTTCAATAATAATTTGGAAAAAAATAAACTACTATTATCATTTTGGAGCATCTTTGTTTTTTCAATTAATAAGTCTCTATATTTTTATAACTAAACTACCGTGACAATTCCCGACCGCGGCAAAGGCGATCCTAAGGTGGGCAGGCTAGCTGGGTAGTGGAAGCGGGACAAACAGGAATGAAATCGGAATTAATATCAACAAAAACTAATCATAAGAGGCGCCTTTTGGTGGAGTGGCTGGAGAGTTGGAAGAACTCCAGGGTTAAGCGTGCTCGCTTAACAGAAATCTCATGATGGGCGACCTCTTGGGAAGTTTCTCATTTCATCTGCGGGATAAAACCGTGCAGGTCTTGCCATCTTGTATGGGCGATTTGGCTTGATCCAAAGTGGATAATTCCTCTGGTGATTAGAGTTGGGTGTGACAAGGACGTTTAGTTTTCCATTTCACCCGCGGGACAAAACCGTGCGGGTAGGGCGTCCGTGGACTACACCAAAGCGGACAATTCCTCTGGTGATTAGAGTTGGGGCGTGACATTCACTATTAAATTTTTATATATTTTCTCTTAACCAACTAAAAATAAGTTAAAAAATAATAAATATAATTAAATTACTTTTTATGTTTTTCTAAAGGAATTACTTTTTATTTATTAGTTTTGTTCTTTCTTGTTCATCTCTAAGGTTGAAAAAGTAAATAAGTTAACAAAAGAACTATATAATTGAAATGCTGTAAAATATAAGGATTGTTAAAATTAATTTTTGAAAGTAAAAATTTTTGACTGATAATTTATACCAAAAGATAAGAGTAATATTTTAAAACTTTTAACGGAAAATACTGAATTTTTTTTAAAAAAAAAAATACATACTCTGATAAAATATTCATTTATTCTGTTATTCATATTCCCTCCCTCTGTATATATAAACATCAGGATCACACCTTCAGTCTTCACAAAACAAAACAGGGGAGAAAGTCCAGCAGAGAGATAAAAAATGTCGGGCTCCAAATTTATTTTAGTAATTTCCGCAACCGTAGCTTTACTGGTATTTGCTTCATCGGTTTTTGCAGACGACGTCGTTGTCCTCACCGAGGACAACTTTGAGAAGGAGGTCGGCCAAGATCGCGGCGCGCTTGTCGAGTTCTACGCCCCCTGGTACTAGCATTTCTCTCTGTGTGTGGACGAAACGCAAAAAAATGAAATAAAATCATAATACGTGAAATTATTAACAATATCTCAATCCCATACGCGCATTATCTCAATGAATATAAGATATTGAAATTGCGCAAATGTACTGGAGTTGAATGGTACTTCGTGATCGATGAGCTAAGTGGATATCTCGATTTATATCAATATTTCTTTTGTGTTTGAATCGATCCTGATAATTCTAGTAATATATATTTGGTTAAATGTTTTACTGTTTGACGATTACGTGATCACCGTTGTATTGAAGTGTTTGGAGTCGTAGAAAGTTATATTCGGATTGGTCTATCTAAATAGTGTTTAGAATAATGTAATATCGTTATTGATTTCTAGTGGAGGCAGCTAATAATGCAATGTTGAAGTGCATATATCATAGTGTTTCCATGTTGAAAATAATTAATGCAGTTTCCAAAATTATGATATGTACAGTAGAGATCATGTAATTTTTGAAACTAGATGGCGGTACCGATTTCTGAGATTATTTAGCATTTCCGGGATGGCTTTATTGGTTATAACATGATCGGAACTGGAATAATGTATGTACATCAGGGAGGGACAGTTTATTTTGATTTGTTCTACTAGCCCCGGATGCCAAATGATTTTATAATTTTTGAAGCTAGAAGATGTAGCATTAATTTCTTAAAATGTTCCCATTTTTTGTTTTTGCGTTCTATGATCTTTGATGGGTTGCTTTTGTCAGTGATATGATCAGACCTGGAATGATGCTTTTGTTCTATGCAACAGGTGTGGGCATTGTAAAAAGCTTGCTCCAGAGTATGAACGGCTTGCCTCAAGTTTTAAGAAGACAAAATCTGTTTTGATCGGAAAGGTTAGCTGTCTACCCCCTGCTTTCGTGCTTCCCGTATTGGTTATCCTGTATTGTTGTTTTTTCAAATTTTAGGCATTTTTTTAACTTATATTATATGAGGCTCTCACATACAATGACTAATTCTCCAATCATATTGAGTTTTGGATGCTATCATTCCAAATCAATATGGATACGATGATGCTCTTTTCCTGGTCATTCATACAAATAATTTTTCTGCTTTTATCTGATATTTCTTGGTGTAGGTGGACTGTGATGAACATACAAGTATCTGCAGCAAATATGGTGTTGCTGGATACCCCGCAATTAAATGGTTTCCCAAAGGGTCCTTGGAACCCAAAAAGTGAGTGTGTTACTCAAACTCGTGTATCTTTTAAATTTCTTCTTCACAGTATAACGTCATTTAAGAAAGGACCACTCTGGACACTTTGCCTACCATACTGAAAAAGAGATTCTCATTCTCTGAATTTCGCAATGTTTTTCCCCAATCTTGTAATGAAAAAATTATGACCTGTCCTGGTGTACTGAAATGACATTTTATAGGTACGAAGGTGCACGCACTGCAGAAGAACTTACTGAGTTTGTGAATTTTGAAGGAGGTACTTTTTTTTTTCCTTTTCTGGAAGATAGGAGGTACTATTGTATACATGTAAACTTATAAAATATCTTATATGATGAAGAAACTAGTAGTGGTCATGGACTAATATTTTCTCTGTTATTCTATCTCCTCAAGCAGTACTGAGAATTCATTCACTAGAATTGTAGGAAAGTCACCTCAGTTATTTTGTATAGATTGACCCATGCTTTTACTTGCTTGTCTACTTTTCTTTGCCAACTACTGAAAATGAGAATGCCTCGTGATTTTCTGTTGCTCATGGTCAATTTAATTGCTGAGAATACATGGGATGATGATTTAAAACTGGGATTTGTTTTTAAATTAATGGATGGACTATTCTTGTAAAATTTCAACCTGTTGCTTGTGGTGCTCAAGTAGAACTTCATTGCATGGGGAAGAAAATATTAAAAAAGGTCTATCATTCTTATGTTTATCAAAGTTGGTGCGACTGGGTTGAGGTTTTGATATAGCAAGCATGAAGTTTCAGGAACTTTACTCAAATGATGCATTTTCACATCATGCTTTTCCTTTTTGATTACAATTGAGAGTTCTTCTAGTGTTTGTGATGGTTTAATTCTTAAGGTTGGTACATTGCTTTTAAAGTAGGTTCTTATAAGCTTCAGTTTGCATTCTAAAAAACATATTTTCCCTTTATATGTAGGAACCAATGTGAAGATGGCTGCAATTCCATCTAATGTTGTGGTACTAACACAGCGTAATTTTAATCAGGTCGTGCTGGACGAAACAAAAGATGTTTTAGTTGAGTTCTATGCACCATGGTTAGTATTGTGACTGTCATCCTTGATTTTGTTTGCACGTCTTTTTAGGGTTACAATTTAGCAGAGGTGAACCAAATAATGGATTGTTTGAGTTCAAGCTTGATGTTGACTTAATTATGTGAACTTCACGCACCTAGGCTTTCTCTCCTAAAATATATAAGTCACAAAGCGGATGTGAGCAAATTTGTCACAGATGTAGCAGGTGAAATACTAATACATGGACGACTCACTCCTCCAATTGCTGCTAACCAAGTTTACCTCAAAAGTGCCGAGGGGTAAAATTAGTGGTTCATAGCATTTGTCTCTTTGAATTCTTAAAAAACCCTCCTACTTTAAACAGTTTAAGAGTCATATGGCCTTTATAAGTAACCATTGCACACCAGGTCTAGTGAAGATGCTTGCAGCGAGCCAGCTCATGAACCTATGAATCAAATCCTTTGTTCAGGCTGGCCTTGGCTGGAGTATTAAGTAATTTCAACTTTATGACTTGCACTCGGATTGTTTGATTGTTGGATTGGGAATGCAAGAGTTTTAAGCCGATCTAAACCTCCGCAGTCCACAAACACATGCCTCACGAGTAGAATTATATATTTGCAACCTGCTGTATCCAAATCATTGAACTTCAGTTTCAATCAGTGTAGTTGTGAGATGGGGCTCCTCAACTACCCAATACGTTTGCAACTAAGCTTCTTTCTTTTTTTTTTTTTTTTTTTTTTATCCAATCAATTGAACTTTCAGTTTCATCAGTGTAGTTGTGCAGATGGGCTCCTCAACTACCCAATACGGTTTGGCAAACTAAGCTTCTTTCTTTTTTTTTTTTTTTTTTTTTCTAAAATGGCAAGGTGCGGCCATTTTGCAACAACTCGCTCTTTTTTTTTTTTTTTTTTTTTTTCTAATAATGGCAGGTGCGGCCATTGCAAACAACTCGCTCTGGTAAGCGTATTATCTTCTCTTCTCTTTTTATTGTTGATGCAAGCCTTCTTTGCTTGAAGAAGACTAGTGCTAAGGTTGTCATCTGCTTATGTTTTGTAGACATATGAAAACGTTGCAACGGCATTTAAATTGGAGGAAGGTGTAGTTATTGCTAATCTTGATGCTGATAGATACAGAGATTTGGCTGAAAAGTGAGTCCAATGTTAATAAATTTTCAGCTTTATTCATAATGCCTTTGTTCTATCAAAGTTTATGTCTTGAATATCGTGCTGTAAAGGCCATAATCTAATGGAATTGAAATTGCAGGTATGGAGTAAATAGTTATCCAACTCTGAAATTCTTTCCAAAGAGCAACAAAGGTGGTGAAGATTATGGTGGCGGACGGGATTTGGATGACTTTGTGACTTTCATCAATGACAAATGTGGTACTAATCGTTATGGGCAAGGGAAGCTTACTTCAAAAGTTAGTGAGATACATTTATAGATATAGTGTGATTTCTTTTCAAGGATCATCTTTTCACATATAAATGCACAATATAAATATTATTGACATAGGCTGGAATAGTTGCTGCTTTGGAGAACTTGGTTAAAGAGTTTATCAGTGTCAGCAATGACGAGAAGAAAGCAGCAGTCCTTGCCCGAATGGAAGAAGAAGTAGGAAAGCTTGAGGGTGCCAATGCAAGGTTAATATTCTAGTTTTATACTTCACTGTCAAAATTTTTATAAAAAATAATTGCATTAATGCTCGTAGAGCATTATATTCATTTGTTGACGTTGAGGAGCTACCTTACGTATTCATCTTATTAAAGCAACATTGAGCATCCTTCACGATGCACAAACTTTTTGAGTGATGAATATAATGGACCCTTCTTTTTAATACAGTTTTTAGTAACTTTTGTACTTTCCTTTTCTTCACTGTTCGGGTATGTTTAATTTTTTGGTTACTCTTTAGATATGGCAAGATCTACTTGAAAGGTGCCAAGAACTGTGTGGAGAAAGGTGCGGACTATCCCAAGAAGGAAATTCAAAGGCTTGAACGTATGCTTGAAAAGGTGATAAATCTTATCTCAATATCTTTGTCTCCTTTGGTTAGTATGCATTTGTTGTTCTTAATCATATTGGCCTGTGCACCGAAGCTATCTTAAACAACTGGGGTTTTGAGATTCTTTCGATTGCGATCTATTTTATGAGTTGATCCCTACATTAAGATAATAAAATGCTTTTACATATTTAGACCAACTTGATTTGGCCTATAAAATCACCTTTAGCTAATTATAACTAAATTCTTATGATCTCTAATAGTATGTAATTTGTCATGAAGTTGATTTAGGGAGAATTGGTGATGCACTTGATTTTGATGTACTGTTATGAGAATCATTGTTGAAGCCACTTTATTTTAGATTGATTGTAAAATTCGGTTCTGAAGAACTTGCAATTTGTAGTTTTTCACTTGCAGTACTTAGAAAAACGTGTGGGCTAAGTCTGAATAGTTCTCCTTGTTTTATTTTTGTGTACACAGTCAATCAGTGAAGTAAAGGCAGATGAATTCACTCTGAAGAAGAATATCTTGTCATCCTTTGCTTGATCCATGATAGGAGATTAGAAGACACAAGTGAAATCACATCCTTATTTTGCTTGGAATTGTGGGAGCTTTTCCCGGAAAAGTGCTGTTGTGGTGGACTCATGACTCACTTTTCAGGTTTTAGCAGCTCAAGGTTTTCTCTCTCTTTTTTTTTTTTTTTTTTTTGTTGTGGTTGGACTCATGAACTCACTTTTCCAGGTTTTAGCAGCTTTTCAGGGTTTTTTCTCCCTCTCTTTTTTTTTTTTTTTTTTCTGAGGTTATCTCAAGTTAATTTTAGTAGGGAAAAGAGGATAATTTATGTTACACCATTTATTATTTAGCCTTTTTTTTTTTTTTTTTTTCTGAGGACTATCTCAAGTTAATTTTAGTAGGGAAAAAAGAGGATAAATTATGTTACAACCATTTATATTTAGCTGTGCTAAAATTTGATTCATTAGTATTAGGTTGGTTTTTGTTGTTTCTTGAATCTTGATTAACGATTTATCGTCGTCTTCCTTTTAATTGTTACTGTAAGCTTATACTCTGACCCACCCCACGAGTATTAATTACATATATGTCCTGGACTGTGCCACGTGGCCTGTTGCACAATGTGGGGCAAAGTTGACACCACCCCAGAAGGAACTTAGGATGGTAAACATAACTGTTGAAAAATATTTATTTTTCCTAAAACACTTGTTTAGACGTCGGAAGCAGTTTGTTTAGATGAAATAAATTTTAACAAGAAAGTATTTTTGATGCGAGCAGTGAGAGTATGAGAGAGAGGAGACAAAGAGCGAGTCATGTGACATTTCATAATTGGGGCTCTGCACGTTGTGAAAAGAAAAAGCGTAGCCGTAGAATTTATGTTGCAGTAAGGGAAAAGGGATTCTCTTACCGTCTGAAACTCTCACATGGACCGTGTAATACCTAACATCGTTCAATGAAAAAGACAAACGGATGCTCTCATTTTTCCTTCCATCCTCCACACAATATCTCAATCCATAGGCCATAGGATATATACTATATACCAATAAGCATATAACAAGTGTATCTATCTACATATGTGTGATAAAGTAATGGTTTTGTAAATGAAGTCAGCTGCTCGTAAATTGTCCGATACTCTGATTTCAAAAAGACTCCTTCGATAACGTTAATGAGCCATTTTGAAATATAAAAATAGGAGATTAATTATTTTTAGAATATAAAAATACTTCAGAAACATTTTTAGTATATAAATAATAATATTATTATTATTTTAAGTGTTGAGGAATGATGCAATTCTTTACCAAAACTTGTTTGAAAATTAGTGTATGGTTTCACTTTTCACTTTGCTCGCTAAAATAGTCAAATTAATACTAAAAAGTATTCTATATGAGATATTAAAATTGATCATAGATTTTTATTGTTAAAAGGAAAGAATTGAGAAAAGTGAAAGAATGCAGAAAACAGGTAGATAGCGACTGAACAATATCTGTGGAACTTTGAAAGAGACTTATTTGGTCCGACCCATTAGTTATACATCAGAATTATTCTTACCATTACATATTCATAGCCCATCGACTAAAAATGGACCTCAGGTAGAGACGAAGAGAGCCCCTAATTTGAGTATTACTAAAAATATTAAAAGTATATATCACCGGACTTGATGGAGTTTTTTTTAGACCTTATTGGGTAAAATTAACTAGTTTAAAAATTATTAACTATACGAGCTGTCAGCCGTTTTACTAAATGGTTAAAACATCAATCCTATGTTCAGCAAAACAACTTTTTAAGTAGCTTTTAACATGCTATATTTTAGAGTGTTCAGTAATATAATGTTTGAACAAGATTTTAGAAATTACGATAGCATTTTATCAAAAACTAATCAAATAGCTAGAAGCTATCAAAACAATTAATTTTGCCGAACAGAACAGAGTACTACTAAGGCTGATTAGAAACCAAATTACAAGGCTCAATAAGAGCAAAAATTACAATAACAATAATTATATGATAAATGGTGGTAAGAAGGAGAATTGAACACATGAGTTTGAATCCTCATATTTCTCTATTTCAAAATTCATTTCTTGTGCCCACATAGCCAGAAAAAAAAGGCCTGAAAAACCTCTCCTAGTTTCGAAGCCAACTTGATTTCACAAAAAAGTTTGTATTTCTCGTTTGTTTTTGGAGAATAAAGTTGGTTTTACTTTAAGTATATGAGAAAAAGGTCCATGGATAAACTCAAAAAGGTTCAACTTGATAAAGGCAGGGCAAGATAGTTGAAGTCCCCCCTCCCTTTTCTTTTAGCAAGTGCTAATTTTTGTTCCTTTCTGTTTTGGTTTTTGCTCAGTGAAATCATGGAGCGAAGTCACTGAATCACAAAAAATCAAAAGCAAAAGAAGGCCCAGAGAGAGAAGAATCCAAAAGGAGGTGGCAACAATTTGCTCGGAAGTTTTAGAATGACAACAATTATATCAAGATCAAGTCTGTCTCATCATCCCCAACTCCTTTAAGTCATTGTCTCATTATCTTCTTTATGTCAATGTCTAGGAGACATAAAAAACCCTAATTATTAAAATTTTAGACTTTGCAAGGTCCCCATTTGCAAAAATTTCGTTTACACACCTAAACAATTCCCATTGGTGGACATGCATTTTGCTAATCCTAAATTAAGATAATGAAATAGACAAGCAGATTCTTTCTGGCCCCCAAAACACTGCTGAAGCAATTAAGCAAACAGGTGGTGAGCAAATATCCTAACCACCATTTCATGTGATGCGTGCTTCAAAATGCAATATTACAAAGCTTGGTCCAGCAAGATACAACCAAAATCACATTTAAGTATCTCATGTAATTGTGGGTCAGTGACGGTATTTTTAGGGTATACTCGTGGAAACTGCTGGGTAATATGGGTCCTCCACTACCTAACAGAACAGGGTTATGTCTTTCTTGTATTATTGGTTCAATAAACCAATTAAGTCACTATTTCATTAAATCATGAAATTTTTGTAAACAGGTTTAGGGTTTTCATAATGACAGTTTTGTTTCAACTAAATCAGATTAAGGACCAAGTATTCAACCAGTCAGAGCCAAATTAACACAATAAAGAGTCCAATTAGGGCACTATATAACAAATAATGCAAGTTGTTTACTCAACCAGAAGTAATAGATTGAGCTTTTTTCTCATGGCTTACAGTTAAACAACCCTATGAGTACAAAATACATGGTGGATTAGGGACAGCTTAGCTTAGCTTACTCTTTTTAACAACAAAAAAAGAGAACACCCAACAATAAATACAGAGAGAAATTATCTTAAAAATACACTAAAAAATAAAATTAATAATAATAATAATAATAATTAAAGATCTATACAATTTCTTTAACTGGATCATAGATTTTTACCTTGAAGAAACTGGATTCAAGGCTCTAGCAAATCCATTCATGGCTCCATACCCTTTTGAACTAAACCCTAAGCATCCAAGAAGCCCTTGTCTATAAGGCAAGAAAGTCTTCTTCCTCATTTCCTCTGCCTGGGCTTTACTTGCTTTATAGTGCAATTCATGAGGTGATGTTGGTACCCTTCTTTTCCCTACTCCATTAACTGGCTTCTTCCCTTGACCATTCCCCTTGACTTTTTGGCTCTCCATTGTCAAAGTTGATGCATTGCTTGTTGTAACTTTCTCTTTTGAAGCAGGAACTTGCATGGTTGGTGTGTTGATGGGTTTCTTTTCTTTTGCTGGTGAAAAAGAAATATTAGACCAAAACTTATTATTACTTCTTCCTTCACTTTTGCTTCTGTAAAGAAAATCTTTCAAAAAAACCCATCTTTTTGAGTTCCTTCCAGCTGATGATGATCTAGAAGAAGATGCAGATACTGAAGGAGTTGTATTTTCTTCAATCTTGATACCTTCATTATTTTCTAAAGAAACCGAACTTCCTTCATTAATGGAGTCATAGATCTGGTTTGCTTTCTTGTTTTCTTCATTGTCATTACCGAACTCAAAAGGACAATTACTTCTTAACGGAGACATAGATCTGGTTCTTCTACGCAAAGATTTATCCCGCAATCTCAGATCTCTACCTCTTTTACTAATTTCTATCTCTTCTTCTTCCTCTTCCTCTTCCTCTTCATTTTCAAGATCCAACAATGGAGCCAACACTTGAGGTCTCTCCAGATGAGAAGATAGCTTCATAGGACGGATCTGTCCATTCAAGAACAACTCATCGGCAGAACTCATGGACCCTGTTTGACCTGAACCAGCTGACCCGAGTCTAGCAGAGAATTCAAACTCATACCCAATAGGCACAGAGCCACCATTATCAGGCGATGAAACAGCTGATACAGAATAAGAAGCAGTGGTAGTAATGGCGAAGTGCATTGGACTAGCAGGACAACTATAAAAGAAACCGCCATTAATGGGTCCACGGCCAGGACTAGAAGGAGCACTAACATAAGGAGTAGAACAAGTGCTGTCAAAATCTTCAGAAAAGAGTTGAGCTTGTTGGGCAGAGAGAGAATGGCCATTGTTGGGATTTTCAAGGTCTGGTTTAGGGTCTGGCGGGGAGGTTTGGCCATTTTTGTTGTTGAGCTCCATAATGTGAGAGAGAGAGAGAGAGAGAGAGAGAAGTGGAAGAAGAAGGAGGTGTCAATGACAATGGCGTTTGCGTGTAAATACTAAAAACTGAATATTACTCTAAGTTACATTTATATCGTCTTTTCTGCCATTGTCTTTTCATCCTCCGTACTATAAATTATTAATTATTATGACAAAATAACACTAATTAAAATTAATAATCTTCAATTAACTCCCTAATTACCTTACTTGGTTTTCTTACAAACAACTCCTCTAATTACCATAATACTTTTTTTTTTTTTGGCTAACTATGAAATTTTTTTTAACTTAAATTTATTTTTTTGAAAACTAAAAGAAATTAGTATAATCATTACCAAAAAAAAAAAATTAAAGTATTAATTCCTTTTTTATATGTACTCAACTACTAGGGGGTATTTTGGTAAAGTCTCCAATTGATAATTTTCCTACTCTTTCTGATTATGACATTGACTTGTACATTTGGAAAGGAAAGATTAATTTTGACAAACTGCATACATCTAACTATCAATATACCTACCAGATGACAATAAGAAGGACTTAGCACTCTCTTTCCCTTTTTTTTTTTTTTTTTTTTTTTTTTTTAATGAACTAGATTTCGTTATTGTTTAAAATAAATCTTGAGTAGGGATAAGGGTTGGATCAATTTGATTCAATCGAATCAAATCAATAAATTAAATTTTTTTATGAAAAACTCAACCGATTTAGTTTCCATGTAGTTTATTTTGAGTTAAATCGATTTGATTTTTAAAGTATTTTTTTAAGTTGGTATAATAAATAAAATTTAATTTTTTATTAATGTAAATATTAAAAATCGAACTAAATTGATTAGTTAAATTAGTTTGGTTTACTGTATTATGCTACAAATTTTCACTTTTTTTTTTTTTTTATTGATATTGAGAGCGAAGATTTGAACTTGAATTCTATTGTCAAGTCGTATCCTGTGTATCTACAAACTAGGTTTTTTTTTTTTTTTGATATTGGAAGAGGAGATTTGAACTTGAATCTATTGTCAAGTCGTATGTGTATCTACAACTAGGCTATACTTTGATGTGCCAAAAATTTAATCATTTGATAATACTTAATGTGATGACATATCTCCATGAAAAAATAAATATCGTAATTTTTAAAAAAATTATAAATAAATCCATAGATATTATTAAATTTTGAACTCATAAATTTGTTAATGGCATCATAGGCATGTTTCATGCATTAACCAATGTGATTTAATAAAAACAAAAGCATAATAAGGATTATAGATTGAATAAATTTGATGGAACAACAAGATTGAGCATTGAAGAGAAGAAGAAAATGGCAGCAAAAGAAGGAGCTGCGATTGTGATTTGCTGCGATTGGGACAGTGGATTCATCGTTCATCTTTGCATTTTCTGGCGAATCCAACGTTTCCAACAATTCCATCGAACACTGTTCTTGATTTGCTTTGTTGTTTAGTATTTCGTTTAGTGTTTCGTGCTTGCTTTCTATGTTCAGTGATGTAAGCATCGCATTGAAAAATACTGTGGCCATGCATGTAAGCTGTTTGATGAAATGTCTCAAAGAAGTGAAGCTGATTGCAGTGTTAGGTTTAGAAGCAGAACCGTAGTTTGGCTTTCGCAATCTTAAGTTTGTCGTGTTTCTTCCTTGATTTATAATCTGGCTGTGTTTCAAAAAGATCAAAATGAATACAGGAAAGAACAAGGATTGCTGTTTAAGGGTACTGCTGCAATTTTCCAGATTGGGGTTATTGGATTCTTGATTCACAACAGGATGTAATGGGTATTTTTGAGTAACCAATCATATGTGATGACAAACTTTTCTTGCGCTATGCATGTTGATTTTCTTGCAATTGCATGAGCGCAGCTGTGTCAATTTGTTTCTTTCTTGTGAATGATGAAGACCTCATTGAAGATGCTCTACAGGTGAAAGTTCGGGAGGAATCATGAATATCCTTTGTTGGAACTGTCGAGGACTTGGTCACACTCGAGCGGTTAATGCACTAAATGATCTTATTCGATGCAATAAGCCAACGGTCATTTTTTTGTCTGAAACTTTAGTTGCTTTGAATAAAATTGAGCAGCTCCGTTGTAAGCTTCATTATGATCATTGTTTTGCTATAGACGCGGTGGGACGCAGTGGTGGCTTAGCCGTTTTGTGGAATTCTCATATTAATTTAGAAATTATGCGTTATTCTTCACATTTTATTGATATGAAAATTACGGAAGCTGCAGGTTTTACTTGGCGACTCATTGGTTTTTATGGCATGCCGGAAAGACATCGTAGGCAACTTTCATGGAACGTCCTCCGATCTTTAGCTAGGCTGGCAACCCTTCCTTGGTTAATTTGTGGCAATTTTAACGATCTAATGTTCGCTGAAGAAAAGAAGGGGCGTAATCCTCATCCTCCATGTTTACTACAGGGTTTCTCGGATACTGTGGCTGACTGTGGGCTGATTGACTTGGGAATGTCGGGGTACCCTTTTACTTGGGCTCACGGCAGAGGTCAAAACCGGGTAGAGGAAAGACTGGACAGAGCTTTGGGGAATATCACTTGGCAGAATCATTTTGCTAATTATCAGGTCTAGAACTTAGTCTCAAGTAAGTCTGATCACTCTCCTCTTCTCATTCTCACTTCCCCCAGAGTTAGAAATTTGAGGCCCCAACGTTTTCGATTCGAGAATTTTTTGAGGGGCCCTGGCAGAATCATTTTGCTAATTATCAGGTCTAGAACTTAGTCTCAAGTAAGTCTGATCACTCTCCTCTTCTCATTCTCACTTCCCCCAGAGTTAGAAATTTGAGGCCCCAACGTTTTCGATTCGAGAATTTTTGGCTAGAGGAATCTGATGTGGATGTTGTGGTTAGAGAGAGTTGGACCAGCTATGATGGTGTTGATGTAACGGGGAGGATAAAGGTTTGTGGACAATGTCTACAGAGCTGGAGTAGGAGACTAAAGCTTCGGTTTAGGCAGGATGCAAAGCAGCTGACAGTGCAACTTGAGAATCTTCGGATTAATGGTAATATTGAACAATTTGAAGGTGTGCAGCGTAAGCTTGATGATGTTCTGTACCGCGAAGAGGTCTTCTGGTCCCAAAGAGCGAAATCCCATTGGCTGCAATCAGGGGATATGAACTCTCGGTACTTCCATGCAACTGCTAAAAAACGGAAGAAATCAAAGCAAATATTTCGGCTGAAGGATACTAATGGCGAGTGGATAAGTGATAGCAATTTGTTGACAGGTATGGTGAGCGACTACTTTGTTAATCTATTTAAGGCAGGGAATGCTGACTTAAGCCCTGTTGTGGGTTTATTCTCTCCTATGGTTTCGGATAATGATAATCTCATGCTACTTAGAGACATTTCAGTGGACGAGGTTAAATTGGTTGTGAAACAGATGCATGCGGATAAAAGCCCTGGGATAGATGGACTAAATCCTAGATTCTACCAGAGGTTTTGGGATATTGTGGGCCATGATGTAGTTTAAGGTTGTCGAGACTGGTTTAATGCAGGTGTCTTTCCGGATAATCTCAACGATACCTTAATTGTGCTGATTCCAAAAACAGAAGACCCAGAGGCAGTGAAGGACTTTCGACCTATTTCACTCTGCAACGTAGTTTACAAAGTCTTTGCTAAGATCCTGGCAAACAGGCTGAAGACCATCCTGCCTAATCTCATCTCACTATCTCAGTCAGCTTTTGTCCCGGGCCGATTGATTTCAGATAATGTGTTAGTTGCTTTTGAGTTAATCCACTCTATGAAAACACGAATGATCGATCGTCGAGGAGCTTCCGCACTGAAAGTTGATATTTCTAAAGCCTATGACAGAATTAACTGGTGCTATCTACGGGCTGTTCTGCAGGGTTTGGGTTTTCACCAGCGTTGGGTGGACTTGATCATGATGTGTGTTTCCTCTGTTAAATATTGGGTTGGAGTAAACGGGGATGATATTGGCCCAATTATTCCGGAACGTGGGTTGAGACAAGGTTGTCCATTATCTCCCTATTTATTTATACTTTGTGCTGAAGGACTATCAAAGCTGTTTAATAAGTCTGAAAATGATGGTCGCCTCAAAGGCTGTAGAGTCTCGAGAGCTGCACCCTGGTTATCTCACTTGTTGTTTGCAGATGATAGTTTGTTCTTTTTCGAGGCATCACAGGTTCAAGCTCTAGAGATAAAAAATATCTTAGTCACTTATGAAGCAGCTTCGGGTCAAACGGTAAATTGGCAAAAATCTGGCATTTTTTTTAGCTCTAACACTTCTGCAGTGGATAAGGATGCTGTGACAGGGGTCTTTGGTGTACTTGCTCCTTTGAATCACGGAAGGTATCTGGGCTTGCCCTCGTTAGTTGGTCGGGAAAAGAGGCGTATCTTTTCTTTTTTGAAGGATCGAGTGAGGAAGTTGGTTAGTGGTTGGAACCAAAAACTTTTATCAAAAGCGGGTAAAGAGGTGCTAATAAAGTCTATAGCACAAGCTATCCCTTCATTCTGTATGAGTGCTTTCCTTATACCAGTATCCCTCTTACTAGAGCTCCAGAGGTTAATGAACTCTTATTGGTGGGAAGGAAAGATGAGATGGTTGAGTTGGGAAAGGCTATGTGTAGCAAGGGAAGAAGGAGGTTTGGGTTTTAGACATTTGTGCAGTTTCAATCTAGCCATGTTAGGAAAACACTATTGGAGGCACTTACACAATACAAATTCTCTCCTTTATCGTTCTTTCAAATCTAAATATTTCCCAAGTGGGACCTTTCTTGGAGCAGGCGTTGGCCGTAATCCAAGCTTTGTCTGGAGAGGGATTTGTGCAGCTAAGGATGCCATCTGTTCAGGGTTTCGGTGGAGAATCGGAGATGGTCAGTTAGTAAATGTCTGGACCGAGCCGTGGCTACTCTGGGATAACCAGTTTCGAGTTAACTTGCCTATTCTCTCTGGTTTTGAGCATATAAAGGTTTCGGACCTTATTTTGACACAAGGGGAACGTGCTTGGAATTTGCCTCTGATACACGACCTTTTTAATCCTTCAATTGCTGAACTTATCACTTCTATTCCTTTAGCTACAACTATTCAGGAAGACACCCTCATATGGCACTGGACAGACTCAGGGATATATTCTGTGAAATCGGGATACAAAGTAGTAGCATCTCAATATGTGGATGTTGAAGATGATTTACGGTCAGGCTTTTGGAAAGCTCTGTGGTCTTTGAAAATTCCGCCGAAAGTGAGGCATTTCCTCTGGAGGTGTTGCTGAGACATTTTGCCAGTTAAAACAACTCTAGAAAGAAGGGGAATGGAACTTGACACAGGATGCGATTACTGTGGTGCTACCGAAACGTTAGCTCATGCTCTTGTTGAGTGTCCAAAAGCAAGACTTTGTTGGCAGTTTTTTGGTGTTCAACCTAATATTGGCAACTTTCCAAATTTCTTACAGATGCTCGAACATTTAAACAAGGCGTGGGAGAGCGCATTTTTTGACAGTTTTATTATGGGCTTGTGGAGTGTTTGGCTGAGCCGTAATGAGCTAAAATGGAACCATGTGGAAGAAGGACCTTATCATGTGGTTACTCGAGCCAGAAGTGTGCTTGCATCTTGGAAGAAAGCCCAGCTGAAGTTGTCAGGTTCGGATACAGGCATAGGTGCTTCTGCAGGTAGTCAATGGCTTCCGCCACCTACTGGCACTTTTAAAATAAACTTTGATGTTACTCTTCTCCCCTCTGTTGGCCATGGAGCTATCGGTGCTGTAATCTCAAACTGCCATGGCGGGTTCGTATCAGCAGCAATGTCTTCTCTGCATGGTTGTTCTTCCCCAGCAGTAGCAGAAGCTCAAGCGTTAAGAAAGGTATTATCCTGGGTGCTATCAGGTCATCCTAATCTGACGATCCAAATTGAAACCGATTGCCTGCAAGTTTATCATGCTATGAAGAGTTCTGCCCACGACTGGTCTGAGTTTGGAGTTGTTATCTCTGAATGTAAACTTCTCTTAGTCCAATTGCCTAGTGTTACCTTGGCTTGGATTAGAAGACAAGCAAATGATACTCTGCTCACGATCTGGTTCTGAGTTGGACGTCCTAGTTTTCTCTGAATTAATTACTTAACTCATTAGTACAAGTTGAGACGCTAGATGTAGTTAACCAATATGGCTTGATTAGAAAGCAAGACAAATGATAAATAAGAATCATGTGTATGCGCTAAACATTCAGATATATAAACGAGGAACCTTGTATTTCAAATTTGGGGATAGTTAGTCTGTTTCCCGCGTGTGTTCATTAGCTCATTTCTTTTCATTTAATAATATGAATCGATTTAAGTTCAATATTACGCACAAAATAAAAAAAAAAAAATAAAGTATTAATAAAGGAATTAAAAATGATTTTCTTTAGTTCGAATGATATTAAAAATTAAATAATTAATATAACCCATTGGGGCACGGGTTCAAATGTGTCTACCAAAAAAAAAAAAAAAAAAAAGCATAATAAGGATTAAAATGTATTTTCTTTAGTCAATTGATATTAAAAATTAAATAATTAATATAACCCATTGGGGTAGGGTTCAATGGTTACCCACAATTTAAGGGCACATTGTACATATAATAAGTCATAAAAAGAATTAAAAAGGTGTTAGCCTTGAGAGAAGATTAGGGATCCCATTCCCATGTGGGGAAATGGGAGAAAGGGTTTTATGCCATTTATCAATATTTATGGAAGATCGATAATAAAAAGTAAGAGTGTAGTAAACTTCACAAAATAAATAAAATTTAATAATAGTCGAATTAATAAAATAAAAAAAGAAAAAGAAAAAGAAAAGCAAGCATTTACAAACTAGAGACTACATGCTAAAGTCCCTAGTCCTACAATGGGTAGGGCTTCCCTCCTGGTGATGTCACTCCCATGAAGAGTTGAAGACCATCTGGAGGTCACATGCCCTTATCTCTATGCTGTCTTCCACATCAAGGGCATATCTTATTTGCTCATCAGCCGTCAGATTTGCCTCGAGATTCATAAGTAGATTGATTAATCAGAAAACAAAAGAGAGAGTCCCTAATCTGATGATCAAGATGGAGCTTTGGATTTGGATGGACTCTAAAATTATTGGGTCATATAACACTAAATACCTTAAATCATTGACATGTTGCAATTCTGATGTTACAGATCATTTTTTTGTACTCAAATATTCCCGTTACAACGTTCACAAAAATAAATTAAAAATAATATGATATTTTTTTTAAAAGAATTCAAAAAGCATTCGAAAATTTTTTTTATGAACTGTTGTTTTTCAAGAAAATAACCATATTTATAGAAATAAATTTCATGAACTAATTAATAAATATATCAAACAAGCTAGATGAAATTATAATTATAAAAAGATTTGAGGGATTAAATAATTATTTATCCATGTATTATTGAAAAATGAAGACGAGAAGTATAAAAACAATAATAAAAGGCGTAGGTATGCTTTTGGAACAAAAAGGAGTATCTGAATATAGGATCCTAACTTTAGGCTGAGGTTCTGCATAAATAAACTCCACTCTAATTAATAATTAATCATTAATTATCTTCTTAAACAATTCATTAATCAGAATAAAGATAACATAATAATCTGTTGACATTGCAGAAATATGGTGTCTCTTTTCAGTTGTCTCTCTATCCAAGAAAGAAGAATATTGGTATCCATACACAAAAATAGCTTCAGCCAATCCATTTTTGACATCTGTGTTTCCTCACGTTGAATTTTACCCCTGCCATTTTTCTTCATTTTATAATACTTAAGAGTTACAGGGTGGTCTTCCATAAAATCAATTGTTTTTATAAGTGTTAGCTGTTGTAATAACCTTTTAGATATTTTATTTGAATAGATTTTTATAAAATGTTAAATTATAGGAATTAATTTTTTATAAAATGTTACTATAACTAAATTAGTTCAAACACACTAATTTAATGAATACATTAAAAAATAGTGCAGTCAAAAATAATAAAAACAATTTAAAAGGCTTATATATATACTTCATAATATATATATATATATATATATATATATATACCGAGCTATATATATATATATATATATATATACCGAGCTAAACCATTGAATAAGTAATCTCAAATAATGGAGACAAATTGAAACCCTGCAATTGGGTTGTTAATGTCTTAATTGTTGTTTGTTAAGCTAAGTAAATGGTTCCATCTGACTTGACTGACATTTGAGAGGAAAGGAAAAAGAGAAGAAAAATTAGGGTTTTTGCAATTGGAAATGAACCAAATGATTTATTATTAAAGGTGATTCAGTTAATGGTAGCATGTGAGATGTGTTGAAAATTTGAGACACACCTTGTGGAGACCTATCTGAAAGGCATATAACCCCAAAAATGAATGTTTTGCGTACCCTAAAAGGAATTCTAAACCTCAAGTTTCATAGCTCCATCCAAAGTAAGTAGGCCAATGATGTGATAAATGATAATAAATGAAATCTTAGGGCAAGTTTCTTTGATTTTGTTTTTTTCTTCAATGGCTATTTATAGATTATTAGGGCATGACTATTAAAAATCAAGAATGGATGAACTCAGCCTAGTTGATTGTCAACCTTCTAATGAATTAAATATTAATAGAATCATTTTTCCATTCTTTATTTTCTATTGTTCAATTGGTCATTGTAGATAATAGCAGGTGGAGATTTATGATGGATGAGAGAGAATAATAGCTAATGCTAAACTGTTTGAATAGAAGTCAAACCAATTTAGATATGGAAATCTAGAGGGCACTAATATTTTATGAAGTGGGGGGCACCCTTAAACTAATTGGGATTAAAGATATGATCTTTAATGGAAAATGACAAGTGGGTCATACGTGATTATATCAATTATATACTCTCCTACACCAAAACAAAAGATTATGAGGTTAAAAACTTCCATAAATACACTAGATTTTAATTTCAATAGAAGAGAAGCCTTTCTTAGAAGGACTTTACAAGAAAAGTAAATCAGAAACTAGTTCATCAACCAAAGAAGTTAGTATTTCCCTCTCAATTTCTACACCTTCTTCAAATGCTTCGATGTTAAAGTCAAGCCATTTCCCATTTTGAGTGCTCATGTCTCTGTCTACAAGCTCATCTACCATTAAGTCTCCCATTCCTTTCCAACCTAAGATCTCTCTATGTATTTCTTCTGCCAACCACCACCCTTTTCTTTGAAACAATGTACACAATTTAGCCAATGAGTTGCAGCTCCCAACAAAAGTCTGCTTGCATATGAGATCCAAACGTTCACTAACACAATCGAACAAAATCTTTCGCTCAAGCTTGGAGTACTCTTCTTCATTTCTTTTCGTTCTATTTCTTTGATTTTCCAACAGAAAGAAAACATTCGGAGTAATGACATTTGGAGTTTGATCCAATGCGAAATCTTTCAACTTTAACTCTGTATTGTTAAGTACATCCCTCACATAATCTAGTTCCCAGTCATTTGATTCATTAAATTCAGTTGTAGTGAATGTTCCAATTATGTGCTTTCTCCCCATTTCTACTGTAGATATTGAGGAGGCTGCGTCTGATAATTCTGTCTCTCCTTCAACTTCTAAGGATTTGTTTGTTGAAAAACCATAGAGCATGTTGTCAGATTGAACTGGTGAACAAAAAAGCACATTAGTTTGTTACTATTAATGCATATTTTCATCCACAAAAAGGACAATCATGAAAAAAAAAAAAAAAAAAAAAAAAAAAAAAAAAAAAAAAAAAAAAAAAAAAAAAAGAGGAACAAGATCATAATTATGTAATCAAGAAATTTCCAGCTTACATGAGCTTCTATAAAGGTTTGGAAAAAAAAAAAAAAAAAAAAAAAAAAAAAAGAGGAACAAGATCATAATATGTAATCAAGAAATTTCCAGGCTTACATGAGTTCTATAAAGGTTGTGTTGATTACAAAATATCTCACATCATATTAATAATTAACACAAATCCTAAACGTGCAAAGAATCCCAAACCAATCCAAATAATTCTGAGAGAAGAGCTTGTATACTTATTTTTTATAATGCACTGTCTTCTAAGAAAAACAAAACATAACTGCCATATGCTTGCCAAATTTCCTTATCAATTCTAGGCTGCTGATTAGTTCTTAGCTTGATATATTTGATTAAATATGGAAATATAATGCATGTGGTAATATGATTTCTGAATCACAATTATATTTAGCAAAACAGAAAAAAAAAATGTCAGTGGAATTATGCGCATGCTATTACCATTGGGAGTCGAGCAACTTCCACTCTCAAATGAAGGTTCAAGAATTGAAACTGGAGTTAGATATGGACACTCAGGGTCTTTTTCAGCTTTGCTAAAATTGCTGCTACAATTAAGCTCTTCCATTTCTTCAGATTCCTGATATGGGTAAAAAGAAATTAGTATTGGCCAAAATTGATGTCAATATAAATATATCCGTAAGTACAACTTGCTGAAACACCTTTAATCCATAACGTTAGAGAACAAGTGAAGGTTACCCAAGAAGCAGATAGTTAACACAAAACTAGAACTGAATGCTAATTTCAACAAAGAAAGGTTGTGATAGTATAGCAAAAGGCAGAAGCTAAAAGCCAAACAGACAGGATGGATAACAACACTGCAGAACCATTAACAGAAAGAATATTGCGACTGCTTCTGAGCTCACTGGTTATGAATGATGGCTCCATTTCTGGCATCTAGCGGGGAAAAAAATCAGTCACTAGAAGTTTAAGTTTCACTGTTGTAAGAGTGTATACTACTATTATTTTTCTCATTTGGAAACATTTAAGTTCTAGTTTAGGCCTTGAACATAGAAAAAAAACCCAAACATATTGAAATACCAAAGGAATAATATGGATTAGAGAAATAAAGAAAAATGCTGCTTCAAATTATAAGCGTATAGTAGACACACCTGCAAGTTTTGATTCTTGATAAGCTTCGGATCCTCCACTGGAAAGCAATCAGAGTTATCTACCTCGTCTGAGTTGTCATTTTCTTCTACAAGTTGAAACCTCCTGTCCTCTGCTGCAGGAATGGTGTTAACCACGTCGAATGTGGAAATAGAATTCTGTAAACTGGATGTAGAACTATCAGCAGTCTCTTCCCTAGCCAAATTACAATTGGATGACTTGACTTTATTTGTTAACTCTTGCAGCTTTTGTTCCAAAAGAGCACCCAAAGCATCACCAGGGATTATATTTAACCCAGGAAAAGAAGACGTGGACCTTGTCAAGTAAGTATAATTATTAATAACACAAGAATCATCGGCACAGCTGTTAGTTTTTCCCGTCATAGAGACCTGGGGATTGGGTGTGGTCCTCTTCACAGGAGATGTGAATGTAAATGAAACAACATCAATGCTATTTTTCCTGTTATCTACAGATGTCTTTGTGCTTCCATCTACTGCAAGATTACATTTTATGTACCTGTCATCTCCATTAAATGATGCATTATCAGAAACACTTCTGCCAATTTGGAGATCATCATTAACAGACTGTTTCTTCCAAGATATACTATTTGGTTTCTCCTTGTCAGAATCTATAGCCACAGAGCGCATCTTTCTGGACATAGTTTCAGGCTTTAAAACAACTTTATTCACAGTCCTGCTTTGCGCTACAGAACCATTCATGGGCTGAGTTTTGCTGCCGGGCTGGTTAGAGAACGATTTCTTCAAAGTTGAAGTCTCTTTACCAGATAGAGAATTTTGCTTCTGGCTATTCTGCCTAAGCACATTAGCAGATCTGCTTTCCGACTTTCTCTTGGTCTTCTGCGTGCTAGGCAGGCTCTTAATTGACTGATTAGACCTGATCTCTTTCTGCTTCTTTATGTTGTTATTACTTGATATGACACTCTCCCTTCTCTGAACATTGGACTTCACTTCTACTGCAAGTGAAGTTGACTTTCCTTTATTCCTTAAATTGTTTGAAGCACCTTTTTCAGCAAACGTTGAAGCATTGCGCGACTGTGCATCTTCTGAACCACTCCGTCTCCTATCACTATGCTGTCCTTTCATATGTTTGGCAGCAGACAATTCATTTGATCTTTGAGGCCTAGATACATTATGTGCTACTTCCATTTTCTGTTTCAAATCCCGAATTCTCAATGGAACTGAGGATGATGCAATTGATGGCACTTTACTATTCATAGTTACCTTAGGACTTGCATCAATTATCTTTGCAGCTGCCTCTATTATGTAAGCAGCATTCTTTGTTGGGATGAATCCAGGATTCCTGATCGGAGACAACAGCTTATGGTGCGTAACTGGAATTGGTTTAGCTGATTTTGGAGGCAATATTTCAGTTTGAAATCTCTCAATTGGCCGATTTTGCACCTTTTGTGACCTTGGTTCCAAAGAATTCCAAGAATACCCTCCCTGGTTACTGGAAATGCTGAGGTAGTCCATGGGGTTATACTCACTCCATAAATTAGGAGTACTCCTATCATGTTGAGATGCTCCAAGTGAAGAGGAAACAAAAAATGGGGTAGAGGATGCCTCCTCAACACTTGTTGTTGGCAAAGAATCCAAGCCCATAAGCCTGGCAACCACCCCAGGTGCTCTAGTTCCATAACCTTCATCACTGGTTACTGATGATGCGTAACTGAAGTCACTACTCCCTCTGTTACTTGAATTTGGTCTTCTATCATCCACCTCTATCTGAATATACAGCAAAATTTCAACATTTTGTTAAGGTTAAAAGTTAAGAAATATCAAAATTAGTATATTACAATAAAAGAGAAACTCTCACCTCATGAAGCTGTGATTTAGTAATATATCCAACATTTTCTTTTCCTTGCTTTGATCCTTCTACAATCACAATGTGGGGGGAAGTTGAATAATTGATTGACACTAGCCCATTTAAGAAATTGCGCCAAGAAGAAGCAATATAAAATCTAGAAATAACATATGCATATCCAAAATCTAGAAGGAAAAAAGATCGTACCAGCTACTTCAAAATTGTTCGAGAACAGCTTCTTACGAGACTTCCCATTCCAATCAAAAAAGTGGAAAAAGCCTCCCTTTGAACGCTTTCTCTCACCCTCCATTATCTCATCTACAAACAAAAACAACTTAACAGTGTCAATAGAAAACTTAAACGCTCAAAAGCCGGGTTAGACCACTGATTACTAAATTCATAAGCACATAAATATATTCCAGCACGAGAATGAGATACACAATTCGCATAAACCTTAACTCGTCGACATCTTATCATTTCACAAAATTAGATAACTAAATAAATATCAAACAAAATCAATTTGGACAATTTATCCTAATTTATGGACTTGAAAATTGTCAACGAAGTTCAAATCAAATAGTGGGATTAACGATTAGAAGAAACTGTGGCATGTTTTAACTCTCAAATCGCAAGCACGCCTGATATCAGCCATATTGCTCATTCAGCTAGGTAAATCAAATCGTTATAAACAATATTACCAAAATTTCAAGGACAATGGAGAAAAACGAATAATTTCTTGAAATGAGATTTAAAATGAGAAAAGGGAAAATAGAGGGAAAGAAAAAAAAAAAAAAAAAAAAAAAATGGAGAAAAAACCGAATAATTCTTGAAATGAGATTTAAAATGAGAAAAGGGAAAATAGAGGGGAAAAGACAAAAAAAAAAAAAAAAAAAACACACACACACACACACACAAACCACATTCAACTCGGACAGCTTACCTAGATTCTTCCGCAGTGCAGAACACAAAAGTTCGTCCTTTTTCTTTTTTGCACAAACAATAAACAACGAAATCAATTTCTAAAAAAAAAAAAAAAAAAAAAAACACACACACACACACACACAAACCACATCAATCGACAGCTTACCTGAGATTCTTCGAGTGCAGAACACAAAAGTTCGTCCTTTTCTTTTTGCACAAACATAAAATCAACGAAATCCCATTTCTATGGAGCCAGCAAGCAGAATGGGAGTATCCAAAAACAACTTAGATCAAATGGGTAATCTTAAAATGAATAAAAGATTAAGACTTTAAGCTATTTCAATCAATCTCACCAGATACTCAATGTACACATAGCCCATTCTTCTACAAGAAGATAAAGGAAAAGAAGAGAAGAAATCAATGCCAGTCCAAAGACATAAAATTAGGGTTGAAAAGAAAAGGCCAAAAAATAAAAATTTTAAAATGAACCCAAAAAGAGCCAAGAAATGCAGATACTGAGAGATATACAGAGATTTTGGGTACACAAGAAATAGTCCAAAAGGAATGCAGTAAGAGGAAGGATCCGCCAGTTTAAAGATATTAAAATGTGTCAGAAAATGGATGGAAGAAGAGAGATGGTGTTTGTCTGTGTGGCGTGAGCAATAAATTTTTGTAGAAGATGACACCGCTAAGATTTTAAGGCCAGAGTGACCTGAGCTTGAGGCACCTCTCTTGTCTTGTGAAATGTGAAACTGTAATTGTGAATTATTATCACCAACTACTATGAAAGTCCATTTTCACTCGTATCAGTATAGTTTGACAATCTTGCAGCGTAGTCTTTCTGCATATGCGTTTGGACATGTTTTGCCACTTGGTGAGTTCCACTCTTAATGAAGGGCTCAAAGGAGTAATTGGAAGTAGGTTTTTTTTTGTTTTCTTTCAATTAGTGCCTTTATTTTTTCCGAATTATTGGAATTAGGTTTTTTTTTTTTTTTTATCATGTTCCATTAAGCTTATATTCTTAAGTTCAATTGTTTCTCACTGCTCAATAATTAATGAACCATCAAATTTTTTTTTTTTTTTCTATTTTTAGAGAATGAAACATCAAAGATTAAAAGTTGGGGCAAGTTTTAAGTGATTACTAGAAAGTGATGCAATAAGACTAAATTGAAATTTAATCCAAATTTATATTTCTTATCTTTATGAATCCTTTTGCTTTTTAATGAATTTTATAATTGTCGTGATGAATTGTACTACTTTTAATGGACCATGGACCATATAATTTTAACCTGTTAAGTTTTATCTAACTCATCAAATTTTTTACAAATCAAATCGACACTCAAAGCTTAAGGAATAGCGGAACTAGATGATAGCAAGTGGGTGCTACTGTCCCTCATGAATTTTTTTTTTTTTTAAATCACTATATTAGTGTGATTTTTTCACTTTTACCCCATAGATTTTGAAAAATTTTTTTATTATCCCCTTAACTTTGAATCCAAGGTCTGCCATAGGACTCGATACACAATTTCGTCTACTTTTAAGATTCTGTCATCATCAAATCAAGAATATCCAAACTCAAATAATCTCAATCCGGACTTCTATATTCCCACTACCAGAAAGCCCAAACCAACAAATTTTCCGTTAGCTTTTAAGTAGAGAAAAGAAACATCTGCCTTTATTGAAATCTCAAGTTAAAGAAAATGGGTTGGTTTGATTAAGAAAGATTTGGATTTAAGCAAAGGTTCACACAGTTTTCAAATTGATATATTAACACATGACTTTATTATTGGGTAGTTAACATGTCAAAACCTGTTAATTAAATATATTATTAAGAAGGAAAACATGAAATTGAATCACAAGAACTGGATGGTAGTTGCATGTGCTCTATCAAAATATTCCTCCGAAGTCTTTTTGGGTTTGTAGATCTTAGATCTTAAATTAATTGTTGACCACAAGCCGGCAATTCAGATTAGAACGGTTGGCAAGTGATAATTAGATTGGCCTAAGTTCAATAATTAACATGCAATTTGCCACATCAATTAAGAAAGAATTTTAAGGAAACAGACAAATCAACTAAATTAGGAGCAAGTAAAGCTGCCAATTGTAACGAGATGCTTTTGGTTAGCCATCTGAGTGAAAATGAAAGATAAAAAGTAAGGAGTCATTTGCCTCAAACAAAAGCCAATGGTCATCAATAGCTCACTATCAACTATTTTAATGAAATTTTCAAGAGTAATCCAATTAAATTACTAATTCGGACAGATATAATATATGGAAAATTGACTGGTGGCATGATTTTTTTAAATTTTTTCAACACCTCTTGGCTTTACCATACTCACCTCGTCCCAAATTCTTCCATCCATCCACAGGAGCACGTGAGATCAGTTATAAATAATGCAAATTTGCAGGAAAGTCCAAATTAACAAGGAGTTCGGTCTGTAGTACCTTTAACTGACAATGACCATGTAGGCTCTGGTTACTGTATTGAGCAGAACTCAGATGAAACAAGATATATGCAATCCTCATCCTTTGAAAACATCATCTAGGTTGAAAGCATTCACCGCATAAGATGTCATCGAGCCCCACGCATGTGCACATTCACACAAAAGAAGAACAATGTGGCCACATACAGTAATGAAATGGAGCATTTTCTCAGTAACAAACGAGAAACAGGATGCATATACTCACATGGATGTCTTGAGACAGTTATCACATGGATTAGAACCATATTTGCAGTCTTTACGGTCAACAGACTCTCCAAAGTGTTCAAGTAAGGCTTGTCTTCGACATTCAGCCTAGAGATTTTTAAACAGACAGTAAAAGGGAAAAAAAGTCAGGTTACTAGTAGAGACTTTCTAAAAAAAGTTGGATATTTCCTTTGTAGTCAATGTAATATTAAGTAACTAATACTATCAGATTACTCGCCTTGAGTTCACAGTAGTGTTTCATCTTCTGAGCTTGGGTCATTGCTGTCTTAAAGCTCTCCCTTTTACGTCCTTGTCCATTCCTCAACATACAGACAACCCGACTGAAGTCCTTCTTCTGGTATAGAACAATGCATACAGCAGGGAGATTATCTCTTCCAGCCCTTCCAGATTCTTGATAGTAGCTTTCAATTGATTTGGACAAGGTATTGTGGATAACAAAGCGCTGAGTGTTTGAGAAAAGAAACTTTTAAGCTTTGTAATGCAAAGCGTTTTGTTTTTCAGAATATTAAAGAAAGGAAAGAAGTTGTATCAAAGATGCAAAACAATTTCTTGAAAAAGGGGAATAATAGCAGTAGGCTAGAGAAATTACTATGCTGTTGCTTCATGGAAATTTCTGTTTGCCTTTATATTGCTTCTCTTTCATCAGATCTCTACATGTTTTCTTTTTCCAGTATGGGTTAAGTGAGTGCATATCTAGTAAGTAACTTTATCATTTTAAAAAACGCCCCAAATCAAATTAACAGAAACATTTTTGCTTGTAGGATGAATTATGAATCTTCTCCTAGAGTGCCCAGCCTAATTATAAAAATTAGTACAAAAAAATTTAAGAAACAAAGCAAATGAGTTCAATGAACTTACAACATCTGGTTTATCAATTCCCATCCCAAAAGCAATGGTAGCACATACAATGTGGACTTCACCCATATGCCATTTCCTCTGAACTTCGACTCTTTGACGAGCGGCCAGTCCAGCATGGTAATATACCGTCTTAATCTTACATTTTTCATTCAAAAAATTTGAAACTTCAACACATTCGGTTTTTGAAAGGCAGTACACAATTCCACATTGATTCATGAAATGATCCTTTAGAAGCTGCCCGAGCTGCTTTAGTGTTTCTTTGGTCTTTCCAATCACCTCATACTTTAAATTGGGTCTATCAAAGCTTGTCTCAAGTACAAGAGCATTTGGAATTCTTAAAGCTTTTAAGATATCCTGCAAAAGAATCAGAAGAGGACATATTTTTTTATTCCAAGAAGGATAAAAAAAGAACAAAGCATTGCAAACAAATTACCTCACGAACTGACTGGGTTGCTGTGGCAGTCAAAGCCACCAATGGAACATCTGGGAAATTCTGCTTAAGCCATCCCAGTCCCCTATAATCTGGACGAAAATCATGCCCCCATTGGCTGGGAAACATCATTTGTATTAGTACAAATTGATAAGTAGCAGAAGTTACATTTGGATATCAACATTTTAAAAGACTAATTTGTTTCTAAAAGAAAATGAAAAATATCAGTTTTGAAACTAAATTTGTAACTTAGAACTGTAACTTGAGGGTCCTGCATCAGTATATATTCCCCACATGCATTATTTATTGGACTGTTAATTTTGTTTTCGCTCGAAGTTAACTGCACCAATGAAATTGGATAAATGCAGCCTAATGAACCAATAGCTGATATCCACAAAATATGTATTAACTTTAAAAATTCTGAAAATATTACCTAGAAAGACAATTCTAAGAAAATCAAGTTCCCAGCTTGAGATTGGACATATATGGATAATAAAATGATATAGTCTAGAAATAAAACCACAGAGTCGAATGCTATACATACTAGAGTCTTGAGAGAGAATAGAATGACTGATGTATAGTTAACTTGGAAAAGCTATCAATATGCACAGAGTAAAACACACCAAAAGAGAAAAAGTATACCTCACACAATGTGCTTCATCAACAACAAAACCAGCTAGTTGTCCCTGTGATACACAAAGCAATGTTAATAACCAATAAACTTATTGCTAGAAAAACATTTTTTGAACGTGGCTGAATCAGGACCCATAAAAGGTACCTTCCAATGCAGGCATTTTAATATTTCATGAAATGCCAAGTTTCCAACGATCCTTTCGGGAGTCACATATAAGAGCTTACATGATGGTTTGTCCTTCCTGGGTAAAAAAGAAGTATAGAGTGAATTTGAAAAATCGATCCATATGAAACAATGAAGCCAGAAGCCCAGATAATATATGTTAAAATCAGCAACTGTTTTGAAACAAGAATCCTATTGATGGATTGTCGTAATCTCAGCACAGGGAAGAACCTTGCCTTAGCTCTTGAAGGACAGCAGCAGCTTGAGAAGCAGTTTGCTGAGAATTCAAAAAAGTTGCTGGTATTCCATATTTGAGGTTCAAGGTGATAATTTGATCCTGAATGAGAGAAAGTAAAGGAGACACAACCACTGTAACACCTGGTTTTAGAGTTGCTGGAAGCTGCACAATATGGATAGCAATATAAGAATTAATTACTGGTAGTATCTAAGGTTTGAGATATGAAGGAAAATTCAAAATATTAATATTGCTTCGAGAGTTTCCATTAATCCTAATCCCAATAACAAAAAACTTAACGAATTTCAGCCAAATTATTTGTTGGCAATATGAATTCTGTTTAGCTTTATTATTCATCATCGCCATCAGGTGTTTAGGGTGTCAACTTGCACAACTGATTCATATAATAACTCCTCCTAGTTCTGTTATTTCTGCTATAGAATGTAATGCAACTTGACTATGCTAGTTGAAACTTCATCAATTTGAAGCAAAGTAAATTTTACCCTCATAAGGTCAGAATTAACATTGTATATCAGCAAGAATTTATTGCACCCTCATACGTGTAAAATTTACAACTCAGAAAACATTTTGGTATTAAATATGTTTTTTGCAATCTACAAGAAGAGAATTGAATCACAATTAATCAACATAAGTGACATAAAAACATCACTGGGGCAGGACATATCACAAATGATTAATTTTATTAGGGGAACTAAGTAACTGGGAAAAAGACAAGACCAATTTGCCTCAGACAACCAAATTAAATGGTATGTTCCGATAATAATAATAATAATAAAAAGAGACATCACCTGGTAACATAAACTTTTACCACCTCCAGTAGGCATTAGAACAAAACAATCTTGCTTTGCCACATACGCTTTACAAGCCTGATGCTGCAATGGACGAAATGCCATGTTACCAAATATTACAACATTTGCCAACTCAAAGTCATCCAAGGCCTGCAATTCTTCATAACTGAGAATCCGCCGTCCATCTTTTTGTATTTGATGGTGTTGCTTTTTTTGGGAAATTGATGAGACTGAACCTTGAGTGACACTACTCTTGCAATCCTTCAACAAAATCAACAATAGTTAACATAATGTAGACGAACTCATGATACTGCAAACATATGGCTCATACAAACAAGAGAGTTTGTGATTCCCCTACCATATGCCATCATAATCACTAATTTAATTGGCAAGAACAAATGATTATTTCATTATAAGACAACCATAACAAGCAGTGAACAGAATTTCCATAAAACTCCCAAGAAAATAGTAGCAAATCTCCAACACTTCTCAAATCCCGTAGAAAAGAGATGACATCAATATCCTCTTTTACAGAAAATTTATAAAAGAGATGACATCAATATCCTATTTTACAGAAAATTCTTACCATAGATCTTGACAAGCGTCTACCTGAGGTGGTAGACATAGAATCCTTTCCCTTTGTAATACTGAAGTCTGGATCCTCATTATCACTAGACGAATCCAACTCCATCCAAGTCTGCTGCTTATGAGGTTCAGGTGAATTATCAATAACATTGATGTATTCCCTTGCAGCATCATTGTTATCACCCTTAATATTATTAATAGAATTTTTCTCAAACATGTCACTTAAAGCTCCACAAGCTTCTGATTCTATAGCTTGCAAATCATCATCCCAGTCCTCACTATCTTGCATACATTCAGCTAGTGCCGCAAGAAAGTCATCACCACAGCACTCCACAGTGACAAAATCTTTGCCATCATCGCCTTCCAGAAAGGGAAAATATTAACTCAATTATGCAGAAAAAGCTGAGCTTTCAAAATGTCTCTCAAATTATTCATAAATCCAACCTTACAACTTTAACTAAAAAATAAATCGAAATTTTTATTCATTTAATTTTTTTCTCAACTAAATATAGTTGTTTCAAAGAAATTTAGGGTTTGAGGGGCGGAGATTGAGAAAAAGGTACCATAGAGAGAAATCAAACGATCCAAGCATTTCTGTGCCGATTCTACGTCGAAGCCGCAATCGAGAGCCAAGCTTAGTAATCGAGCTTTCTCCAATTCGAGGTCGTGACGCCCCATTTTTCTCTTGCGATGAGTCGAGTGGTAAGGGAACGAACAAACGATTGAAATGGAGAGAGGTACGAAATCTCCCGCGCTATTTTTCAAGACGAATGATACTATTGGCCTTGCTACTGGAAAAATATATGTACGTATGGGGATGCAAAGTGGTAAAACGACGTCGTTGGTTCTGGCGCTTAAACAGTTCATTCAACTATCACTAAAATCAATCGAAAAATTAATTCCGAAATCCCTAATTTTTTCGTCTTAATTTCATGCCCTTCCTTCCAACAAGTAAACTTTTTTCTTCAAAATTAAGAGAAAAAAGATAAATAAGTCTCCAAATTATCTCAAAATTAACATTTGATTTTCATTATTTTCAAAAAACTTACTATCACGTATCTAATTTTTGGATTGAAGTATGTTCTTAATAAATTTTCGTATGCATTTCTTCTATAAATATTTATATTCCCACCATTTTTAACTATTTTTTTCACCATTATTTGAATTTTTCTAGGAATTTATTTTCATTCACCGAAAAACATTTAGGGATGTGACAGTGATTTTTTTTTTTTTTTTTTAAAAGTCTCCAAATTATCTCAAAATTAACATTTGATTTTCATTATTTTTCAAAACTTACTATTCACGTTCTAATTTTTGGTTGAAAAGTATGTTCTTAATAAATTTTCGTTATGCATTTCTTCTATTAAAAATATTATATTCCCCCATTTTTTAACTATTTTTTTCACCATTATTTTGATATTTTTTCTAGGGGAATTTATTTTCATTCACCGAAAAACATTTTAGGATGTGACAGTGATTTTTTTTTTTTTTTTTAAAGTGAGATTTATTTTTTTTTTTTTTTTTTAAAGTGAGATTTAAGTGATACTTTTAATATAATTTAGGGACCTATTTATATTATTTAGATAGAAAGACATGAAATTGTGATGGAAGCAAAAATTAGAAACCTCAGAATTAGTAATTAAAAATAGTTAAACCTATATGTTAATTTCGATATAATTTAAAACCTCAAATTCACAATAAATAAATAAAAGAAAATGAAAAACAAAAGAAGAATCCATTTATACTCATTTCAACAGTTCAACAATGTCGAATTCACAAAACATGATTGAATTGAATGGAAAACAAATTAAGGAAAAGGGATTGCAAACTTAAACATTGCGATTCACTCTCAAATCAATGAACAAAACCAACGTCGATCCCATGCATGAACCTGCATGGAAAATAAAATTCCAACAAAGAAAAGAGAGAGAGAGAGAATTAATTAATAATTTTCATAAGCCATACACAACCTCAGAGCAGGTAGTTTTTATCCAACGAAATCCTTTCTTGAAAGAAGATTTAACTGCTTCTTCAACCCCATAAAGTTTATATTTAGCAACTCTCCTTTTCCTCTTCGTCTCCGGGGCATTCCACCATGAGGAGATGGTAATTAATTGTGAATTAGAGTTCTTAGTAGTGCTAATACTAACACTATTATTAGTATTAGTATTAATATCATGGACATTTTTAGTGTTGGTGTTTTTTGGAGGAGAAGCCCTGATAGCTTTTTGCTTGGAACGATCAATGGATGAACGAGATCGGCGGCCGACGTAGAGTTTGCTCGGCGCCGGTTTGATTTCGGCATTGACCATCTCGATCACCATGATCTTGAATCCTTCACCAAGCTTGTTTGGCTATCTTTGTCTCTCTGCAACTCTGGTTTGATTTGAAAAAGGCTGGTGTTTGTAGCTTTTATTCAGGGAAAGGATAGGTTTTGTTGCTGTTTGTCAAGATTAGTCGTGACAGATATTCTTTGACTATAATATTCTTTTTTTATCTTTGATGTTATTGTTATATCTGCTTTCCGGTGTAATGTGTTATTAAGCACAAAATTACTATCACTAAATGTGTAACATTTTTTTTTCTCTAGATCGAATATGTCCCCAGTCCACTGAATTGGTTCTAATCCTACTCATATTGCATCAAACTCTTAAGAGAAAAAACTCTAGTGGAGATTCTTTCATTCAATCCAACACTCAAACCTCTTTTTTTTTTTTTTTTAGGCAAAAACTACTCTTTGCATTAAAAATAAAAAGATAATAAACAATATGAAATCGTCTCCCACGCTTAAAAGCGAGCATAAATATAGAATGCTCTAGTTAGAGAATGAGCACCTGCATTGGCTTACCTCATAATCCATCTAACCGCCACATTTGACCTAAATGCTAACATAACATAGGGAAAACATTTGTGACCATCACTCAATCTCTTGCTTAGCATGTATAATATATTTATTTAAAAAATGCATTTATTTCAAAATTAAGTATCCAAAAATATTAATTTTGGCATTTAAATTTTAGAATGCTAAAACTAGTTTAATCCAACCAAAAAAAAAAAAAAAAAAAATTGCAAAAAAAAACAAAAAAAAAAAAAAAAGCAATTGCCTTTCAATACATATTAAGAAAAATTAATAATCATTTGGTGCTAGATCTTATTATTTTAGCTAATAGTCTTTACTCCTGTAAAAGTATTCTTTGAATTTTCTTAACGGTTAATAATTAAATATAGTTTTTCAAGAGCTTAAAAGTTAATGGCATATTTTCTCAACTTTTCAAAATGTTTCCAAGAGGTTTCAATATGTGAAATGTTTTCAACATGAAAATCTTCTTTAGAAATTTCTTTATTTTTTAGAGCAAATTCATTTATCAATCGAGTTAATTCCTTGATACTCCGTATATATAAATTAGAAAAGATCCTAATAATAGCATTAGCAATTGTAAACCTGCTTTAGTTAAGGATATAACTGTAGAAGTTTGCTTTGCTAAAAATTACTTATTTTCTATATCAATATTCAGAGAGTTTGTTACCAGTTTTAACTAGTAACTTTAAATGTGTTTTAACCTAAACACCATATATACAAACAAAGCTTGATGGTATACGGTCAATGCTTGCTGTTCTCACTTCTCACCTTCTGATGCCCTTTAAATTTAGGGGCCTTTTTGGGTTTTTTGGGATATCAATGTGAGAAACCTATACATAAAAGAAAAGAAAAGAATTAAGTATACTATAAATAATATGATAGTTTAGATTCAGGAGTTAGGACTTACAATATGGGATTTCCACTCAATTTTTTGACAACCCTCTGAGGCACCAGACTGAGGATGATTATTTCGGATGTGGTGGAATATGTGAATAAGTACAGCAGCATCAAGAGCTGCATACTCCAGCTGAACAAACATATTTGAAAGTATTAATACTAGGATGCAAGTATCAAAGAGTTCAATAGTAACAGATGGTTTTTACTCAAAAATGCCGAAGATGGGGACACATACGTAAACCAACTACGAGATTAGATGCACACACCTTAAACTTAATCTAGAACAAAAAGAATGTAGCAAATCTGATTTTCAAATTGGTGATATTGTTGGTCTTATACAAGTAAAACTCACTTTCTTTTTTCCAGAAAATACCAAAACAAGATTTGACAAACAAGCAATTATCTCATTAGATGCCCCAATCTAGCTTGAAGGAAAGTTCATGATATAAATATTAAGATGTATTCTGTTTATATTTTTATTAGCGAATGACTAGATAGTCATAGCAAAAACAAGCAAAAGAGCATGGATGCATATTGGAAAGTGCATATAAAAGACGTAGCTTTTTTTTTTTTTTTTTTTTTTTTGATATAAAGACGTAGCTCGTTTTTTTTTTTTTTTTTTTTTTTTTTATATTATCAACAATCAACCATCTCAATGTTTTTTTTTTTTTTTTTTTTTTTTATATATCACAATCAACCATCTCAATGACTTGCTTGTTCACAAAGCTCATTGCTTTCGGATTTGGTATAAAACATGCAGCTTATATCAAGAACTTGGAAGACTTCCATAAAACAACCTTGATTTTCTTCGCCCAAAGGCTTTGTAATAAATATTACCTGGTTCCGACTCAAAGGCCTCTGTTCCCAATTGCTATTCCGTCTTGTTTTATTCAAACCCGCTCCTAATATTTTCTGATATGGTAGAATGTAAAATAATGTATAAGAGCATGACAGAGAATCATACAGACAAGAGCTTCAATGCAATAGGGAATATGTGATGGACAGGAACTATTGGCAGTACTGCAATGTTTTGAATACCTTTGCAAGCCCAGAAAGACCACCTCGGGGTTCTCTGAACACATTTTGAATGTCCAATAACATTTCATAATGCTTGAAGCACTTCAATCCTTCATATGAATGAGTTAATTGCTTTGTATCACACTGAAAGTTATAGCCTACAAAATCACAAAGGGCATCAACACCCTCAGTGGAATAGCACTATTTCCCATTGTTTGCTGAATTAATAGTATACTTCATCATCAACAAAAATTCAAAACATAGTTTTTTGATAATGAAAAATCCCCTCTACCATCAATGATCCATTAGCCACTATAAATTGGGTGCAAGGGGTTTTAATATCCAACAGTTCATTATAACCTACAAAAAGCAAAGTAAACCAATATGTTTAGATATGCCATACCAAGTTTTAAAATTCTAGGAGACTGCAAAATCCGAGTTAGGCAGTTGTCTAAAATATCAGGTACATCTTCAAATAACTTTATCAAGTCAAAGATGAACACGATCTGATCAGAAGCAATTTGCATTATAGAAACCTGAAACATATGATATTCATTTTCATTATACAAACAAAGACCAAAAATACAAACAGGACATTAAAAGAATAAGTATTATTTTATACATAATTTTGTGAAAGGCCAAGTGAACGAAGCAAAAAAATAAAAAATAAAAAATACAAGCAGTCTGTCATTACCTTGCTTGTTTTGCAGCCCTTTTCATAGTTGGGCTTCCATTCACAATCGAGGCCCACAACCTTACTACTCTCAATGCGGCATGTTGCATCACACAAACTATCCACTTCATCAACCCAAACAATATCTTCAACCAGTAACTCATTGAGTTGCAGATATCTATCATTTGAGAAACTTGCCTCAAGTTCTAAACATCAAATATTGCAGCAGTGTAAGTGTCCTCTCATGACAAGTTGCAACATCAATAGCCACACAAAACCAATCATGATTATGCAATCTTACAGTTACACCATCAATCTACCAGTAATATTAAACTAGTTAGAAGCACAATAGAATTGATTAGCCAACTACAACACTTTCTAGTATGACACGTTTAGCCACATGTGGGCCAAAAGTAAACTAAAGCAATTGACCCACACCATGGTACCATAATTGTGGCATTAGGGCTTATAAAACCATTTATTACAGCAATTGGCCCAACTACATGTATAAAACTTGGCCTTTGTTTGTCTAAAGGGCATTTCCCCACGGGGGTCAACCCAGCTTTCTGTGCACTGTAGTCCACTTTCCAACACATAGAACAAGAGTTCACACTTTGTATTCATCTAAATTCCAGAAATCTTTGAAATAAAAATTTAATTTATGTCCACTAATATTGACCCACAAAATGGATACCTGATGACTGTGAATGCACTCGAACTACAGTGAGCTATTCCACTCACCACCAGCAAGACCCTTGCATATACATGGATGCACATTTTTGCACCTTTTTCCTTGGTCAATTCATTGTACAATCCCATTTATGAGTTAGATAAAGAAGAATCGGTCGGGGAAAAAAAAAAAAAAAAAAAAAAAAAAAAAAAAAAAAAAGAAGGAGAAGAAAGAAAACACTTTGGTTTTGCATATTTTCATAGACCAATATATTACTTACTTAGCCTTCTTCAATATGTTTAACATAAAAAGCTGCAACTGGCAGTTGAATCTAAAAGTTGGGGAAAAAAAAAAAAAAAAAAAAGAAGAAGAAGAAAGAAAACACTGGTTGCATATTTCATAGACCAATATAATACTTACTTAGCCTTCTTCAATATGTTTAACATAAAAGCTGCACTGGCAGTTGACATCTAAAAGTTTAATTAAACTGTACAAGTTTGTTTTGTGTCCCATTTTGGGATCAGAGATGTTCAACCAGTGCAAATTTTTCCTTGACATCTGCAAAAATTATATGAATCTAGCAATAATACAAAGGTAATTTGGCCCACTTTATTAGTTATAGATTCCTTCACAAGCATGATAGACTCAAAATAGCTGCATGATGATGTCCATGAAAGAATACATACAAAACATGCATATTAAAAGTGCAAATGGTCTACCTTTTCCTTTCAGAAAACCTTCAAGGGAATAACGATCACAGAGCTCATCAACTTTCTCAGAGTAACCAGCCTCCATTGCCAAGTAAACCTTAAAAGTAAAATTTTTAAAACAATTTAGTGAATATATCAAAATAATAGAAACCAACAGCAAATCAGAAAAATATGCCTTGCAATTATTTGTCCAAATGGTATTAAAAACAACTGAATCCCACAAAACATACAACTCTGTGTCATAGCTCATATGCTTATTCTACCCCTTTTCCATCTTGCTGAGCGACTTCCTACCCTTTTTCTATCTTGCTGAGCGACTTCATACTTCATTTCATACTATCATACAGAATACTCCTTAATTTTATTGGAGTGTGAGAATTACTCTAAGAGAACAAAGCTGTACTCAACATTTAAGACATGGAAAATCATAAACTGGGAACTGACAACTCAATAAATCATCAGAAAAGATAAAGGATGGAAAATTTTTTCTCAACAAGGAATCTGATCAGTGTATAAAATGACAAAAAAGTTTATCATGTGAGCATCAACAAAGAGGAAAAGACACCTTAATTGAAGTAGCAAAACCATAAAAAATGCACAACGAAGCCACCAGTTCCAGTTTATCAAATATCATACACATAATAAAGTACAACAATTTTACAAGCATCTGCTTACCAAATATTCAACAAGTTGCCTATTACCATGTGTCTTTATCTCTGCAATATCCCACAATGCCTTTTCTGCTAATTTCTTCAACGAGCTGCAAGTCAGTGTAATGTTTCTCGTTAGCTTACTGGCTTTAGAAGGAGATGAATCAAGTGGAAAAGAACCTGATGAAATAGAGTCTGAAAGGAAAACGCCATGGACTATGGGAAATAAAAGTCAATCCGAAATACCTTTCTTTGCATTTATGGTATACATCAGGAAATTCTTCCTTCAGGTTGTTTTTCTTTATAGTATCATAAGCATGCTTTAGCATGTTCCTATCAACATACTCCTGAACAAGTGCACATAACATTGGCTTCCCCATAAATGTTGCCCATTTTTCAGCTGCTTTAAATTGTTTATTCTGCATCATTTTAAGGAGGAAAGACTGTCCAGACTGGCGAATGGAGAAATGTTCTAACAGAGTGACAGCCATCATATATGACTGAGATTCTACCAACTTAAAAATATAATCTTCGACAAATGTTCTTGCTGTGTCAAACCTATTATCATTTCGCGCCTTTAATTGGCATACTGCTTCCTCAATGTTTGTCAACTTGACATCAAAAACTTCAAGTATCTTGACAATTATCTTCTCATCATGCTCAACTAAGCCTCCCACAATATCTATAACTAAATGGGCTGCTAGGCCTTTAGCTTGCAAGGAATCTCTTGAGGTGGGTGATAGCTTTAGAAAACGACGAAGAGAAGATACAATCAAGTGACTGAAGCCTTCAGAATGTAACCCAAAAATGGGCAGGACATGCAGGCAATGAATAATGAAAGTTGCAGGTCCTGGTTGGGCAGAATTATGAAGCGCCTGATGAACTTGTTGCTGAAGAGCTCTGAACTTTTTTGTTGCCTTACATGATCCTGTGAAATGTGACCATGAAGAATAAGGCACAATAAATTATTCAATACAAAAGCAAAAGAGCAAAACTGAACCAAAAGGGAATGGTTAAAAAAGAGACCCATGATAGAGCCTGCCAAGATGATTATGTCTTTTGTCAAACCATTGAGTCCATTTCAAACATAACATAATAGTCCTCTAAAAAAAATTCAAGTTTCAAATAGTTGTATACATTTGAGTTGGATTTAGCAGCCCAGCCAGAATTCATCTTGAAGGTTGATTTAACTCTGACAAGGAAGATTTTCTCAAAGAAAAAAAATGAAAAGGAAGTTAGGTTTAACTGAAACAATCGAGTGCTTGGAACATCAAAAGAAGAGAGGCTTAGGTACAACAAGGGAACAGGACTTGAACATGCATCTCAAGTCTTCTAGCATTTGTTAGACAGTAAATTACAAATATATAGTATGCAAATATAAAATACAAGCATGCCAATTTCCTACAAGCTGTCTGAGAATTAACCATTGAAGTGTGAATTTTTTCTTTTAAAAAACCAGCTGGCAAAAAGAGCAGGAATATAGTGTAACAGCAATAAGGGTATGAACTGTAACAAGGTTTAACAGGCATAGCAAACTGTCTCACTAAAGATTCTAAATATCTGTCACGAAGCAGCCCGTAACACAATGGGGGGGCCAAAAAGCAATGTTTAATAGTGATTGTTTGAAATCCAGACACAAACGCAGACATGGACGAGCACAAACAACAAAGAAATAAAGAATGAAATCCCCTATGATGAATGTAAAGATGTGTCTCTATGTATGACATATTATAATATTCCATTTCAAAACAACTAACAGGAACCATAAACTAGCTGTTTTTGAAGGGAAAACTTCCATACTATAACATAATCAACTCATCAACGACCAAAAGGTCTTACCATGGATATAGCATTCTTTCAGGAGGTATAAGAATACTACAGGAGAAACATAAGTCAAGTCAGAAAAGGCATGCACACAGATCTCCAATGTTTGATGAGTTTTTTCCTTTTTGTTTTGCAGCTCTAGAACTCCCTCCTCCAAGCCCATGCCAAAAGTAAATAGCAGCAATCCTAACCAACAACAGAAACTGGTGTAAGATGATCAAAAACAATAAAAAAATTGACTTATGTAAAGATAGCAATAGCATGTCATGAATCAGAGCATGATGACTTACCTGAAGAGCTCTCATTCACTAAATAACGTAGTTGCAACAAAGAACAAACAACTTAACCACAGGTTTTTCATTCATAGGCGAGTAATGGATCCAATACTAATTTAAGTAGTCAATGTCTTAATAACAATCAGTTAATAAGTTAAATTTCACAATGAGAAAGGCATGATAAAGAAAAACTAAAATAGGGCTCCAAAAGACTAGATACTCTTTTTCCCACTTCAACCCTCTTCTATAGCCTTTAAGCAACCCAAACCCTGTATTTCCCTCCCTTCCCTTGAACCACAAATGTGTCAGTTACATACGTTTGAAATTTAATGAAATACTTACAGAAATGAATAAAATAAGCTCATACTATTTTCCATCATTCGAAATTTAATGAAATACTCTACTTCTACGCTCTGCTTTCTTGCTCTTTTCTCTAGGCAACTAGATAAACAGCACAAAACAATCATTATCCGTCCTTAACAATACCATTTTATCCCTGTATTTACCACAATATATGCATTGCCCCTGCAGTTTTAGATGCCATAGTTTTGTCTCTATCTTTTCCGCTAGCTAATTACTATTCTGTCCCTGTGTTTTCTCAAAATTAACTAATATGTCCCTGTAGTTATTAACTATTTCCTTCTTATATCTTGCTAAAATTATCAAATCTGTCCCTGTATTTATACTAAAAAGTAACATGAGTATATATAAATACAACGGAGTCAAGATATAAGCACGAAATTATGCATTTCTACAAATACAAAGACAAAATATAAAATAGTAATTTCTCTAAAATAAGTCTATCACCATAAAGAAGAGTGGCGCACATGTTACACAGGAAAAATCAAATAACAATAACCGCTGAAGTAAGTAAATAGAACGAAAGATATAACTCTAAGAAAACGAGAGAAAGCAAGAAAAAAAAAAGTTCAGTTCCAACACAACGTGAAAAATCGCATTAAGAGTTTGTTTGATTGCTGACAAGATACGAGAAGTTAAAAGGTAAACAAAACAGTAAAAGAAATGCAGAGAGTGGATTAGAGAACACAAACATTTTAATAAATTTCTTCCAGAAACTCCGTGTTCTTCATTTTCTCAGAAACCAAACAAAAACAGTAAAAAAAAAATGCAGAGAGTGGACGATTTGACAACACAAACATTAATAAACTTCTTCCAGCAACTCCGTTTTCATCATTTTCTCAAAAACCAAACAAACACTGTGCACAGTAAATGAGAGCGCAAAAACTCACCGAAGCTGAACGCTATGATATTCTTCACCTATCTTCTTCTTCTCCAACCAACCTCTCTCTCGTGCAATTTTGGATCTGTTTATATATACTGACGGCCAAAATATAACCAAAAAGTAAAGATTAAACAAAAGAATGGCAGTAATACCGTGCTTGCCATCCTAGTGGATTTGACCTCCTCGTGTGGTAAAAAGAGCAAATTTGTTATTTTTGGAAGAAAAGACGTTTATACCATAAAAGGATAGTACGGTTTGGGATGGACATTATGTCTCTTTAAGGAAATTCACGGATCTGGACGAGGTAGAGCAGCAGGGGGATAAGAAAGCCCCTATCTCATGAATAAAATATATTTGATTGAGTGAAAATTAATAATTATAATATTTAGTGGATAAGGATATTAGTTAGATGTGAAATATTAAAAACAATTTAGTAGCACTGTCCCATGATGCATTATATTTAAATATTAACTCTGCAGTTTAGGAGCCACAGCCCATTTTGTTGGCTATCTTAAGGCAGACTCTATTGTAGTGGCCGAAAATCACAATGCTATAATCTTACAGAAAGAGGACTGTGTCTTCAATCAGTGTTTGGGGGTCAATATGCTCTATGTAAATGTCTTAAAAATTGAAACGTCAATACTTAACCGATAGGCCAAGTAGATGGGGCAGTGACTATACACTTAATAGTCTCTTTTTCGGTTATATATATCGGTTATATATATATATATATATAGTTATATATATATATATATAAAACAAAATAAATTTTCTATGAACAGAGGGAAATGCCTAAAAATCTTATGGCAAAAATATATATATAAACAAAATAAATTTTCTATGAACAGAGGAAATGCTAAAAATCTTATGGCAAAAAAGAGCATGTTTAATATGTGAAACATCAATTTGTTATGAGTTTAGATTCTGTTTGAATTAAAGTCGAAAGTATTTATGGGTACCAAAAAAACTATTTAAAAAAAATTTTAAACATGACTTTTTAAGTGAAAAATTAATTTAATTTGAATCATAATTATGGTCAGAGTGTATTTCAGTTAAAATCACCAAATTGAATCATTTCGATTTAGTCTTTAATACATACATTTCAATTTTGGGTTCTCATAGGAAAAATTTTTTTTAATTCGGTTCAATTTTTATGACAACAACAAAGAAAAAGTACAAAACCATCGAACAAACAAATAAAAATGGACCAAATGGATCAGTATTATTTGATTTTGATTTTTATATATTATTCAATGTGTTCGTTTTTCATTTTGAAAAATCTATATTATCTGATTTGATTTATATGAACCTACATCATCCATTAATTTTAAAGTTTTGAGTATAAAATATCAACTTAGCTCAAGAATTAAAAGATTATGATGTTAATTATTAATGATTGCTGTGATAAATTTTTATTCACACGCGAATGTTATTAATTTATACTTTTTCATTGATTTGAACATTGATCGAGTAAAAGAACCGGGTGGATTAGTTATTGATTTAATCGGTGAATTAGTGATTCACTTTGTGGATTATAAAATATTAATAATATATATTAATTAAATATAATAAAAAATAATTTAAAATATAAAAAATGGGTCTGCATCAATTGGATTTGGTAAATTAACCGGTTCACCCCCGGGTATGCTAATTCAATCTAATTCTCTATCCTAGATGGTCCAAAAGTAAATCTGGACCAATTCATCAGTTTTTGAAATTGACCAATTGGATTACTATACTATTTGTTTAGTTTTCTTTTTACTAATTTTTAATTTATTCTCTCTTAGTATCATCGAAAGTGTAAATTAGGAGGCCCAAAGGTCGAAGCCAGATTTGAAAGCTCAGTTTCACAATTCACCGTGATGAACTAGTGACGGGAGAAGAAAAAAGGTCAGGACAACTTATTTTTATTTTTCCTTATAAAAAAAACCCTTCCTGACAGCTATGGGCGTGTCATCCGCTATGTCCTCACTTTTCATAATACTAATAATTAAATAAGAAGGGGATAACGGTCCACATAAGATGAAAAAGATATTTCCTGATTAAAAGAAATAAAGAAAAGATTATTTTATTTGTTTAATTGGATATCATTCAATATTATTTTTAAAAAAATTTAACATTTATTTTAATTTAAAATTTTTTTATTTGCTACAAATATAAATTTCTCATATTTGAATAGTAAAAATTCTATAACAAAGATCAAATTGTTTTTTTCACAATAGCACCTAAAAGAATAGGTCTAAAGATCATAAATTTCTTATTGCAATTATCATTGCCATTATCATCTCCAAGAAAGAGAAAGACAGACACTTCTTTGACCCTATCATCTATCCATAAAACACAAAAGCAGAAAATGATCCAGTGTTTCTCGCATGGCTTATTATCCATGAAAGCAACTTGTCATAGAAACTATAGAGTTTTTTTTTTTTTATTGAATCACAACAAAAGGCAGAAACCTGATTGCCACTTTCTTTCTTATTACATTGTTCACAACAGCACAGAAACTGCAATAAAATCTTTATTTAATATTAAAACACCAACATAGACCTAGCCATTTGCCTGGTCTCTTGCCTTTGTATCTCATGAAGCGAAAGAATCAATGATAAGGTTCCATCAACTTGCTGCTTTTTCTTATAAAAAATAATCATCAACCAGGAATAGCATCAACCTCAGCAAAACTAATGCACTTGCCCAATTTTAAGCTCAGCTTTGCCTCAGCATCAGTATCTGGCATTGGCACATAGAAACTAGGCCACGTATCTCACAAAAAAAAAAAAAAAAAAAAAAATTACATAGAAACTAGGCCACGTATCTCACAAAAAAAAAAAAAAAAAAAAAAATGTTCTCTCTTCATATACTATTCTCCAATTAATTGCACTAGCATCGGCTAGACTGCGCTCTGGCATGGCTAAGAATTAATTAACGGATGACGGAAAACACCAGTCAATCCTGAATAACAGGGGAATGGAGAGTGATCCAAAGGGTTTCTCAGTTCGGGCATTTCTCACTTTGGCAGTTACATAAAAAAAAAAAAAAAAAAAAAAAAAATTGTTCTCTTCTATACTATTCTCCAATTAATGCCACTAGCATCGGCTAGACTGCGCTCTGCATGGCTAAGAATAATACCGGATGACGGAAACACCAGTCAATCTGAATAACAGGGAATGGAGAGTGATCCAAAGGTTTCTCAGTCGCATTTCTCACTTTGGCAGTACATAATTTCCCTGAGGACATTACGTTCATGATGTTACAATCACACCTGAAGCCGGAAAGTAAGAAAAGGCATCAAAATGAAGACAAATTAAAGAGCTGCTCCAAGTATCAGGCCAGGAAACATGTATCCATTTGTGCCAAGTTAAAAATATCAAAGAAGGTTTGTGTTTCAATAAGCCATGTATTAAGAATAACTAAAGTAAAGCTCCTTTGGGCTTTTCCTTATTTTTGGGTTTCAATATTCTAAATTATCTAATTTGCATTTGTGAAATGGTCATTCACCTCCTATACATAAGCTCAACTACCTCCCTCCCTCTAGATAAATTAGCAACAAGGATACTAAATTACTAGTGACACCAATCATATGATTTAGCAATGAAGCATATGGGTGTAAAGGTGAAAAGAGAAACCAAGTTTTACCTGACTAGTTGAAGCCAAAATGCTGGAACTATTTACTAGGGTCCATATCCAGCCAATGATTATACACGGGAAATTCTCATCTACTTATTTCTTCTGTATTTTGCTTGAAGCAACCAAGGGAATGATTTGTTCAGCAACATAACGACACTGCCACGAGAGAGAGAGAGAGAGAGAGAGAGGGCAAGACAGAGACAGAGGGAGGAAGATGGAGGAACGTAATCATTATTTTTCCATCAAGAAAAGAACAAGATGAGATATATATGCACATACAATCTTGATGAAAATGATAGAGACCAGAGCAACAAATAATATGGATATGCAATAAAATGTTTAACAAGAATGAGATAGACATACCAGGTATACTTTATTTCTGGTTCGTTCTCAAGGCAACCAACATGGGGTCAATTACTGAGGTCCAGTGTATGAGTTATGGAAGTTTCCATGGCAAACTAAGAGAGACTGATATCTGTTTGTGCAAGTATTTTCATCTCTTTGATGTTTCTAAAGAGCAAGGTAGCACCTCGACTGACAACAGCCGCTGAAATATCTGATGACATTCAAAGGAGCAAGAATTTACAATAGTAACGATATTGATTTGATAAAAAAGGAAATAATATTGGCAGTGGACTGAAAATTTTACAATCTTGAACTGTGCCAACTCTTTTTGCAGTTTTCTCTCCATGTCCCTTCCCACAGGTGAAGCAGTTCTATCACTCGCTTCCCTGAACATCTTCTCAGAAAAAACATTTAAGTCAACACTACACAAAAGTTCTTGCCCAAAGAAGCACACAAGAATTAATATGGCTGACATATGGCACCAGAATGAAATTTCAATATGAAAAGGGAATAAGTAATATGGCACTTTTTGACATTACATTCAACTAATAACTACAATACCAAAGCAAAGCATAGAAGCCATGCGAGTTCTACCAAGCAATACAAAAAGTTTCTTTGCCTTTAATATCTGTCATATCAACACAATAATTTCATATAGTTAAATTGATTCCTGGACATTCTTCAATGATATCATAATGAATTCATACTGTTGTTCACATGCTCTCTCATGCCAGAACACAGAAATTGAGTTGATCATACAAACTCAGTTACAAAAGCAAAAATGAATCAAATATTTATGGCACTTCAAAGATGCATCTTACACATTTTTTAATGCACAAGAAGTTCTGCACTACACCATGCCATAAAAATTCTAATCAGTGAGATGGTGTATGATAGTTTCTTTGAAAAGCATCATCAATAATATTCTGCAATGAACTATTCATATTTCAAGCAATTGCATCAAAACTTGATAACTGGGACAAATAGGTGTTCCCTGCAGGCATGCTGGGGGCATAATTTTTTTTTTTCCTCCACAAAATTCACTAAAATTGTGAAAATGGATAAAATTGGCCTATGTCAGAGCTGCCAAATACAAATTATCCACATTCTAACCAGAGCTTCATACAGTGCATGGATCGATCTCAGCTATATTCAACAAATATCCTCCTTGCACACATGTTCTAAGAAATGTTTGAAATCCAAAATGTGAAAAAAAAAATACAAAGGAAGAAATTAATAAATATGAATACTTCAGAGATGCATCTTAGGCATTATTTGCATACAAGCATCTTGACATTTCCTTTACAGCGCATACCAGTTTGAATCCTCCATCAGAACATAAAAATTCCATATCTTGTAAGTCCAGACAATCATTTTCTTGTAACATGACAGATATCCGTATGATGACACACAGAATTCTGAATCTCTTCTTTAACTGAAATGAACATAGAAATGCAGGTTATAGCATTCTTTTCTTTCCCCAGACAAACAAACAAAAACAGCGCGTGAAAACATAGAGCATAAGACACCTCTTCAGAAATCTCAGCAATAGTGGAATGATCAGACTTCGGAAATTTCTTCCTATGATGCCTCGTAAGTAACGCTATTAACTATAAAATGCCCAAACAATTATCAGCATGGAGCACATCTTCAGAATATTCATGTTGAAGAAAACATGTGACAATCAATATGTTTACAATGTACCTTGACTTCTTCATCACTATATCCTTGAAGGTAATCACCGCTCTGCACAAAGGTAGAGCTTTTCAGGAATAAAAATCAAAGATGGAGAGATAACAACAATACAATATGTTCAAAAGATCCATTTCCTTCATGCGTCAGCGTTCACAGAAATTTCTCCCCATGACCAGAATTCAAAATATATCCTACTTCTTCCATAGACACAGATAGCTAGATACATCACATATGCGCAACATTATTACAAACATCGGCCTTATGATCCTAAAAAGAACAGAGAACATACCGTAATAATTCGGTAAGTCTGCTTATGGTAACCCTTTTTACCGGTGAAAAGCCCTATATTGTGAAGTAAACAGGCAGCTTGAAGACATTCAAGATCTTTTTCAGCCAAGTGGGTATCAATTTTATCATGATTATCAGCAATCTCTACCCATTTTGTCAAGCCCTCAAAAACCTCCTGCGGCAATCACCAAGTCATTGGATGGCTCTAAGTAATACTTCTTATTTATTTGCAAAGAAGAACCACAGCACAGGTTATTGTTTCACATCCAGGTAAAATGCTCAAAATGGAAATCAAATTCTAATCATTAATAACAATGATACTGCATTAATTAACAACCATCATAATGCTTGTGCTTATCTTTCACAAAAAGTTTTTAAAAAAATGCCTTGTTTCATCCAACAACTTTTTGGAGTAAAACGCCAAAAGATCTGCTTCTATTCTTCAAACTTAAGCTATCATAACGTAAATTTGAGAGAATGCACAATCAAAACACAAGCATTTCATATATGCACAAGGAAATAGCTAATGTCAAAAAATAAAGAAAATAAACATAGCTAGGAAGTGCATGTTAGTGTTACTTTTGCAATTACAGAACATCGCGCAGCAGATTTAATTGTGCTCTTATCACCGAACCTTGTTGCAAGCCTTACAACAGAATGCCACCTCACATTAGCATTCAGATCATAACCCTCAAACACTTGAGTCAAAGTTTCAGCAATAACACCTTCTCCTAATGCATACTCGGAAACCTCCAGTTCGTCAATTCCAAGCACCTCAAATATCTCCTCCAATAACACTGCACCAGCAAGAATAAACTCTGATCTTCTCTTGAAAAACTCATCTCTCCTACTCTTCTCTCTCTCTCCTTCTTTGCACAACCTGTCAACAACACACCTCAATTCTCCTCTAGTAAACTTCCAATCCCTTTTACAATCCCTAAACAAAATCTCATTACCAGCAACCAAATCTTCTCCATAACTATAAAACACAGCCTTCTCGATTGCCCTGATAGTGCCTGAAGTCCCGACAACCACTTCAAAACCACACTCCTTAACTGCCTCAACTAACCCAGATTCCTTTATAACTAACCTAACAAACTCTCTCATATCCGAATTTATACCATCGGTATGGAACTTCTGAGTCAAACCGACATGTCCTAACTTGAGAGAGACTCTCAAGATAGCATTCCCTTTCTCTCCTATAACAAACTCGGTAGACCCACCTCCAATATCCACAACCAACACTCTTTTGTCAAACACAGGTAAAAATTGAAGTACACCCAAGTAAACAAACCTTGCCTCCTCTTCACCGGACAAAACGACAACATCTAAGCCAGTATTTTCATGTATTGCTTTTTGAAATTCAATTGCATTATCTGCTTCGCGCAGTGCTGCAGTGGCGACACAGCGGGTCCGATGGGGAGACACGTTGTTGTACTTGAGAATTTTACTGAATTGTTGGAGACACTCGAGAGAACGAAAATGGGATTCTATGGAGATAGAAGTGGAACTATCGCGGCCAAGGCATACAGGATTCTTGTGGCGATCAATGGTTAGGAATTTACCCGATCGGTCTGCTTGGACTATTAACATCTTGAATGAATTTGTGCCCATATCTATTGACGCAAAGAGATTACTTGATGAACCCATGGAGTTTTTTCCTGCTGGAATTTGTCCTTTAGTTGATGGAGGAAAAACAGAAACAGAGAAAAAGAAGAAAGATACAGATCAAAAGTGGGAGAAATATATATTTATATGCTATGAAATCAGAAGATATATACGGTATGTTTGATTCCAGAAAATAATTTTTTATTTTTTATTTTCTTAAAAAATAGTTTTTTTATAAAATAATTAGGAATAAATCTATATTCCTAATTACTTCGGAACTAGGTTGCACGTACCTATATAGATATATATCATAAATTTATTCCTCTCGTATTTGGTCCTGAGCCCAAGGCCCAAGCCCAAGATGTAGTCCACAAACAACGGACATAAATGTTGGCGTTAAGGAGATGATGGGCTTTGTATCGGCCTAACAAAGGAAACTTTCCCTCTTCGTTCAAGGGGCAAACTTTTCTGTCACGACAGAGAAGAAAGAAAGCATTTTGCGATCTTCCCTACTGTCTCCCCCTGCTCACTTCTTGAGCTTCCTTTTCCTTCTAAGCTCAACTAATCCTCACGTTCAGTATATACATCTCCGAATTTACTCCATTAGGTAACTAATTTCATTTTTTTTTATATTTTTTAAATGTTTAGAGTGATAAAAAGATCCATCAATGAAATATCTTTCTCTACTCAAATAGAAAAATTACGTTATTTTAAAGAAAAATAAAATTAAATTTTTGAACATTAACAAAATTAATTGTAAGAGAAGAACAAACTTCTGAATAGACATATATTCTTTTACGAGTAATCATAATTATTGACCACCATTAATAAAGACATATTTATATTTAATGAAGTTTTTATAATTCAAGATATTTTTATAAAGGTGTAAATTTTTAAAAAGATCCATCAATGAAATATCTTTCTCTACTCAAATAGAAAATTACTTTATTTTAAAGAAAAAAAAATTAAAATTTTGAAATTTATGAACATTAGCAAAATTAATTGTAAGAAAATAACAAACTTCTGAATAGACATATATTCTTTTACGAGTAATCATAATTATTGACCACCATTAATAAAGACATATTCATATTTAATGAAGTTTTTATTTTTCAAGATATTTTTATAAAGGTGTAAATTTTTAATTTGAATGTCTTTTAACTAATTTTTTAATATGTAAACTATGTGGGTTAAAAGGTATACAATGTGAAAGTGAATCGATTAAGCATTGAATGCAACTCATTACGAGCCAAGATTGAAAATGAAAGCAACTAGCTCAAAAATTAGAAAATAATCTAATAAATATGATAAAAAAATGGTGGTTCCAAGAATTTTCTTGCTCATATTTTCCTGGAAAATGCATATCAAAAAGGAATTTTCTCAGAAAAGTAAGTAAACGGAGAATGAAGAGAGCGCCATAAATTGCAAAGAATTTTTGATTCTTCACGTCTTCTCTCCAAACCAACCAATCAAATATCTTCAAAAAAAAAAAACAACCAATCAAATGTTCCAACCAACTAAAGGTCTCAGATGACTGAAATATATATAATCAAAAAAAAGGAATTTTTCTCAGAAAAGTAAGTAAACGGAGGAATGAAGAGAGCGCCATAAAAATTTGCAAAGAATTTTTTGATTCTTCACGTCTTCTTCTTCCAAAACCAACCAGTCAAATTATCTTCAAAAAAAAAAAACAAACCAATCAAATGTTCCAACCAACTAAAAGGTCTTCAGATGACTGAAATATATATATATACTATATATATATATATATAAGTTATTATTCTCTTTTTTTTTTTTCCAGCTTTGATAAAAAGCAAAAAGTGTGCCAAAAACTCAGAGAGATGGAAACTTTTATAAGTATTATTCTTCTTTTTTTTTTTTCCAGTTTGATTAAAGCAAAAAGTGCAAAACTCAGAGAGATGGAAACTTTACAATTACACGTGGCTGACATTGAATGAAAGCGGTGGTAATTGGTAACGCTAAGTGGAACCCGACATTGAAGCTTTACAATTCAACATCTTTTAAATGGTTCGAATTTTAAGCGTACAGATACATAAATTATTCGTGTATCTGAAGAAACGCAGGTCAACGGTATGGTAGTTTTCTAAGGCCAATTGGTATAAAAATACAAATGCAAAAGGCCTAATGTGTAAATTTCATTGTACCAGGATAATTAATGTTAAAATATTAATATTATACAATTAATTAATTAGCTTTCCATCCTTATTAGCTTTGTTTTCTAGAGAGAGAGTGTTAAACTGGTGGAAGCAGGATTCCCTTGTATTTTGAACGTAAAAAAATTGTACATAGACTTGAACAATTACAATGAAAGTTTCATTTTGAATAACACAATAATATAGTGAAAAGATTAACTTGAATACAAGTTGAATTCTATTCAAGATTCAATTGAAATTCAGGTCTAATTCAAATTCATATGTATATAAATAAATAGAATTTCTGCGTTTACTTCAATGTCCGTCACTTTTCATAACCCAAAGCGCGGCCACCCAGAAATTTTGTCTGCAACTTCTACCAACCTTCTCTATCTATCAAGGAACGCGTCTGGTAACCGTGTTTTCTCTAATTTTTCTCTGTTAAACATCTTTAATTACTACACAAATAACAAAACCATCCTTTTTTTTGTTGTTTTCACCTTTTTAATTTATACTGCTCACGTACCTTTCAATCATTACGCGGTTAGTTCGTTACCTAGAAAATCAAGACTTCAACTGCCTTTTTCTAGTATTCAAAACCAAAGTTGGTGTGTTTTATACTAAATTCCAGTTGACAGTTTCTATGTTCTTGCTCTTGATACTTTTGGAGTATCCAAGTTTATTAATAATTTACAATAAAAAATATATTCTATTTTTGGGTTTCTTGTTTTAGCTTTATTCTTGAACTTTTATTAGTATTAATAATGATAATGATATATGATTCTTGACTTTTTTGAGTCATGTTATGCTTAATAACGCGTAGATTTTGGAGTTCAGCTGAAACTTCTATGTTACTTCTGTTTTTTTCTTTTTGAGTTAAAAGTCAGTCTTTCTATCTTATATAAAGCATCCATGGCGGTTCAGTGTTAGTTGCTCTTGCTCGATTGTAATCAGAAAAAGAAAAAAAATAAAAGAAAGAAAGAAAAGGGTTTGTAAGTTTGCAAGGTACATTTTATCTCTTTTTGTATGAGTCTTGTGATGATGCCAAAAAGGCCTTTTCATGGAGATTCTGAAAGTGGGAGTGAAGCTCCAGGTCAAGATTCTAAGCGGTTTAAGAAGTAAGTTCTTAATTATGCACTTAACAAGTTTCGAAATTATTCAATATTTTCTTAATGTTCTTTTGTTTCTTTCCCTTTTGCAGTGCCATTAGAGATGTTCTTGGACTCCTTTCAATGGAGGATATGACGAATAAAATGGAACCTTTTCTTCGCCGAGTGGTAATTATATATATATATATATATATATTACTCTCTTTTCTTCTTTACAGGACCATTCATAAGAACAGCTCATTTCAGCTTGTATTTTTATATTTGAAGTTAGTTATTCTGCTTCTTTTATCGTTAAGGTGAGAGATGAGGTGGAGAGGACAGTGCAACGCTTCTTTCAACCATCCTTCAGGTTAATTCTTCTATCTACAATTATATCTCTATTCTTGATATTTGTTAATAAGGATTTCATTTCTTCTAAAAATGAACTTGAAAATTTGAAAATCTAAGAGTTTGATATTCATTTCTTGTTACAGACCGTCCTTCAATCAAGCTGAGACATCAAGAGTTGGAGGCTTCCTGTTGCGCTTTATTAACAAACCGCCTAGCACCATTTTCACTGGTAGCAAAATAGGAACCGAGGATGGTAATCCTATCAGAATTGAATTGTTGGATGCTAATAGCAATACTATTATAAGTTCTGGTTCTCTTTCTTGTATCAAGATTGAGATTCTTGTCCTCGATGCTGATTTCGGTTCTGATGAAAGAGAATATTGGAATGAGAGTGAATTCAATTCCAGTATTATCCGCGAAAGAGAGGGTAGAAGGCCCTTAGTGACAGGAGGAGATTTGATGATTACATTAAGAGCTGGTGTTGGTTTAATAAGTGATATAGTTTTCACTGATAATTCTAGCTGGCAGAGAAGTCGAAAATTTCGGTTAGGAGTTAGACCTGTGCAAAAAACTTGTGGTGAAATAAGGATTATGGAAGCTATTAGTGAAGCTTTTGTGGTAAAGGATCATCGCGGAGAGTGTAAGTTGTGTGTTGTTTTGTATTTATCATATCAGCTTTTTCTTTTCTTTTTTTTTTTTCTTTTTTCTAAAGGACTAATAGTTAATTTGTTAAACTCAGTGTATAAGAAACATCACCCCCCGCGCTTCAACGATGAAATATGGCGGTTGGAAAAAATCGCGAAAGAGGGTGCATCTCATAAGAAGCTGGCTGAGAGGGGAATTGATACTGTTGGGAAGTTTCTGCAGTTTTATGCAGTTAATCCAGCTGAACTACGAAATGTAAGAGAATCCCCTTCTTTCAAATTTTCTTTTTTTCTTAGCTAAATGAACAATCATCTTAATTATGAATATCCATGTTGGCTTGCAGATGCTTGGTGGAGGAATCTCAAAGAAGACATGGGACACAATTATAGAGCATGCAAATGATTGTGTTGTTGATGATCAGTTATATGCTTACTATGAATGTGAACAAACTTTTGGACTTCTTTTCAATTCTGTCTATAAGGTTATAGGAGTAACATTTGATGGGCAGATTTATGAACCTCTAGATAAACTAGCTCCTCATCAAAAGGTAAGTAGTTAAAATTGATGGAGTTTGTACTTGTAAAATGTATGCATATATTCTGTTTATTGATCCCTCTGCTTAACTGACAGGTCCTAGTGGAAAATTTGAAGCGACAAGCTTATGCTCATGTGAATAACTTCATTCCAATTGATGATCGTGCCATTTTCGGCCCTTCAAGGCCCTTGACATACCCACAAACTGAACCATTTCAGAATCTGAATCCCGGTCTGCAACAACTTGAACAGCCACAGCAAGGTATGAAGCAAATAACATATAATCTTTTCATTATGCAATTCTTTTGTGCAAAAGTAGTTTTTTTAAGCTCATAATTCACATTTTTTCGCTAAGACAATTTGTTTTTTGTGCAGAGCAACAAGAAATGCTGCTAGATTTTAACACAATAGAGAGTGGAAGTCAATTACAATTTTCTTTAGCACAAAACAATCATCCAGGACAAGTATTATCTCAAATGTTAAGGAACAGTTTCAAATTAATGGATCCATTTTCGCCTCCTAATTATACAGGAGAAGCTATTTGCTCTACTAGTTTATCACAATGGCCACTAGTAACAAGCAATCAACAACTAATCCCTGAGGACATTTCTCAGTTTCCAACATCAACATCATCTCCTGCTAATCCAATCATTTTCGGTTCAAGTAACGAAGGAGAAGTTGATTTCTTTTCTTCTTATCCAAGATATGGTGTACATATGTCAAGAACTAGAAAACCTAAAGCAGGATGGTGCAAACTACGAGCTGCCATCAAATTTCACTCTGTCAGGCGTCGTGTTGCTGCAAAAAAGCCATGGCAAAGCTTGTGTACCAACTTCCAAGCAAGCTTCTGTATGTAGATTACTAGACTTTTAGGAATCAAAATGCTTCTCAAGGCTAAGGAGGTAAGCTTAAGCTCTCCTGAGTTCATGAGAGTTAGATAAGTAGATTTTTAGCTGGCTTTCCTGTGTTTAATTTTCTTGCAAATCTTTGCTCTCCTTTCTTGTAACAAATTGCATAAAAGGGGAATGAGAGCTAAAGTCAAAGTTTTTATTTGAAAAATCCCCAATATAAAAAAATAAAAATAAATATGAGATAGAAATAGATGGGAGTTCAATTTGGTCCTCGCACTTTTTCAATATATTAAATTAAATTAAAAAGTAATTGTCAAACCTAATTAACAAAATCTTTAGTTTTGGGCCATTTAAGTCAAATTTTTACCAAAAAATGGGCTCCATATTATAAAATTGTTTATTGACGCAGGCCGAAAAATGGTTGGGCTTTAGGTCCAATAGGCTTTGCAAATGGAATCCGGTCTTAAAATACAAGTTCATACGGATGAAAAATACAAGTTTAATCGCTAATTCTTGAAAAACACATTACTGAAAAGTCCAAAAGATTACACCTTTTATTTAAAAAAAAATTAAAACACACACACACACGCACAGAGACACATGCAACATCAATCAAAATCAATTAAAGTGAATCGCAAAGTGGATGTAATTATGTAATTTCAGTGCAAAAATAAATGGCATATCAAAGTGAATTTTATGTAATTTAAGCATGAATACTATTTTTAAATCTTACAAATTAAATTAATTATTAACTTTTAAAATTACGGTTCTAAATCAATTTGAATCGATATTAGTGGTATAATCAATATTATATTAATATTTTAAAATTGCATTAAAAAAATAGCTTTTAAATAATTTTTAGTATTAAATGCTATTTTTTATAATATTCAATAATATAACATTTTGAATAAATTTTTAGATTTTAAATTAACTTTTAATTTTTAAAAATTAATATATCATGTTATACGTGTAACCTTTTGCCTTGTATCTTTTATTATTTTATAAAAAAATATTTATATAGTTAAATATTATTAAAATAGTTAATTTTGCTAATGATTTTAACGCACGAAACGTGCGAAGACCTACACACAGGCCATGCGAGCGTAATGGCAGAACTGGTAATTAGGTGTAACTTCAGCGTCTATTAATTAAATCGCAAAGAAAATATCTTCGTTCCCGAAAGACGAAAAGGCTCATCAGGCCGAAATCTCTCGAACTTTCCTCCCACATAAATACGTTTCCCTTCTCCAAAAAGTTGCACTAGATATTTTTCTCTTTCTCCTGTGTCTCTAACCCCAAAGCAACAGCCACCACCCCTTTAATTACTGTACGAAACTAACAGAAAAACAGAGCAAGAGCCAAGAAGCCATTCTTTTTTCGGTGCTTCGCTATTGCTATGTGTGTCTCTGAACATATAGAGATCGGTGTTATTTGATTGAGGGGTTTGTGGAGATTGTGGTTTGCTGCTGGATTAGGGATGGATCGAGAAGGAGGATCCAACGGCGGATCTTGCTACTACTCTGTTCTCGGGATTCGCAGGGATGCCTCCTTCTCTGATATCCGCACTGCTTATCGCAAACTCGCCATGGTAATTGCTCTAAAACGCTGTCCTCTCTCACTCTCTCTCTCTGCAATTGTCTGTAATGCTCTCATTCTCTTTTTTTTTTTTTAATTTTCAACAATTATGGTGAAAATTGTGGTTTTGTTTGGCTGTTTTTGTTATCTGGTAATTAAAGAAATGGCATCCGGACAAGTGGACTCGGAATCCGGGTGTTGCTGGAGAAGCGAAACGGCGATTTCAGCAAATCCAAGAAGCGTACTCAGGTAACTTCAGCATATCCCATCTAAAAAATATCTTAACGTTAAAATTTACCGTTATTTCCTTTTTTTGGCGTGCAAGCTAACGGCCGTTAACTATACGTGTGGTTTTACAGTTCTATCTGACCAAAGTAAGAGGTCAATGTACGATGCTGGGCTTTATGATCCTTTAGAGGAAGAAGATGAAGTTCGTACAAATATCTTCCTTTTTTTGTTTTGCCGAGGCTAATCCTGGTTTTCAGGCAAAATAAAAGCGATGTCGTTTCTTATCAGTCCTTGAAGGGTAAAAAACGGCATCGTTTTGGTTCTTCCAAGAAATAGTTGTGGCGTAAAAGATTGCCGCAATTATATTTTAGACTAACTTCATTTTATTTTATTTTTTAAATATTAGTTGGGGCTAAATTATTCAATTTCTTTTTGATTAAATACCCATTCTAACCCTGGAAGTTGTAAAATTTTACAAACAGGATTTCCGTGACTTCATGCAAGAAATGCTATCGATGATGAATAATGTGAAAGACGAGGTATATATTACTTGTTATTATTTATTTATGTTTTATAATTAATTAAATATTACTATTTCAGTGGTTTGGGGGTATCTTAGTAATTTAAATCACTTCGGCTGTATTATTAGGGAGATAGCTTTGAAGATCTGCAAAGGATGTTCGTGGAGATGGTCGGTGGAGATGGCGCGGGCTTTGACCTCAATGAAAATCCAACGGATAAGAAGAGGGCACGAGCCAACGTATCCAAAGGTAATACGACAAAACGCAACAATTCTCGCTGCTGATGCATCGTACTGGATAAAAGCTATGGAGCCCATTGTATTTGACTTTTGTACCAATGTGTTTTTAATTTGTGATGCCCTTTTGATTTGTGAGGGTGGGAATTGGGTTCTTATTGGATAGTTTAGTTTAGAAGACAGTTTGGTGTTTTACAGTTTTAGGCTATCATTTATTTGAGTACTTTATAAAAAATATGTGGAAGCCGTGATGATAGGCATTTGGTTGGTGGAATAAAATTGCCTTTTCCTTTTATTTGTTCATTTTACCTTAAATTTATTGTTCTACATAAAATTGTAAATTTACTTTTCATGGAATTTTCTTCTCTTAATTTTTCTCTAAACAAAGGAAAATATCCGTTGTTTTCTTCTTTTTTTTTTTTTTTCCTTTTTTTTTCTAGGAAACAAATTAATGCATTGCTCATTTTTTTCTCTAATTTTTTTTTTCTCTTATTATCTTTCTTCTTCGTTCCAATCATTGTGTGGTTAGTATATAATTTTTGAATAATAATTTTTTATATTTTTTATTACATAATAAATATTTAATCAGTCTAAATTAGCGGAATTAGAAATTGAAATTATCACAATTTTATAAAAGCATGTAAGGGTAACACTGTTTGGAAAAGGGGAGGAAGGAAAATTTGGGTAGAAAATAAGAGGGGAAAGTTACTTTCACTTGTTTGGGTAGGTGGTAGAAAATATGTAAAAAATGATTTTAATGGGTATTTTCCTTTTGGTTTCACCTGGATGTAATCATTCCAAATTGGAAGGAAAATTGGCGACAGAGGAGTGAAAATTTCACTATTCAAGGAGACATTACTTCAATACCCCCAAACTAAGTAAACTCTTCTACCAAGAAGTACCCAAACTACGACACTGCCTGGTTGGCTTGGCCGGAAACAGCACCTAGTGTTCGCCAAAAAGACAACTCGAAGTGGTTGGCGGAACTGTCGGTAGCAAGGAAGGGCCAAACTGGTTGGCCTTCAACTAGTCTTGTCGAAAAGTGGACAAGAACCACACTAGTGATGGAGAAATCGTAGCGTTTCCTTGCTACGTCGCCGAAAAAAGAAAAAGAGAGTTGCTTTCAAGCCGCGTCGTCGAAGGAGAAGGATCGTAGTCGATTGATTGCATGAAGCTCGTTGAAAAACCTGAAGGAGAGAGAGAGGAGTGAAATGTGGGTCGAAATCGCAGCTCCTCTCACTCACGACACTGAAATAGAAAGGAATGGGAGAGAGAAAGGGACTAGTAGTGTGATGGTGAGGAGGAGACGGCGACAACTGGTTCAATGCCGGTCAGCTAAGGTGGCGGCTGAGAAATTGAAGAGAGAAAGGGATTGGGGCCGCCGAGAGTGAGAGAGGAAGAAAGAAGAAGGAAAAGAAAAGAAAGAAAGAGCTTTTAGGTTATTTCTGTCCGATTCAAATTAGTTTGGTCTAATTCAATTGTCTAATTTGATTTTCATCTGATTTATAGATTTTTCATCCGATTTGAAGATTTCAAATTGATTTACAGATCTGGTTTGGCAATAATAAAATATTTTCTTATAAAATTTCATTATATAATCCCATAGGTTGAAATTAGGGATAAATTTTAAATGTAAAATATATGAAAATCAATTTTTGGGTTATTTCATGAATGATGTGATTGAATGATTTATAATTATCGGTATTCAAGCTTGAAGACTAGTAATTAAATGGATTAAGCATTAACTAATTTTGTCTAACTTTATGTTTTTATGTTATTTTCTTCCATTTTTTTAGATGTAAAATATGATGCATGCACACCTTGCAATGGTTTCACTTATAAATGGTTATTCATTATAATTAATTAAATAATTAATCAATTACAACTTAAGGATAAAATGTGTTATAATGTCTAATTTATAGATATATAAAGGGTAAAAATATAAATTTATAATAATATTATTTTCTTTCCAAACAAAAAATATATATTTTATGGGCTTTCTTTTCATTTATTTTCCTCCCTTTCCCAAATATAGGGTGAAAAGTGAGGAAGGGAAATGAATAATAAAATTAATTCTTATTTTTCTCCCTTATTTTCCTTCCCTTTATTTTCATTTCTCCCTTTCCCAAATATAGTGTAAATTTCTATGTTCGACTGATAATAAATTGAAACTTGTTGTGCATGTCAAAATAATAATTGAAAGTAAATAGTATATAATGCCACTTGACCTGCATCATTTCTGAGGTTTCATGTGCAAAATAATTATATTGAAATTGATTTATCCAAACAAACTAATTAAATTAAGTTTTTTTTTTTTTTTTTTTTTTGGAAGGATCGTAGGTCGATGAATTTTGCATGAAGCTCTTGAAAAAAAAAACCGAAGGAAGAGGAGAGAGGAGTTGAAATGTGGGGTCGAAATCGCCAAGCTCCTTTTCTTCACCTCACGACACTGAAATAGAAAGGAATGGAGAGAGAAGGGCTAGTAGTGTGCATGGTGAGGAGGAGACGGCGACATACTGGGTTTCAATGCCAGTTCAAGCTAAGGTGCGGCTGGAAATTGAAGAGAGAAAGGAGATTGGGGCCGCCGAGAGTGACGAGAGGAGAAGAAGAAGGAAAAGAAAAAGAAAGAAGAGGCTTTTAGGTTATTTTCTGTCCGAGCAAATTAGTTTAGGTCGTAATTCAATTGTCTATTTTGATTATTCATTCTGATGTTAAGATTTTTCATCCGATTTTGAAGGATTTCAGAATTGATTTTACAGATGCTGGTAATTTGGCAATAATAAAACTATTTCTTATAAATTCATTATATAAATCCCTAGGTTGAAAATTTAGGATAAATTTTAAATGGTAAAATATATGAAAATCCAATTTTTGGGTAATATTCATGATGATGTGATTGATGATTTTATAATTATCGGTATTCAAGCGTTTGAAGACTAGTAATTAAATGAATTAAGCATTAACGTATTTGTCTAACTTTATGTTTTATGTATATTTCTTCCATTTTTTAAGATGGTAAAAATATGATGCAAATGCCACCTTGGCATGGTTTCCACTTATTAATGGTTATTTCTATAATTAATTAAATTAATTAATCAATTACAACTTTAAGGATAAAATGATGTTATAATGTCTTAATTTTAGTAGATATATAAAGGGTAAAAATATAAAATTATAATTAATATATTTTTCTTTCCAAACAAAAATAATTATTTATGGGCTTTCTTTTTCATTTATTTTTCCTCCCTTTCCCAAAAGTAGGGGTGAAAAAGTGAGGAGGGAAATGGTAATTAAAAATTTAATTTTATTTTCTCCGCTTATTCCTTCCTTTATTTTTCATTTCTTCCCTTCCCATATAGTGTAAATTTCTATTGTTCGGACTGATAATAAATTGAAACTGTGTGCATGTCAAAATAATAATTGAAAGTAAATAGTATATAATGGCCACTTGACCGTGCATCATTCTGAGGTTTCATGTGGCAAAATAATTATATTGAAATTGATTTATCCAAACAAACTAATTAAATTAAGTTTTTTTTTTTTTTTTCTGGAAGGACTAAATTAAATTAGTTGAAAATTGGATTTGTTGGTTTAAATCATTGGTTTGAATTAGAAATATGAAATAATAATTTACTATCGTCAGTTTCGTCACTATTGTGAACTTTTGTAGCTTTGTCCTTTGGTGTTGTTCATGCTTTTTTTTTTTTTTTATAAAAAAAAAGAATGTTGTTTCGTCCGTTGGTACGGTGAATTAATGTTCATTAAGAGATTTTAAAAACTTTTTTTTTTTTTTTTTTTTTTTGAAAGGACTAATTAAATTAAGTTGAAAATTGGAATTTTGTATGTTTAATCATGGTTTGGAATTAGAAAATATGAAATAATAATTTACTATCGTCAGTTCGTCACTATTGTGACTTTGTAGTTTGTCTTTTGTTTGGTCTGCTTTTTTTTTTTTTTAAAAAAAAGAATGTTTGTTTCGTCCGTTGGTACGGTGAATAATGTCATTCAAAGAGATTTAACTGCTGACAGTTTGCTTTCCTTGCGAAAAGAATTTCTGTTTGTCTCGCATTTGGTGTGAGCTTCGATGGGTGAGTAATTAATGGGGGGGTTAAAGTGAGAACATTTGATATGTTTCTAATTGAATTATATATTGATTGTTAATATATTCTAATATCTTTATTCATCTTTCCAGTAAAAAAAAATAATAATAATAATTTCCAATATCATTAATATGCCTCACTTAATTATGATGTGGGAAGAGAATGAAGCCATTAGATAACTCGAACTTGACTCTAAGCATATTTCGGATTGGACCGATTAAATTTAACAAACTGAATTTGTTCAATTTGATTGCTTGTAATCTATTATTATTAACCTCAAAATCAATCAATAATACCGTTGATAATAAACGAAAAAATAAAAATATATAGTACATCAAAACATAATCTAACAATAAGTATATATACAATATGGTAGTAACAATAGATTCAATTTCGTATCTTCTCATATTGAATTATATGTAATTTAACTAAATCAAATTTTACATTTATCAAATCACATAACATAAATGGGGAAGAAAATTTGAAATTTAATATTAGAACAATGTAACCTAAACTTTGCTTATTATTATGAAATCCAACTTATTTGATTGTTGAAGTATAATAAATAAAATAAATAAAAGTGGAAGATAAAAATATAATATGATTTTAAAAAATTAACTTATTAAGAATTATTTTATTATTATAGCTTATTGTTCAAAAAAATTACAATTTATTAGACAAATATAAATATCATTTTAAGATTGCATGTTTACAGAAAAAAAAAAACTACAAAATTAATTAGTATATAAAAATTAAATTAAAATCCAAAAAAACTGCAAACTTTTATTGCGTGATGGCTAAATTTAATATCAGAGAAATATAAAAGAAAAAATAATATTCAAAGGAAGATTGCTCCATGCAAAATGAGGAAGCTTTATATAACTTTATATATATATATATATATATTAAAAAAACAAAAGTGAACCCTAAGAATAAATAAGAGTAAATTTTATCGTATTTTACCAATTATCCCTATATCGAAATAATTCGCCTCTTTTAAAATATGACCTTTTTTTATATATTTCTCTTCACCTTATCTATCTATTTAAATCTATAAAGTTTCAAACATATGCGATGAGGTAGCATACCACTAGAACATTGTTTTGCTAAATTGAAATTATTTTATATTTTTAAAAATAAATATAAATTAATGAAATTAATAATGTCATTAATATTCGGAATGTTTGAATTCCTTTTAAAAAATAAGTAATTATTTTATATTTCTTCTGATAATAAGTAATAAAATTTTTCAATTTATTTTTTATTAATCAATTAATTAACAATATTGCTTTTTTTATGAATATTTATATAAATTTATTACTTCTTGAAAACTATATCATCCCACTTCTATAATTTTTTTTAGAGAAGTTTAGAAATCCTCTTATCAGCCGCAATGAATTTATTAATTTATCTTATTATTTAAACACATTTAAATTTATATTATGAAATTATTGTATTTTCTAATTGAAGAGTAATTTACTTACTAACAAATTCATTTATTTGAAAGAGTATCTTATTGACAAATTTTGAACCAAACGATGCCTCTGTGCTAGGGATGGAAGACGACGGAGCAAAATTTAAATTACTCGTATCTATATCCATTTAAAATTTTACTATCTGTATCTATTTAAAACCCGTTTAGATATCCATTTAAGCATTTGTATCCAAATCCGTTTAAATTTTTACTATTCATACCCATCCAAAATTCATTTAAAATACCTTTATACGGGTCGAATACCCACGAATTTTAACTATTTAAATCTAAATTTATTTAAAATATAATTTTTGTTAATTATAGATAGAATATATGTGGATACCTAATAGCGGGTAAGACCTATTACCCGTAACCTATTCGTATCTATTACGAACATTAATTTCACTGTATTCATCTCAAATTTATTTATAACTACTTTATTTTATTTATACGGATCGGAGTGGAATAAGTACCCTAAACTACTCGCATCGCTTCCATCTATACTCTGCGTGCGTGGGTTGCATATTTCCTACTTAATTAATTGGAAGGAAGGGAAAAGCCACAAACGACGACGTTGGGCTTATTACCGGCGGGGCAGGTCCCACCATTTGTAAAAGTCGCTTTTTTTCCTCACCTTCAAATTCAAACTCAATGGCACATCCGAAAATCAATACTCGATCCAAGCCTACTTTCATCGGAAACCCTACCCTCCAACGTATCCTATATATACAGACAACCCTGTTTCTCCTCGCTCTTCTCTCCTGAAATCAAAACCCTCAGCACTCTATTTTCTCTTCAAAACCCCTAATTCGACTGCTGTCTCTTCGTTAATCGTTTCTTAGATCCCTCGATCAATCAATAATTTGCACAATTAAACTAAGCAAGTAAAGATGTCGTTGAGGCCAAGCGCTAGGACTGAGGTACGCAGGAACAGGTATAAGGTGGCGGTGGATGCCGAAGAAGGGCGCCGGAGGCGTGAGGACAATATGGTGGAGATCCGAAAGAATCGTCGGGAGGAGAGCCTGCAGAAGAAGCGGCGTGAGGGACTGCAGCCGATGCCGGCTTCGATTCACTCATCGGCTGTTGAGAAGAAGGTCAGTTTTGCAATTCCCTCCTATCGATTGTACGGACTTCGTTGTATTTTACTTTGCTTCCCTTTTAGAGTTTGAATTTGATCGTTAGTGAGGTTTTCTCGAATATGACCCTGCCGATAATTTTTCAAAATTTCGGATAATCTCACTCGAAATTGTTCGTATTTAGGGGATGATTGAACTGGTGATATGTTGGTTTAGAAGTATGTGTTTGTTACAGGGCCGTATTGTCTGCATGAGGTCTTTTGATATTTTGGGGGATTGGTTTTTATAATTCGGACAACTTGTTAGTTCTTTTATCTTTCGTTTTGCTTGGATTGATGGAGTTCAAAATTGATGTCATACTATCTAAGTCATGTTTAATCGTGTTTTATTTTTTTTTAAAAATTACTCCTTAAAGTTCCTTTAATTCTTTTCAAGTTAGTTTTTATTCTGGTTGTTGCCTGTTTGCAGTTCATGTTGATATCTTCAGGAAGCTAATTCCATTTTATAGCTTATTTTAATTGATCTTGCATTTTATGATACCCAATTTGCATTGCTAACTATATTTCAGCTTTTTATTTCCTGATGATTTCCACTATCTGAGTCTTCCTGATTTTTCCTGCTGTTGGTTTTGATACGGTGAATAATTGGTGTCTTGGTTGGTTGTTGGCCTTTCATAGCTGGCAGCTTTTCCAAAATTAGTGATTGAATTTAATGATTGAATTTTGTAATTTGAAGTGAATCATTTTTAGTTCAATTTTGGAAACCTAAAAATGCCTAAGAAACTTATCACTATCATTGGGGCTATAATATTTGGCTCCATTCCATAAGATTGACACTTGACATTTTGATTTAGAGTGAGATTTTTATTTGTCTGTTTGAATTTTTTAAATGGGACTACTTCGTCTTCTTGAAAAATTGGAGAATCTTTTGGAAAGAGGGTTGGTCATTGTGAATTCTGTGGCTCAATTTCATTGGAGTCTTCGTATCTGAGAATTGACTTGGTTTCAGTAGATGCCTGAGGTTTTTAGGTCTTGAGTATGCTAGAATTGGAGGACGGTTGGTACCACTGCTTTTTAGTTGTTGTATTTAGTTAATGAGATTCTGTTGTTTTGTTCAGATGGGTTATCCTTGTTTAATAGTTTATACAGATTGTTGGTGTATACTGTAAGTACAGTGTTTAGCTTTCAAGCAATTTAGGATGCAGGCAACGGTAGTTCTATGTGAAATTGTTGTTTCATCATGCTGGTTATTGGAATCTTAGATGAAAAATGAAGGAAATTGGGGGAACAGTTGCTGCATTTTGTATCATTGAACTATTTGTAAATTGCTAAACAAAACTATTATGATATACCCTTTCATTCTTTATCAATGCAGCATTTATTTGAGATGTAATAGTGTTGTTTAGATCAGTAGGGACCGTTTTCGTCTTTTCCTCCTTTGGTATAAAATTCTCATACGAGTTATGTCTACCAGATTGCTATCCTTTTTGATGGATTTATACTGTGTTGGTTTTGAATTGTTTTGTGACATTTAAATATTGGCTTATTATAGAAAATTTTGATTGCGTGCAGTTGGAGCATCTACCGTCAATGGTTGCTGGTGTTTGGTCTGATGATAGTAGTTTGCAGCTCGAGGCAACCACTCAATTCAGGAAATTGCTCTCAATTGGTGAGAAAGTAGTCTGCTTAATTTTTATTAAGATTGGTGGAATTTCATTTGTTTATTTAATTTTGACATCTTTGCGGTGTCTATTTTCGTCCATTATTAGAGCGCAGCCCTCCAATTGAAGAAGTCATTCAGGCTGGTGTTGTGCCTCGCTTTGTTGAGTTTCTTATGAGGGAGGACTTTCCTCAGCTTCAGGTCTGCCAGACGCCTTCATTTATCCTTTTTTTTTATCCAATCCTTATGTAAGTTTAGAATCTAATAGGCTAAAGTTCATGTAGTTTGAAGCAGCTTGGGCTCTCACAAACATTGCTTCTGGGACATCTGAGAATACAAGGGTGGTAATTGACCATGGAGCTGTCCCCATATTTGTAAAGCTTCTCGGCTCTCCAAGCGATGATGTTCGTGAGCAGGTAGGAATTGTAGAAGATAACTGAACAATGTTATGGCTTCTCCTTTGTTATTTTGGTTTTTTGGGGCTTGTTGTTTGTAATATATTAAGGTGCTAATAAATTGAGCCCTTATTGAATTAGCAATTATGAGCTGATCTGGAGGATGATAAATTAACCAAATTCAAGTGTTGATCTGAAAATGCAGGCTGTGTGGGCATTGGGAAATGTTGCTGGTGATTCTCCTAAATGCCGTGATTTAGTCCTTGGCAATGGAGCTTTGCTTCCATTACTGGCACAATTGAATGAGCATGCTAAACTTTCTATGCTAAGAAATGCGACGTGGACACTCTCAAACTTTTGCCGGGGCAAGCCACAGCCTCCTTTTGACCAGGTTTGTTCAGCTCCTGATGCATTGCTATCTGGTATCAGTACCAGTGCTTATGAAATTTCATTTTATCAATGATGTTTAATGTCTTGAAGTGGGCATGTTTGTCTAGCATTCCCATCTTTTTTCCCCCTTTGTCATGTGCGATGTTTTGTTATTTGCCTATTACTGACAGTTCTATACTTTTTGTATTTTATTATACAGGTTAAGCCTGCACTTCCAGCTCTTGCACGTTTAATACATTCTAATGATGAGGAAGTCTTGACTGATGCATGTTGGGCACTCTCATATCTTTCTGATGGTACCAATGACAAAATTCAAGCTGTTATTGAAGCTGGAGTATGCCCTCGGCTAGTCGAGCTGTTACTGTAAGTGTCAGATTCTCCTACTCTAACCTTTTTGACTATTTTTTTTAGGTTTGTGAACTCTTTTTGATGTCGGGTGCCTGTAGTCTGATTCAGTGATTGTTTCATTTGTCAGACACCCATCTCCTTCAGTTCTCATTCCTGCGCTTCGCACTGTTGGAAATATTGTGACTGGTGATGATATGCAGACCCAGGTAGTAGTCATTCTATAATCACTTGTTTACCACATTTTCATACAGATATCTCCTCAAGTCACTATTTATGTTACTCATCAAAAGTTATTTCATTTTTCATTTAATTGTGATGCTTGTGTACTGTTCAATGTCTTTTTACTGTTCTAATCATAATGATTTTCTCTTTCCAAAAAAAAATCATAATGATTTTTACTTGTAATGGAAATTTGGAAAATAGATATGTTCCATGTTATTTATGACCTTATCTGTAAGCCTTTTTTTATGCACCTCATTAGAAGGATTTTAAACTCAGATGATTTGTTGAATGTCTTGATTCAAGTTGCATAATAATGCAATTGCATAACCCTCATTAGCAAATGTAGTTGACATCTTATTAGAGATAGATAAATTGATTGAGAGAGAATGTAATTATCTCTTTATTATTTGTAGTTGGGTTGGTAAATAAGAGTTGAAAATATTAAACAAGATAGAAAATGAAAATAATTATGCAGATTAACTGCTTAGTAATCTGGCCGAGTCTGAATTCTGAATTTCTTACTTTCCAATACGTTTGTTGATTAAGAAAGAATATATGTAAAGAATATATGTCCAATGTAATCCCCCACCCCCTACTAATTGTGCTATATGCTGTGAATTTTGCTTGGTGTGGATACATACTGTTTGAAGTGGGAGTTTGTTAGTTCCCTTATACTAATGTGGTATGCTGCCTTTTAGTGTATAATCAACCATCAAGCACTGCCTTGCCTTCTTAATTTGTTGACGAACAACTATAAAAAGAGTATCAAGAAGGAAGCTTGTTGGACTATATCTAATATAACTGCTGGCAACAAGGAGCAGATTCAGGTAACTATATATGTCCTAGTTGGTTGTGTTGATTTTGTGGCATTTTTTGGATTCTGACTCTTAAATGATTCATCACAATATCTTACCTATAAATCTTGTAGGCTGTTATCGAGGCTGGTATTATTGGTCCATTAGTCCATCTACTTCAAAATGCTGAGTTTGATATTAAGAAAGAGGCTGCTTGGGCAATCTCCAATGCTACATCTGGTGGTACTCATGAACAAATCAAGTATGATGATGGATTTTTTCTTTTTATTTCTAAAAATTATGCTAGGTGAGTCGTTATAATATAAGATGCTAATTGTTCATAAGCATGCATGCAGGTACCTGGTTAGTCAAGGATGTATCAAGCCCTTATGTGACCTTCTCATCTGCCCTGATCCAAGGATTGTGACAGTTTGTTTAGAAGGTCTTGAAAATATCTTGAAGGTAGGAGAAGCTGACAAGAATTTAGGCAATAGTGGAGGTGTAAACCTATATGCACAAATGATTGACGATTCTGATGGTTTGGAGAAAATTGAGAATTTACAGTCTCACGATAATACTGAGATTTATGAGAAGGCTGTGAAAATTCTGGAGACGTATTGGTTGGAGGAGGAGGATGAGACAATGCCACCAGGAGATGCTTCCCAATCTGGATTTCAATTTGGTGGTAGTGAGATGCCTGCTGTTCCTTCTGGTGGATTTAATTTCAGCTAAATGTAAGTATTATTTTGTATGATTCTCACTCTTTTTTGTAGTACTGCAAAATAACCTTGTGCATACAATTTTTATCTTGCATCTAATCTACATGGTTTACATTCTTGTGATTCATTACGTGCAGGCAGTTAGCATTGTTTCCGTGTCAAAGTCTTTGTGGAATGTGGTGGGGCAGTAGTCAACTTCAGGTCAGATTGGTGTTATGTTTGGGTCTAGTGGTCCAGTCTAAGGTGTGATTGGAAGTTGCTGGACTGGTTCAGGTTTTCACTATGGGAAAATTAAATTATATCTCCGAGAGAGAAGGATATTGTTCAAGTTGTTCACTTGATGAACATCGGATGCGCATATTTCTGGGGATAAGGGTTGGTCTTGGAGGTCGGGCTTTTATAGAACAAACAGAGTCTTTTTGAATGTATCTGTTGTCCTAGTTTTTTTTAGCGTCTCTGCATTTCCTTGCCACAGTTTGTCGATTTTGGCACTCCCAAAATCATTCTAGCGAAGTGCTTGTACTTACTAGGAATATTGAAATTATATATATATTTTCATGTAAGTGTCGGTTGCAGTGATTTTTCTTTTCTACAATTGACATGGTAATTGAATCTCGATTTCTTGATCTATTTTTAATGGTATATACAGCACACTGGTTTGTCCATTGAATTGTCAAGTTCCGATGTTGGTGGAAAAACTTGTCACCACGGTTTATCGCATTTCTTTGGCAAGTCTTTCAGTTCCTCTCATGTTCTGCTTAATTGACCTGGAGTTACTGGTGCCCACTTGATCATCCTAACGATTGTACGTCTGGAGTGAAAACTATAGAGTGGTGTAACGATTTTTTCTCACCAGAGAAGCGATAGGCTTTTCTATGCTCGGGAATGACTAAACAGAGAGCTCAGCAACACCAAAATCGGCTTTTCTGGTCTCAAATGGCTTCACATATCGAATCATGACGCATTATAGTTCAAGTTTAGACTTACCTAAATGCTACATTAAACGAAAATAACTCAAATACCCTTTCATGCAATGACGCATTGTAGTACCAGGGACATGTATTGTTTTATAAATTTTCTAATTGCAAACTTAATTTTTTTTAAAAGAAAATAAATCTATATTTTTGTATGATTGGCAAACATCAATATTTTATTTGGTGGCTGACAGGAGAACCATTTTTCGACCATGATTTCATGTTATCGAGGACAGGGCAAGACTCTCTCTTGTCTTCTACTTGGAGAGAGGGAGAGAGACACATATCCAAGGCTCAGCTTTTGATGAAACATAATTTAAATGCTCTAGTCTAGAGCATGGGGAAGTAAAAAGCCTAATAATAACCCAGTAAGGTCTTTGGATGAAGAGCTCCAAACCATACCAGACCTGAATCTCCTTCGGGCCCTTTTCCCTGACACGTCTTCCATTAGACCATACGAATTTGTATTCCTATTCCTGTTAGGCGTTATTCTTTCGGGCCTTATGTCGCAACATTAATTTGTATGCAGACATAAATTTCAATTTATCAAAAGTTTTCTGTTTCTCGTTCTATCTTGTTCATTCGATTTTTAGACTTTTTTTTTCTTTGAATTATAACCCTTAATTAATTTCTCTTAAAAGTGACCCCACCCAAAAATACCATTTTTACCGTAAAAAATATTTTAGAAAAAAGCTAAAGAAGTGGGACTACTTGCAGCTTCATCGTTTGCCCTGTCCACACGTAATAAACATTAAATTGAACGGAAAAAGTAGCCATTCGTGCATGTCGCCACGTGGCAAACGTCCATCTCCAAAGTTTGGCGGGTGTAGTGCCAAAACAACAAATATTTGCAACGCTTGCAGAGAGGGAAGGGGTTATTTACGTCATTTCAACTGAATCCCCCAACCCCAAAACCCAGAGGATAGGGTTTTTGTTGCCATCCGCCGAGAGAGCAGAGCATTAAGAATACGCTCTCTTTCGGTTTCTCCTCTCTCAGCATTCTCTCTGTTTTATTTCTCAATGTTTTTCTCTAACTTGCTAGCTCTCTGTTTCGTTCTCTCTCAATATCGTTAATTCTTTTGTTGTTCAAAACCCTTTAGGCTTTAGCCCCCTGTTTCTCTCTGTTCAAGCTTCAAAAAAAAGGAATGGTTTATGGTCTGATGGATCTTAGCGAAAGAGTGAGTCGACATAAATATAATCTTTCTAGTTTTAATGGGTTTGCTTTTCTTTTTTTCTTTTCAATGGGTTTTGGGTTTTGATTAAGTAGTTATATATATTTATTTTCACCTTATGGTATTATTCTGGTACAGAAATCATGGTGTGAAGAAAACGGGAGTGTTGAGATCAAGAAGTACTGTACTGATTGCAAAACCACCAAGACACCATTATGGAGAGGTGGACCTGCTGGGCCCAAGGTACACTGTGGTTCTCTGTTTTTTCTAGTTGAAAAGAAACTGCTGCTTCTCTGTTCATTTGGGATTTTCTGTTTTAATCTTCATGTTTCTTGTTTTTCACCTGAATCAGAAATTCACTAATACCCATTTGATTTGATTTTTTCTTGGGATTTTATTCTTGTGGATCTACGATCTTCGGAACCGAGCAATTTTAATTTAATTAATTCGATCAGTTGGATTTTACTGTTAGATCACTGTTTCTGTTGCGATTTTGAGTGGTGGATTGTGGTATTGTTCAGTCACTGTGCAACGCTTGTGGGATCAGATACAGAAAGAAGAGAAGAGCTATGCTGGGTTTGGAAAAAGATTCAGTGAAGAAAAAAAGAACCCATATCACCAGCCTCACAACCATCACTACTAGCTCTGCAAATACCAGCAATAACACCTCAGATTCGAATTGTAACGCTGATGAATTGAAGGAATCTTTAAAGATGAGACTAATCGTTGTGGATGGGAAAATGATGTTTCAAAGATCATCAATAGTAAAGAAACAGAGGTGTCAGAGGAGAAGAAAGCTACGAGAGGAAGAGCAGGCTGCTTTTTGTCTGATGGCTTTGTCCTGTGGCTCTATTTTTGCATGAAGCAGGAAAAAGAAAGAAGAGAAACGGATCTCAACAGTAAACTCTAACCCTACATACCTTTTGTTTGTCCTTTTAGATTAGCGTGCTTTTCTTTTTCTAGGGGAAAAAAAGAAAGAAATGAAATGCCCATGTCCTTGACCATTTTGTTTGGGCCTTTTGGCTTTCTTCTTCTTCTCTTCTCTGTTTTAAAAGGAAGAAAAAAGAAAAGAAATCAAGGGACTGAAATTCCTTGTTAATGGTGATGATACAATGTAGATAGTTTATTATCATCCATATCGTGTTCTAAACTTGGAGAGATTGTTTTTTTTTTCTTTTTCTTTTTTCTTTTTAATTTTCCAACTATCTCAATCACCCTACGTTACATCCACTTTTAATAAGGTACAATTAGTAGTTTTATATTGAAAAAAATTAATTAATATTTCTTAATTTGTTTAAACTGAAAAATAATTTTGGAAGTGGGAAGAGAGTATTTATTTACAAATAGTAGTTTCGTTTTTAGCGGTAAAATATATATATATATATATTTCAATTCATGGATAAAAACTATAACAATTTATTACTATTTCATATATATTTTCTTTTTATCTCAGTGAAAATATATAGACACTCTCATTTGTATTGCATTGGCTTGTATGTACGTTGAGTGTCCATTTCGAACAAAAATTGTACATGGAAAGTTGGGCCCATTCAATTGCTTTCTGGTTCTTTGATCCATGGAATTGGGGCTTTGAAGCCCAACCTGCCATTCTAATTCAGGCCGAATTTGACTTTTGTGCTGCTTATTGGGTCCATGAACTTCCGTTGACCACGCCAAGTAGTATCTGCTTTGATTCATGACCACGCCATTGAGTTAGTTGTACCTTGTACGTTGTGTGTTTGGGCGGCTAACCGTTTCTTCCCCAACTCTTAACATTTTATACATGATAGAGGAGAGAGAGAGTTTCGTGTAGGAATTCACATTGAATTGCCAATTATCACAATTTCATTATCTTGGCTTGCTTTTATATATTCATTTATACAAATAAAAAAAAATTATTTTCAATATATGCTCTCTTCTTCGTTCCAAAATTATCATTTCAGTTTTTTTTTTTTCACATTGTTAAGAAGAGTTATTTAAATTAATTTAACTATATTTTTTATTTTTTATTTTTTCATGTATACTTTTAAAGATCCCTAAGATGGTATATTAATGATTTATTGAGAATTTTAAAATATGAGAAATGTTCAGCATTTCAAAATTTTAGAATTAATTATTTTAAAATACTTTTTCAAAAAATACAAATCGAATTATTATTTTAGAAAATCCATAAAGAAAACTAAAACTTTAATTTGGAGATGAGATGAAAAGAGTTAAAAAAGATTAATTTTTAATTTATTATAATTACGATGCTCATATATAAATTAATAGGTTTGCACATCAATAATAATTGGATTAAAATAATAAATTTTAGCAGTTTATTATTTAAAGAAAATGATTTGATCTTCTACTCTAAGCAAGGGTAAGTGTGATTGCAAATACAAGCATGTTTTTTTATTACGTTTATCCCTTAAATTTTATAAAATTTACATTTATTTATATATTCCTAAAATGCATTTACTTTGTAAAAAGTAAATTTTCCAAAAAATAGGTCATCTTGAATCAATTCCAGTCATTTAGGTATAATTTTATTATTAAATTTTATCCATCACTATTATCATTATTATTGTTTGCAAACTTGTCCCATTTAGAATTTTACGTCTTTAAAAAAAATTTAAATTTATCTAAATTTATAATAAATTATTGAGTAAATTGACTATATTACTCTTAATTTAATATATTAAAACATCAAAATTTTCAAAAATTGAAACGATAATTGTTGGTCATATATAAAGGGTAAACATGAAAAAAAGATTTATTATGTGATAAATATTTTTGAAAAATAAATTTTTAGGAAGGAAGAACTAATAAAAGAGAATATTTTGTTTTCAGGAAAAAAAAATCTTTTACTTAAAATGGAATTTGTAAGAAGAGAAGAGAATTAAGAGAGAGAGAGGGGGTTGTGGATAAACAAAAATTAGAGCCGAGAGAGATGGATCGTGCAGGTGCAGTAGATGCGCAAGTTATGGGGCTCATAATTTAGATCGTGCAGTAAAGTTGAATTGTATCTTCTCTCTCGCCAAATTCTCAACTCCATTGACACCCTTTCCTACCTTTTCTCCTCCACATCGCATAACTTCTCCGTCTCTTTCTCTCTCGAAACACTAATTACATCTATAAACACTCGATTTTTAACTTCACAACACGTTCCTTTCTTTTCGCATTTTGAATTACTTGCAGGCATGTCTCTCCTTCTCTTTCTCTCTCTGTCTGGTAGTTACTCTTTCGTATCTCTTTGGACTTGCTCTCCTTGTTTGGTTCCCGTGAAAATATCTTTAAATGTTTTGTTCATTATGTCTACTATCTTCAACACAATTATTGTTCAAAAAATAATTGCGCTAATGTGAATGGCGCCATTTGAATAAGGTACTTTTAGTTGTTTAAATGATCTCTGTCGATGATGAGTTCAATGCTTGAGTTATTTGAGTAAATCGGTTATTTTTGTTTTCTTTCAACTTTACTAGTTAGCTGTGGTTGGGGCAATTTTGCTATTGGTGTTATTGGTTATCAAATCCATTTTTGGATAAGAGTTGTTTTGGATTGGTATGTGATATAATTGAAGGCTAAAGTTCATTGCTTGATTGATAAATTTGTGCTGCTTTTGCATTTTACATTACTCGGTAGTCTTCCTCTGGTGTAATAATAGTGGTTATTGATTTTTGAAGATTAAGATCTGCATCTGGCATAATTTTCTTGCAGGATACAGAAATAAAATAAAATTGAAAAAAAAGCGAGAGGTTTCGTGTCTTTATGTTCATAACTTCATATTGGCTTCACAATAAATATACATCTCAGGCAGTTCAGGTGCAAGACTTAGAAAGTTTTATATGAGAGCGCTTAATACTAAATTTATAGAATGTAAGATTCACTACATCTAATTTTCTCGTTAGTTAATATTTTCAAGCATTGAAACTCAGTAAAAGAAAAATTATTCTCTGTTGACAATAAAATCGGAAACTAAGATAGATATTGTGGAGGCTTATGTAACTTTATACTTGTCATAATCTGTTAGCCTTCTTTTGGGAACATGTTTTAAGTTTGCTTCTCTGTTTCAGATGGTTTTGCTTGTGCAGTCTCTTTGTGTTGCTTTTTCAGTGAGATTTGCATTCTCAACTGTGTTTTCACATTGATCTCGATATTCATTGGGGCGCCTAAGGTGCTGCTGGGTACATGTACTCTAAGCAGGATCAGGCATATTATATAGGATAGAATGGGGCAAGGTTTAACAATTAGCTAGTAGGAACATTTTTCTAAACAAGTCAAGCACACCCAAATCAACTAATGTTAGACCAATGATTTATTTACGTCTTGTGCATGTTGAATATTCTATTAATCTACAAAATTCTATGCTCATATGCTATAGTTATAGAAACATTAACTTGAAAATGATAATATTTTTTCAGTTCTCTGATTCCCTTGATCTGTTATTTATGTATTCTCAGGTCTAATTGAATTGCTCGTCTGTGATGCAAAGTACACTTTTGAATCTTTCTCTGTTATAGTTCTTGAGTTAAATGAGGATACTCCCTATGTGCTTTTCAATCTTGCAAGTGCCCAGATGCAGAATCCACACCTTAGCTAATTTTTGGCAGGAAAGCTTCCACAGCTTGCATAGGAAATGTGGAGACTACTCTAGCTTTAGGTTGCATGGTTCCTATGGCAATGCGCTTGAAGGAGGATACAGTAGAAGATGGATTAGAAGACCTTTGAGTACAAAAACAAAAGGAACAAAAAAAATCACTCAAAACAGCGATAGCAGTAAATCAACCACTATCAGGCATGAAATTTTGGATGAAACCATTTTGAATAGTGCTACAGTGAATGCAAATAAAAAAGAAGTAATTGAATTCCAAAAAATTCAATACTGTAACATTCAACAGAAGATTGCTGAGAATAATGACTTGTCCAAGCTTGTCACAGTCATCATCTTTGATCTTGAGACTACTGGCTTTAGCAGACAGAATGAGCGAATTATTGAGATTGCACTGCAAGATCTTCAAGGAGGTGAAAACAGCACTTTCCACACCCTAGTAAATCCAGAACGTTATATTGCAAATTCAAATATTCACAAAATCACAAATCATATGGTCTCAAGACCTGGTATTCCAAGGTACTGTTAGCTTTTGATGCTTTTCACGGGGTTCCCTTCCATGATTAAGATATCATCAATGGATCTAAATTTTGCATTTTATTTGATTGGTTGTTTCTTTCCTTTTTATTTTTCTTATTTTTCATTGTTGTTCACATGCCGCATTTGCTGTAGTTGTGTTAATGAACAAGATGCCATGCTAGTCAGGTATTGGCACATAAAACTTTTGAGAACCAATCTCATTTAGCTGAATGTGATGCTCAACGGTCTTTCTATGTTCTGAAGGTTTTTATAAAACATGAGCCAGGTTGTATAAAATCATGCCACCACAATATTTCTAGTGAATTTCTTTCATCTTCATTTAATTTGGTGGAAGAGGGTGAGCCTTGGTGCAACAACAAGGTGTACCATTGAACCCAGAGTCACAGGTTCAACCATTGATTCACCCTGTATTTGGTGTAGTATGCCTCGAATAGCCTTACCAAAACCCATGATCAAATGCGATTTTTTTACCTTTTTCTCTATCTTATATTGTAACTTTTTTTTCTTTTTGGATATAGTTAAAAGAAAAATACACCAAGTAATATCCTGGAAAAGAATTAGAAGATTAGTAATATACAAGCACTGCTTCCCTTTGTGTGTGTGCATGCACATATGATTGTCAATAAGCTGAGTTTGCAAGGTTGAGGGAGGGAGGGCAAGCCCAAGCTCAACCTGACAATAAGTTGTCAAGTCTGAGCAGAATCATATTATGTTTGGGCTGCCTCTGATCCTCCCCATTGAGTCCTGCATAGAATTTTGAAGTCCATTTTCTCCGTGTCAAGGTTCTATTCTGGATTTATTTCTAGAAAATGAAAAGGATCTCTTACGGATCACAATCCTATAGTTGGACTAGGAAAAGTAACTGAAATAAGAAATGGACATTGACAGAAATGAGCATTCCTTTCATTAGCCTTCAGGTCTGACAATCACCCCATTCCTTGTTTTCTTTTCCCCCAATGTACCTCAGCTAGAGGATCCTGAATTTCACGATTGTGCACAACCTACAGATGCCCATTATTTCTTTTAATATATTATTTTTCAATTTACACCAAATTGGCATTTGCTATCTCTTTTGTTGAGGGCAGATGTTCCTAACAGACTAGGGACATGAATTGTTCTTCATTTCTGTCTTGCATGTTAGTGATGGAAACTCTCTACTTAGTTGCATTTAATTGAGCATAACAAAGCTCGCTATTGTTTAATTTTGCTCACAGTTGTTTACCATATGTATATATAGAGTTAATGTTATGTGATATTTTTTTGGAAATTTGTAGGATGGAAGAGCTGATACCTATACTACTACAGTATATCAGAAGCCGCCAAAAGCCTGGCGGCTATGTACTGTTGGTGGCTCATAATGGCCGTACTTTTGATGTACCCTTTTTGACTCAGGAATTCAATCGTCATGGTTTTGATATTCCTTCTAATTGGCTATTTTTGGACACGATGCCTTTAGTACGGGAATGGATGAAGTCTGAAGGTCTTTCCCATTCCTCTACGCATTTGTGTGCAAGCGTGTTCTTTTAATTTATCTGCATTTGCCATACAGCAAGAACTTATTTCTATTTTTTATTTTTTTTTAATAGGATTAAGTTGTTCAAGAAAACTGCAAGACATTGCTGAGAAGCTTCTGATTAAGAAGACTGGACCAGCTCATAGAGCCATGTCAGATGTGGAGCTATTATCATTAGTTTTTCAGAGGCTGACTTTCAGACTGAAACTGTCACTTGCTAACATAGTTGTGAGGTGGTCGTTCACAGCCTTGGATTTGACCAATGGAAAGAAGAAAAGTTCCGGCTAGTTCAAATTCTTATTGTTCTGTAATTTTTTAAGTTATTCTTCTCGAATATGTGCAAGCCATTTATGTTAGTCATACCTGTGTTGGGAATCCCATTTTTTGGCTGGGAAAATGCAGGAAATTTGTGATAGCTGAATAAATTTGTATTTATTTGACAAGAAAGGAAGGTGAAAGCAACATTACTGCTTGGTAAATGAAAATTTGGCAAAAGTTTACATCCATGCTTTCTATTATTTTTGTATTCAAGACCATTAATGTTAGTCATATATGTGCTGTAAATCCCAAAATTAGTTATAGCTGAATAAAGTTGTATGTGCTGTAGTGGAAAGGTGAAACCGGAGTGAAAGCTTTGGATAAATAGGTCATACCTAGTAACTTGGCCACATAGCTTTCGTAGCTCAGTTGGTTAGAGCACCCGTTTAGTAAGCGGGAGGTCTTGAGTTCGACTCTCAACGAAAGCATTAATTTTATGGTCATTTTTAGTCTTCCCTGCATATTATTATTAATTATTTTTAAATATAAAAGACTATATAACATTAGTCATTACAATATATCTTAATTAAGCACTCCCTTTTTTTGGGGTACATAATGCACAGCTGCTTTATGAACTGGCATATACACTTCATCAAAGTAGGTCATCAAAAATGCTGGTTTAAGGCTTATTATCTTGTAAACATATAACTCTCTACTTCGTCAGTGGAATTGCCCCAAATAAGAGACTGCTTGACTGTGTTTAATTTTTTCACTTTTATTATAAGGAAGCCACGAACCTAGTTAGATAGGTACGAGAAATCCACAATAACAATCGATTTAAAAGGACAATATAGTAAAATCACGGCAAGAATTCTAAATTTCAAATATATAAATAATAGGGAAAAAACACTTGCAAATGAAATGCAAAGAAACTATAATTGATTCATCTCATTTCTCATATAATTAAATTGAAAACTCGATACAAACATTCGAAATGCCTCATCTCTCTCTCTCCGTAGAGAAGTATCAGTGAAACAAGGCCACCAACCTCCACGGGAAAATCAAAAGAATCGTAAGAGGTCTGTGACAAAAGAACAGCATCCTCTATACAATTTCCAGGGCATTCATTCCCTAGTCATTAGTAAAGGCTCCTCCCCCATTACAAAATTTTGAATTAGATCAAAAAAGAAAAAGAGAATTTGATCTAAGGTATGAACTGAGGCAATTTAAAGCTTTACCATTTCGGCGACACGACTCCATTTATAAGTGTGTGAAAGTTGTAGGGGAGAGCGCTAAGAATAATTGAATTTTGGAAATTACATATGCTAACAACTCATTACAATATCTCCTTGAGGATTAGTAGGACCAACATGATAAAGCACATGATCACAAGCGTCGTCGCACACATCACCATCCCTCCGTGCTTTTGTGTTCTCTCAGCCTGCAAGACCAATTCATTTAAAGAAACATGAACATATGAGAGAAAGAGAGGCATTGGATCCTATGAGAAAATCGCTAATGAGAATAAGAAAGGCACCTTCTGCAGCTGCTTAAGTCCCTCCTCAACTGTAGTTGCAACATTCTGAATGTTGTAATCTATCCTATCAACAATAGTACCCTGCTTCGAGAAAACTATTCAATTAATGTTAAGTTGACATTAAAAAAAGTTTAGTAGACTTATTAGCACCAGAGGGTAAGGCAGTTTTTGACCTGGTCTATTACAAGTACTGACAAATCCTTCATAATCTGAGCAAGCTCATTTACTGATTCCACAACCTATAAATCATAATAGTTTGAAACAAGTAGTTTTAATTAGTAAAGAAGAGACAATAAGTTACTGTTAATATTAAAAATAATAAGAAGGTGATCACTTGCCTGTTGGATCTCTCTTTCCCTTTCTACTGTGAATGCTTCGCTTTTTTTCAGCTTGGACATTTGATACTCATTAAAGACCTAATATGTCAAATAGATACTTTTTAATATTATACCAAGGCAGGCAAGAAAAACAGACAAGCTACTATGACAATAAAATTTAACTATCAATTATTTATTATTTTGTTGAGCTAATCAGCAAATGGAGCAATAAAATTATGCAGGGCAGTGTCAAAAACTAGCATACCATGTCGTCCAAATTTTCGTCATCCATTCTAGCTCTACTACCGTTTAGGTTCATCTCTAAATCAACACCATCGTGACCCTGCATCAAGAAAGAAACAACAACGTGAGGAAATATAGGATTATATCCTTTAGTAGTGAATAAACCTAAAAGGTGAAATACATCAGTTCCTCGTATGTTAACACAAATGAAGCAGAACAAAGAAATAGAGTTTGCAGTTTTATTTTATATAAAAGCAGAAAACAATTTCAAGCACCAAATAATAAAAGAATAACTCCTGATTGATTGATCTCTCTCTGTCTCCCCCGCCCCCCCCCTCCTATGGATTGATCTCTCTCTGTCTCGCCCCGCCCCCCCCCCCCCAAACAAAAAAAAAAAAAAAAAAAAATAAACCCAGTCACACCCCAGAGAAAAAAAAAAAACTCCAGCAGGCATCACCCCCTTTAACAGCAAATAATGATTAAGCCAACTTCTTACATTTTAATATTAATAGCTGAAAAAAGGGAAATTTTGAATTCCTTTCCAGACCTCTTTTTTGTTGCCACAAGGCGCTTAAAAAAAAAAAAAAAAAAAAAAAACCAGTCACACCCAGAAGAAAAAAAAAAATCCAGCAGGCATCACCCCTTAACAGCAATAATGATTAGCCAACTTCTTACATTTTAATTTAATAGCTGAAAAAGGAAATTGAATTCTTTCCAGACCTCTTTTTGTTGCCCAAGGCGCTTCAAGTAAGTTGACTGTTTCTTTCGAAGTTCCATCGAGAGGTTCTGAAGGTCAGTGGCAAGAGAGCGCTGCAAAAGAAAAGTACATAAACATAATTCAAAGACTAAAGAGCCATGGAAATGATGTACAAAGTCATGTGTACTCAAACGAATGTGAAGTTCAACGATGCAAATGGAATTGCTACGTTTACAACTGACCACCATATTAGGAGCAATCATTAATTTCAACCACAAGTATGAGTGCAGGGTTCGTGGAAGAAGTAATCTAATAGTCTACAAGAAGAACGAAAAGGAAGAGCAGATGCAGATGCACACTTATCTAACCAATCATCCGGGCAAGTAGAACAATATCATTTTGAATAATTAAGGCACTAAAGGTTGTAAATTGAATACATTAGGCAAAAAATGATAGTCTTGAAGGTAAACTTAGCTCAGAAACTCCTAGAGAGTGAAATGGAGATAGCAGTGAATCACTTCACATGTAATGTTTAAGCTACCATTTAGGTGTAATTCTATTTAAGTTCACCTCCAGCCAATTCTAAAATGAGTCAATTAAACTACTAAAGGTCATGCTAAGAGTCATGGCAGCATAGGCATTGATAAAGTAGTCAATCGACTGATCACAATCTTGTATAAAGATGGATATCACAATGAAAATCAGCAGAACTACAAATGCACAGAAAATATAGAAGCCATCGAAACAACATACCTGCACATTTTTTCGCACATTTGAATCCTCAGAAGGACCAGCTGCAGAAAGTCTTTGTAATTTCTTCTCTGATTTCTTTATAAGATTTGTTATCTCTTGAGTTAGAGACTCAATCATGCGTTGATCTTCCTTACCATCTCCAAATGAAGGCATCAAAGCTTTAGCATGAGCCTTGGATAACTCGGTCATTTTCGTGCGTGCACGTTGCACATTTGCAGCTATTTCTTCTGATACATCCACCCAAGCTGGTGGCAGGCCGACTGTAAGTGCACCTTTACTGCAGCAAGAAAACTAAGTTTAATCTTCCACCTATGATATTTTACAGCACAACAGAGTAGTCATGAAGTAGTATGAAGTTATAAAATTTCAAGACAGTTATGTTTGTATTTCTACTCGTATCTACCATTTAGCAAAAACTTCAAAAACAATTGTCCAAAATTAGAGTTCTACCTTCAAAAAAATGATATCACTCCTTAGTGTTGAGTTTTCCGGCTCACACTTAAAGAGGATATTGTAGATTCAAGCTCCAGGTAAAGAGACGTTAGACAATGTTTTAATGGTTTGGCACGCTTTCTACAATGGTGCTATTTTGGTCATCTTAGACTCTTATGCTTAAACAAAAACGAAAACCCAGGACTTTGTAAGGCTGTTGCAGTTTACCCCCTTGGTAGTTAAAAGGCAAAAGAAATGGCAGGTGGCTCCATGGAAATAAGCAAATTGCCAAACCTATAAAAGTTCTCTCTCAATTTGTTGCTAGAATTTCCATAAAAACCACTGTGACCAGTAAACATATCTATCAAAATCAATCCGGCATAGTTGTAGAGCCAGTATAAAACATGCCAAAGCACTCAAATCTACTCACCCTTACCAAGATCAAACTTTTATATGACCACTCTGAAGCTCTTGTTCCTCCTACTAGAGTCAACTTACTTTTTAGTCCATGAGAAGCATCAATTCCATTTCATAAAATCAAACTTTTATTCCCACATGCTTCCCCTTAATACAATGAAGCAAGTGTTCTGCAAAGACATTCACCAGAGAAAATACTGAAATCTAAGTTGTTTCCAATAATTCTGGAACATAGTGCCGTCCTAGGTCCAAAACTTACAAATGATGGGAAAAGAGGATGACTGGGGAAATATTTTGGATAAAAAACCTACAGCTTGAACTTCATTCTCAGATAAATCCGAATACGACTAAAACACTCGTGATCTTACAAATCTCTTCCAAAATGAACTCGATAAATGTACCAACTCAACATTGAACAACCATTTTCTGTACACCACAAAATTATACCTAATTGAACTGATGCTACTTATTTGAGCCACATTCTTTTAATCCTTTCTAAATTCAGATATCGAGTAACTCAGATTCAACATATATGAATTGAACCTTATTTAAATTCATTACAAAGAAAATTCACTTCAGCTTTGCTATACGATTACGTAGCAAGAAAAAAGCTGACAGATCTCAAACTTTCAGAAAGTATATCAAAACATAAAATTCGCTTGATTTAATTATATAATTATAATAAGAACACATACCTCGAATTACCAGGATCTTCGGTACTTAGTGGAGCATAAGAGCGATTTTGGAGAAGCGACGTGTTCACTAATTCGATCACCGGACCGCCACCGGAGCTTGTCGTGGCTGATTGAGTCGATAAACCCGATGGAACCCTAACGCTCTTCAACGCATCTCTATATTTCCTAAATACCAAGGTCTTATTCCTCGTCGCCATAACCAAAATCTCTCAAAACTCAAAAGATGAAATAATGCAAAAAGGTAAGATTCAAAACAAGCTATAGATCTGAAAAAATTGAAGCATATTGTCTCAATCGAGATGGACGTTGGAGGTGTCGCCGTCGGAGATCGGGGGACAAAGCGGTTGGGACGGCGGCAGACACGCGGCCGGCGAAACTGGAAATAGTAGCGTCGGTCGTGGAAGAGTCGTCAAGCTGAGGGGTTAGTTAAGGAAAAATGAAAATAAAAAGAAACCTGTTGGCTGTTGGTTTGTTGGTCCAACTGCTATGGTGGGGCCAGGATTTAGAGCGGGACCGAGGGAGGGTCCACTCCACTCCCCATGGTTGGATCGGGTTTTCGGTTGGCTATTCAAGTATCTTAGCGCCGATGCTTAACCCGACTAACAAAATAAAATGAATTTTAGTTAAAAAAGTAAAATTCCTTTTTTGTCACTTACGAATTTTTATTAATCATATGGATTTATGTTTTTATAAGTTTAATGCATAAATTGGTAACTCAAATTAAAAAAAAAAAAGGATCCTCAATTTTTACGCCCACTTAGCCTCCGTTTGTTTTTGAAAAATAGTTTATCTTTGAAATATTTTTTAAAAAAATATTTACTTTGAAAAATATTTTTCAAATGACTTATTTGTCATTATTTGGTTGAAATATTAAAAATAAGTTAAAAATATTAAAATTGTTAACTTATAAAGTTATAAAATAATAATAATAATATAAATTTCACAGTTTTAAAATTTTATTATTAAATATGAGAATAATGAAAAAAAATAGTAAATTATAAAATTTATCGGTGACCGATGGTGGTGATAAACAGTGGTAGTTGATGGTGAACGGTAAGGGGTAATAGTGACTATCGATAATTAATAAATTAAAAAAATATAGATTTATAATATCAAAATAAATTTGTCAAAGTCTGAAAAAGGTTTTACGCTCTTGAAAATAGGAAGTTATTTTCCTTAAAATGATTTAATTTTCCTTTGACCATCCGTTCACTTATTTTCCTGAACGCTCCAAACAACAGAAAATTATAAAAAATATTTTCCTGCAAGTTATTTTATGGAAATAAACAGAGTCTTAATTTTTATTTAACATCAAATCAATACTTATTTGATAATTAGAACAATTTTAGCATTCATACTATGTTGTCATTTTTTCCTAGTAAAAACACATTAATATTCTCACTTGTACTAAATATTTTGTTGTTGATTTTATCATTTATGTTTAAAAGTTTTTTTTTTTTTGAGAAAAAAAATGTTTCAAAGTTTTTTTTAGCTGATATATATGAATTTATATTTATTTGGACTTCATTCACTTTATAAAAATAATTAGTAATACATTTTATTTTTAAAAACTAATATTTTTATAATTATTTTAAATTTTTTAATTAGTATTTTTATTTATATAACACTACTCACCTTAAATGTAAATAATTATTTTTTTACAAAAAATATGTATATTTCATTTGTAAATCAGATCCATATTTATAAAAATTTTAGTTCTTTACAACTAACAATAGAGAAAATCCGATAATTTTTGGGAAGATAAAATATTAATCAATAGTGTTTCCCTAAAATTTACTATAAAACCATAATATATATTTTTGGATTAATAAATTAATTACATAAAATAAAATTCTTAATAAAGAAAAGTACTGTAAGATAGAAAACAGAGTATAAAAACAACAGCAAAACACGGAAAATACTCTCTTTCCCTTTTCACCGAAATTGACCCACCAGAGCAAGAGAGAGAGACACACACAAAAGAATAGCTCTTCGTTATCTCACTCCTTCGAAGCCCCTCCCCCAAAAACCTACCCTTATCTATATCATCATTTCCTTGGACTCCAATTCCCCATTTCTCTAATAGCACAAGGAAAATTCAAGATCACACCTTTATCAATTGATCAAATCATCACTGTTACTGTTCATTTCCGGTTTCGATTGGTTTCTGACAAGGATCGGTTGGGATTTTTGGAGCTAAAATTTTAATTATTTCATTAATTAAAGAGGCAGCTATGGATGCTGATTCGTGGAGCGCTCGTCTCTCTTCAGCTTCTAAGCGATACCAATCAGTTCTTCAATCGCGATCTGGTAGGCTGTGAAAAAGACAGTTCTTTTGATTTTGGTTACTCAGAAAATCATAGGAAACCGTAATTTGATGAATCCAAATATTAAATATCAGATTTTATTAATAATTTGAGCTCGGAGATGTTTAACCGAGGACTCATTTCTATGTTTTTCTATGCTTCGAAAAGTTACCTCTTTTCAGCTGTTTTGAGTGTTAGATTTTGAATTTTGATCGGTTGCTAAGAATTTAAGGAGAAAGAAATTGGGGTTCTAGATTTTGCTCTTTTTATTTTGGTTTAATTATATTTGCGGTTGCCTCAGCTTCAAATTTGATTGCAGTTGTTACCTTGAATATCTAAACTCGAAAGTCCTTTCTTTTACTAGGGCTTAGGATGAATATGACTCTTAGTTTTGCCTTCGTTTTCAGAGAAAATGAAGTTACAAGAGATGATTAATTCTTTATGAGTTCTAACAAGCAAAAATTTATATATGAACTGTAGTCACTGAAGCTGATATTTATTTGCTGTTGAAGTCTTGAGGTTTCATAAAACTAAGCACTCGTCTAAACTGAGATAATTAGCTTAGATTATTACATTATTGCTTGTTCTAGAAGCAAAGGACTAGGATTTAGAATCTTATTATGTGAGCTTGAAATTCTTTTCAACAGTACTTTAGATAGATCTGTTTGATTTGTGGCTTCTTTCTGTTTTTGATTTTGAGCAAATGAATAAATGGTATGCTTAAGGCTTTGACTGACATGTTTCAGATGTTTATATAAAATGCCTCTCCACTTTGGTGAGCCTTATTGAATCTCTTCCATAATATATGTTTGATCAAATATGTGGTTCTATAATAACTTTTGGGTCTGCTTGCTTTGCTTATCTAAATGGAAGCTTAGTTTCTAAGATGATTTAGGAAGTTCTCTCTAAAACTTGAACTAATTATAATTATTCTTGTGACTTCAGATATGTTTACGGGTTTTGAAGAAATTGATGGAGATGATGATATAAGGGAGGAGTTTCCATGCCCATTCTGTTCAGAATATTTTGATATTGTTGGTTTGTGCTGCCATATTGATGATGAGCATCCCGTGGAGGCAAAGAATGGGGTATCTCTTTTCATGTCTATCAATAGCTGAATGGCTTTTATTATTAGTTATTATTGGTTCAGAATTCCAATTTTTTTATGCAGCATGGTTCAGGATATCACTTCATGGTTATGATTTCAAATTTATGTGTTTGTATAAATATATGCTGAGTGTCATACTGGTACCGATTACAAAACTTTTACAAGACTACAGCTTAATTTAGTCAGCCTTGAATTCTGGCTAGCTCTGTTGAGCTCAGTCACAAAGGGAGTAACATACAAAACTGGCTTCTAGTTGAGAAAAGTTGGCCTCAATTGTAAATGCTTTGCCATGCATAGTAGCGTTCAGCTAGCTTTAATTCCTCTAGTAGATGATTGGGGCAAGTCATTCTGTTTATTTATACTCAGTTATGTTAATATCCTTAACAAAAATATAATTTTTTAATATTTTTACGAGACAAGAAACTGATTTTGCCTACTTCACTTTATCTGATAGGAATAGGCCTGACTACCTGCATAGGCACTTTGTTATTATTGACACTGTGACCCTTGAAGTGTGAGAAATATTGTTGTGGGTTGGATGGGTTAGGGATTAGGACTAGCCATCTTTCTTGAGTTCTTTGAAGCATTGGAGGTCTGTTCCTACTATATATGGATTCATTTAATGGATTTGCATATTTTATGGAAGGAGACTGTTGTTTGTTATGTAATGGATGGATGCTTGTTTCGTTCTAATGAGGAGATGTCTTGTTCAAGGTGAATTTTGATCATGAAATTTGCTGTTTATTACAGGTTTGTCCAGTTTGTGCAATGAGGGTGGGGGTTGACATGGTTGCGCACATAACCATACAACATGGAAATATATTCAAGATATCCTTTTCCCTACAATTATTGTTGGCTTTAAAAGTAGCAAATTCTGTAGAATCTTACAAATATTTAAAAGGGAATTGTTGCTAATAATGTGAATTGTTACTATTTTCCTGCTTATGTTGAAAGGGCCTTTTTCTGTGCATGATGTCTTTGCATTGGGAAGATTTAGCAAATTAAAATTATGCTATTTATCTTCCTGTCTAGATTTTTCACATTTCTGCTACTATTCTATATTTTCTAGCAAACCTGGTGTTCAATCTGGAAACATGTGAACCAAGCTTGTCTTATTTTATTGTTGGGCTTTTGCAAAGAAGTTTCCAAGAATATGTCTTGGCGTAATCCTCTTTTTTAACTTCATGTTTCACATGAACACGTGCTTTTGGTATGTCCAATAATTTTAGGTCGTTTCATACTTCAAGAAATTCTCTTAATAACCTTCTTATGATGAAGAGTTTAGTTTGGAAAAATTTCTTGTGTTAAAGTATAATACTTATAGTTACTATTGCCTTGACTTCCTTAACAAGTGGTTACATGCAGCGTAAGAGGAAATCACGTAAAGGCGGACATCATTCAACGCTTACTTTATTGAGGAAAGAGCTACGAGAAGGAAATCTACAATCTCTTTTTGGGGGTTCTTCCTGTATAGTGTCATCATCCAATGCAGCGCCTGATCCATTGTTGTCTTCGTTCATTTTGCCTATGGCTGATGATTTCACAAGTGCTCAGCCTTCTTTCTCAAATGAAACAAGTTCAGCAAAGAAAAGCTCAGATGAGAATGTTTCAGAGCGGTATGTTATCTGGTTGTACTTTTGTATCTGTATTTCATTTACTCAATCATGTGCTAGAGTGTCATATATGTACGGTAATGATATACCACAGTTGCCATCATCTTTGGTGCAGTATCATAGAGAAAAAGATAATCCAGATAAACACTTCCAAATTAATTGAATAAGAAGGGCCTGAGTGTGATATTTTTGTTATTCCTTTAATAGATGGTGGAGGAAAGGTGTTATGATGCAATCTTTATGGTTGTTTGTTTGCAAAAGTCCAACTGCTTGATGTTTTAAGCATTAAGCTCTCACCAGTAGTGCAAAATTTATGGTCCATTAATGAATATGAAAATGAGTTAGGTAGTGAAGGACATAGCTCTTAGATGGAGGATTGGTGGGAAATTTGGTGCTGGACCAGAAATGCCCCTGTGTATTTTGTGCACAATAACAAAATGGCCTGTGTTCTAAGATACATCTACCCCAGCTGTCAGTTATACCTAATTATCAAGCCATGTGCCATTGATTAACCATTTTAGATGCATTTCTACTTTCGATGTCGCAGTTCTGAATTTTTGCTTCATCAAATGACATGGCAAACAAGTACGCATACATACCCAAGCATTGAGATAAATAACTTAAAGCGTGATAATGTAATGTAAAAGAAAGGATGCTGCACCTGAGATGCTTTCTGCGCTATTTATTAGTTAATGAATTTGGTAGATCAAAATAAAGTCCAAGGGAACTATATAATCTCCTGTTTATAACTGCACTCTTGTCTAGCTCTAGGCCTGGATTGAGGGGAATGAGCAGCAGCCTAGAAGAAGGGGGAATTTGTATATTATCTTCTTTCATTAGTTAAACCTTTAATTGTTTTTATTAAAATAAAATATTCTAGTCTTCTTTGTGCTTGCTTCCGAAATCTATTTGTGTTCCCCTTTCATTCTCTTACCTTTTAGCTGTTTACCTCATGCACAAACAAGAGAATGGTCTCCCTGAGTTTCTCTTCCCTCTAACCAAATAAGTACTTTTTTCTCCTTTTCCTTCTATCACTCTCTCTTTCCCCTCCAGATTTTAACATTGTAGGTATCCGTTGCTGAGCTTGCTATGCTACTGCATCCAAAATGTAAAAGATTCCCGAAATGGCTGAGAAGAGGAAAGGCTTCATAGTGTTTCTTTGGAGTGGATGAATTTCTACACTGCATATTGTGAATTTTACAGTAGACATTTCAATAATATATGTTAAAATTTCAAAAATTTTTTGGCTTATTCATATCTAATATTTTGGTTTTGATGATAGAAATGTCAAGTCAACCCCCCTATCAATCAAGGATAAGGAAGAGAAGGCCAAAAGGAGTGAGTTTGTTAAAGGGCTGTTGTACTCTGCTATTCTTGATGACATCTTATGAAAAGGGACTCATGCTGGCAGCTAGAGCTATGAAATTCCAATTTACAATTAAGAGCCTTACAATCTATGGTTTGTTTGTAGTGAATATGCCAAAATTGCCGGTGTATTAAGGGCAAGAGTGTTGAATAAGGTGTAGGAATATGAGTGTAAGCTATGTTGCATATGAACTTTAGTTGTTGGACCTGAACAGACTTATACTTTCAGGTCTTTCATTATATGAAAAAAGAAAAGATAAATAATTTCTTTTCTAAAATGAATCTCTTCTCCAAATCCTGGAATGACTCGTCTTCCTGATACGCTGTTGCCATTTTGTAGTATAGCATTAAAAATTGGTCCAGTAAAATTGCTTGTACATTCAGAACAGGTAGAACAGATAGAGCCATAAATAAACTTCAAAAATCAGACATCAAAGGCGGTTTTGATGGCCACTCTAAGGTGGTGTTATGGGCTGCACAGCTGGGTTTGCCAAACTGGTTGGCAATGCTGGGATTAGCACCTAACTTTTAATGATCGAATTGGTTTCATTTAACACAATGTCTTAAATGCTTGATTTCAGTTGGTCCATAATTCAGTGCATAACTCAGCACTTAACGTTTTTACCCTGCCCAAAATATTGACCTGTAGTACTAGCCGTAAGGGAATAATAAAAAAGGAATAGAAAACGGTACCACCGATTTAGCTATGGCCATAGAAGGAGATGTCAGAGAGACAGGTGGGTCAAAAGGGTATGCAAGTTCCATTCCAATCATATCTCCCACATTCTCCCATACATTCTCTGTAAACATAACTGAAACCAACCGTCATTTTCCCTTTTGACAAAAGATGCTGCTGACTGCCCTTTTGACAAGGATATAATGACTTTCTGCACTTAGACAATTGAAAACTTTTTTGAGTTTTTCTCTTAATTTATTTTGCAAATCATGTGCAACCAGAATGACATTCTTGTTTTGTCTCTATTACTTGTATAGCCAGTTACCTTTTTGACGTCAGATACTAATATCCAATGATGGTTAATGCCTAATTTTTTTTACTGTTAAGTTTGAATAGCTACGTAGCAAATGCATAGACAGACATGTGAAATTATTGGATTCACACTCCAATTTCCAATCAATCTAATACACTCCTCTATAAATGTGGGAAAAGATTACTGCACCCTGAGTAGCAAATAATTTTGAGAATAAGTATTAACTATAAATCTTGCATCCCAAAGCACAAGACTCCATGAAAAAAAAAGAAGGGGGAGAATCAGTAATAACAACATTATTATGACTTCAATCTTAAAAATGAGTATCGTCATCAAATAAGAATAGAGCCTTTCAAAGCTCTCAATGTCAGTCAATTATGCCTATAAACAAGTTAACCATAAATGTTTGTCTAACTCCTAACAAAAAAGAGAGTGCAAAAGAAAACACTCCGTGTGTCAAAGACTAAAGACCTAAACTTAACCACTGAGGCAGTCTTGTATCCATGATTCTCTTCACTACGTCACGTGCAAATGAATCAAAACAAGATGAGCAAAAATCTTTCATTATACTTGTCTGTCCAGCAATCAATCTATCACCATGGATGCAGATTGATGGCGGTGGCACAGAGTGAACTTCGCTCCTCTTGTGCTCAAGGCCACAAGCAGCTAAGATGGTATGAGTAGAACTCCTTGCAATATCTTTAAAAGTATCGTGGCCTGTGTAATGTAGAGATAAAGCAATTTAGCATTTCTATTAGATAGTAAATAGAAATTCACCTAGCATAACTGCTCCGCATCCAACAACACAATGGCTGCTAAGTATTAATGCGAACTTTTCAAACACTCTCAATCATATTGATCTCAGCTTACTCGTACCTAATTCAAACTAAATGGTTGGGAAAAATATTAGCAACTTCACGTACCTAATTCAATGTCTTGAGACAAGTTTTTCAAGTGGCTTTTAACTATTGATTGCAATTGTTCCTTTACCACGTAGAATTGACTCTCTTCTCTAAGTCTGTGAGGTGATAAATTAACTTCACATGCAATGCCTGGTCTGCTGTTGCATTGATCGAATTGCTGATGGCCAGATATAGAGTTGATCCCCGTGAGCTCAGGCCATAATGTCAAATTGATAGACCTGTCGGTACTTAAAATAGTTGGATCCTGAACTACTTGAGTTCTCAATTGATTTGGTCTCAAAGAAAAAGGATCTCTATTTTGCACTGACGAAGAGGGATGATCATTAGTTTGTAATCTCACATCAAGGAATGTACTCTGTGATGCCCCCATTTCTTGTGTCCTTGAATTTTGAACAGTGGTTTCCCTACATGGATCAACTAGAGAGTTGGGAACATCACTATGAAAGTTGGCAGCTGAAACACCATCAGTTCTGTTAGCCATATTATTCATTCTGCTCATGGAAAGGATATTTTGTATATGACGGTGTATCTGGCGTCTCACTGATAGAGTTGGTGCCCCTCCTCCAGATACTGGAGAAGCTGCCTGTACATCGCCTATAGGAAATCTGGGAGAAGACAAATTCCCAAATCCTTGAGCGAATGCTAGCCGAGGTGAAGGCTCTAAAGTCAGGTCTATGCCTTCACCATTATTCACAACAGGAGATGGTCTATTAAACATGTTGTTTGCTGTCCTTTGATCAGGCAAAGTATCCTGAGGTAGGGAGCTCGAGGATCCAAGAGCAACAGGACGACAGCCATCACAATACCAATTGCCTTCAGGTACCTGCCGCCCAAGACCAACACAGTAGGTATGTGCGGGTGAATCACAGAGATCGCATAGTAACATGAGGCCATCATCCCCACCTTCATGGCATTCTGTACAAATCACATTTTCATATGGATCAATAAAGCTCCGGATTTCTTCCTCTGATGGTTGATAGACCTATATAAAGCATTAATGCAGATCAACAAAATAAGCAATAAATTTAACAAAATGGCTTAACAATATGAAGAAAGAGGAGAGACCTGATCGCGCTTGGGAACTTGTATCACCACATTTCTAAGATCCACTCCCACAGCTGCTCTTCCATTCTTGGTTATTGTATTAAACCTCTGCTTGCACAGAGGGCAACGTGACTCCACTTTTGACCACTCCATGATGCAAGTGAAGCAGAAATAGTGACTGCAGCAATTCAGTGTTCCCCTCAATCTTCTTTTATCCTCTTCTGATAGGCATATTCCACACACCTGCTTTCCCACCTCGGATTTCTCTTCCTTTACCTTCTCCTTACCTTTTCTTGCCATGGGTTTTCCATGTTGGAATATATCCCCATTCTCCTGAATTTTCTTTACAGAAGATAAGCTCCTCAAACCAGTCTTTACTTCTCCAAACAAATCACTAGCTTCTCTCATCTGTTCTCTCTCTTCCTCTGAGATGGTAAAATCATAATCAGATGATCCAGAAGAAACAAAATCTGAATCTGAATATACAGCATATCTCCTCCTCCTCACACCTGAATTTTTCCTGCTATTTTCTCGTACGACCGTATTCTCATCCATAAAATCACCATCATCTTCATCATCATACTCACACCTTTCTTTCTTTCTCAATCTACGGGTTTTTCTTCCTTTCTTAACTGAAGGCTTCTTTGAAATCTTTGTTTTCCTCCTCTTTTTTCTACCTCTTCTAGAGCCCCTTTTCTGCATGCTCCTTTTGCCTACTTTCATGTAATTACTCTTCTTTTTTTCTGTTAATTCTTCATCCTCATCCAGAAAATCATCATCTTCATCATCTGGAGAGAATTCATCATCGTCATCGTCATCATCATCATCACCATTAACATAATCCTCATCTTCTTCCTCTTCATAAGATACCCTTTTCCTTTTCCGCGAAGTTTTACCCCCAGTTTTCCCATTTGCTTTAGAACCCTTGTTATTTTTTGATCTAACAACTTCCCTAAATTCCTCTTCCTCTTCCTCTTCTTCCTCTTCGACATAACTGCCAAAACTCTCCTCTGATGCATACTCATCTAAAGAATTCCCCAAATCCTCTGAATAATCATCAGATGCATTTTCCTCAACTTCAGCCACATAATCCTCATCTGAATCATCAGAACCCTTATCTTTAGACCTATCCCTATTCTTAAAATTTCTCTCACAATTAACCCTCCCTCCCCTTCCCATCTATCTTTGCACACACAAAAAAGCCAACACCAAGAACCCAACTATTAAACCACAAGTTCCAACCCAATAAATAACATTATAAAGATTCTTCAATTCACACAGCTATATCAGATCAAATCGCATCGAAACAAATTCCAATATTCTTCAATTCGTTTTACTTTGTTTCTTGCTTAGGTTATACTCAAATGGGGTTATAAGATTAATACGCAACAGGAATCCCAGAAGGAAATTTTACCTATTTACCAATTCATTCTCGTAACCGATCTGTATTAACAGGGAAAAACCAAAAACAACCGACAACAAAATCAAAAAACAAGAAACACCCAGATCACAGAAATCAAGATGCTGAAAGTTGTTTTGTTATAAATGCTTTAAATTAATTAACCAAGAGAAAAAAATTTCTAAAAACACAAACCCACTAATTAAATTACCATCTTTATCTATCCTTCTGGAGCTATGTTAATTTGCTTCGAAGAAGAAGAGAGGGAAAAATATATAAATAATAAAATGAAAATTAATCATTCAAATCCGTCTTATTGCTAAAACCAAAGCCAAAATAAAAATTACAAAAAAAATAAAAAGTCCTAAAATTGAGGATACCCAAAATCAATTGTTTCAATAAAAAGCTCAAAATATACAAATACAATACGTATATACAAAAAAATAAAAAAAATAAAAAAAAGGAGAGAGAGAATCTAGGGGCAGAGAGTGAGGGCAGAGAAGGGGTGGGGTTGGTACCTGAAAGGAAGAAGAAACGAGTTGAAAACACAGAAAATGTTTCGCGAAATATAGAAATTGCTTTTATGCTTTTTCGTTTCGGTTGTTGCGTTTTTTGATCTTGTCGTTTTCCCAAATTTCATGTAATAAACAAATGTATAAATACGTAGGCTACTGTAATTAGTCTTTTTAGTAAATAGTTATTTACTCCATATTTTATCATAATTATAAATTTATCATTTTTTATTTGATAAATACACTGATTAATCCTTAAGATTTAATTTATTAAATTATTTAGTCTTTTATCTAAAAGTGTAATTTTTGCTATTAATTATAGTTTTACGAAGAAAAATGTCATATCTTTAACTTTGTGCGCATGTGTGTGTTAAACAGTAATTCAATATTAAAAGTAATGGACCGAATAATAATTTTCTATTAAATGTAAATGCTACATAACTAAAATATATTTAACTCTTTAAAGCATATTTAACTCCCGAAATTTTTTTTTTTTTGATGAAATGACGAAATAGCTTAATAAATAATATATTTACCAAATAAGAGAGATAAAATTGTAGTTATAATCAAAATGAAAGGTCATAGTATTTGTTCGTTTTTAATTATTGGATAATTGAAGAGGGAGGCTATTGCTTATTTTATTACTCTCTCCGTCTCAAAAAATAGTCCTTTTTTTTATTTGGCTTAAAATATAAATCGCTTTTTTTTTTTACATTATAATTAATTCATAAATTGTCTACTATATCCTTATTAAATTTTATTTTATTTTCAATAAACCTCGTTAATCTTACTTATCACATCAAAATAATAGTAATTATTCATATATTATTTAAAATGGACGTAATAAAAAAATTATATTAATAAATTTGTCTTCTAATTATAATAATTGTTATTTTTTAATATATATGAAAATTGAAAAATATATTATTTTTTTGGACGAAAAAAGTAAAATAAAAAAAAAAGAAAATTAATTGAAAATGTAAATCATATAATATCAAATAAGGATATTATTGTGAACGTTTAATAATACCAATGGCGTACGCGATTTCGCGACCTCATCGATGATTCGCTCTGAAATGACCAAAATGTCCTTTGAGATTGGGACATTGTCTCCAGCCGATTTAACTGTAATTTGACTTGCATAATGTCAAATAATTTTATTATTTCCCAAAAATAGAACGGCTTCAATGTTACTGTTAGCGCGCTTACGAGGAAAAAATAAAAGGCATCACGTAATTTATAAGGTTTTATTTTAAAACTAATAAACAGAATAAACAGAAGAAAAATAATTTACAAGAAAGGATAATCAAAAAGTTTAAAATGAGATTAAAAAAATTATCAACTGTTAAATTTAAAAAATTAACTACTATTATACATACAATTTTAAAACTAAGACTAATAATATTTATTTTTATATAAAATTAAATTTATAATACACCTTCATTTATCAAAATAATTATGTATTCATAACGGGTACCAATTCAGTGAAATTCACCTATTAACTAAATTTCTAAATTAAATCATAGTGGTCAATTAATTTTAATTAAAATAAATACTTTTCATCAATTAATTGAAGCATGTAATTTTTTTTTTTTACGTAAGCATTAGGTTCATGTCATTTTGAAGATACCTAAATTCATAGGTTAATCATTTTCCCTTTCAAATCAAAATCATTAAAGATATTTTACTTTTGAGCTTTTTTCTATCATTGGCCGTAGATTGCAAGATAGACATTTCCATAAATATCCATGTTGGCATATTTAATAATACTAGTCTTTTTTATGATGTATATTGTACGTTATAAAATGCTCGTTATATTTTCACTTTTTAAATTTTTTATTTATATAATATTAAAACATAAGTTTTTTTAGATGAAAATAAATACCATGGTTAATTTGTATTAGATTTTGTCACATAAGCTGTTTGCAATGTTATTTTTTATATACTTGATTCTATTTTTATATAGTAAAATGGTCTCAAAATAAAGTTCAATCCAATCTTAATACCTAATTCTTCAGTCATTAATTTATAAATACAAATTCTTAAAATCCTGATAAGTGCTTAAAAAGAAAACTAGGTTATCACTCAATCCTAAACCATTTGCCTTCAATCCTATATAGCTAGAATGAAAAATAATAATAAACTTTTTTTTTTACTAGTAGGTAAAAGAAAAAAAATGAGAAAATGATCTAAATTAATAATGGTAATCATTTTGGTTATCGTGACAGTACTGCTAACTCAGTACATTGCAGAAATGAATATATAAACATACGCACAAACTCTTCAAACTCAAAACAAAAATATATAGTTCTAATTTTTTTCAATTTCATAAACACTATTTTCTTTCAAGTCAAACATATTTAGGATATAAAAGAAATAATATTAAAAAAATAAAAAATGCTTAATGAGAATGTCATCTATTTATTACAAGGGAGATATAAATCTCTTACTAAATTAAAGTGATAGTAAGTACAAATTAATCCAATAACGAAAAAGAAAATAAAAATAAAACTTTTTTATTAAGAATAAAACTCTTTTAAGAATTTAACATATAACAAGAAATAAATTATATTAAAAAATTATCAATATAAATTTCAAAAATAACTCTGAAAATGCTACAATTTAATTAAATTTGATTTTGATGGAGAAAAATAAAAGTCAATCAATAAATGAAAATTACAAAGTAAATTATGATGGGATCCAATATTGGTCAGCTAATGAGTTAATTCAAGCATTTTTTTTTTTCGATTGTTCTAAGTTGTAAATTTAAAATAAATAAATAAGTTAACCAAATAATAAAAAAATATTACATAAAAAAATATTATATCCTCTCCGAATAAACCCATAATTTTTTCCTACAATCATAAAAAAAGAAGAGTATACTTTTTGTTTTTATTATATATATTTATTTATTTAAAAATTAATTTTTAGAAATTATATCCAATCAGATAATAAAATGTAATTTTTTTTTCATCTTAACCACAGGTATTTCGAGCCCACTCGGCTAGAACTAAATTCTGCTCACACAAATCGTCCCAAGAGAGATAAAGTGCTCTAAGCAAATATTTTCTCCATCCATGAGAATCGAACGCCCAACGTCATCTAAAGGAAAGAGTGTTGAACCACTCATTCAAATACTTGTTGGTAAATGTAATGTTCAAATTAGCCATGATTAAGGCTATTTTAGAATATTCTAGATTTTATTGAGGACGATATCGAAAAGCCAATTATTTATCCCTATTCTCACATTTATATATAGTATAGATAATACGATCTTCCCATCAATGTGGATTTTTTTTTTTTGTTAATTCAAAAAAATTCCTAATAAGCAATATTTCCATTTGTTTGAAAAAAAAAAAGAAAATACCGAGAACCATAATTTTTTATTTACTTATAATGCAACATTAAGAAAAAAACATTTACTTTCATATTTTAAATATAAAAATTTACTATATTTAATTTAACTTATGTATAAATTAAGAAATATAACTAATATGGTTATAGTATAACTTCTACTTTTTGTCTCTCTATGTCCTAGTAATTCTTTTTATAAACTAGTTATCTATTTTAAAATTTGAGTAAAGACGAATATTAAATATGTATATATTATTTCAGTCTAAAAGAAAAATAAAATTATAATATCAGAGAAATAAAAAGGACAGTGAGTTATTTTTATGAAACGAAAAATTCAAGTATTTTCTGACGTAGGGAATCTGAATGTCAAATTGATGAAAAAATATAAAATATAAAATAATTAAGTTTTAAGCAATAATCGATAAATTTACGCGAGAAAATCATAATTAATTTTTTATTAAAATTAAAGTATAATATAATTAATAAATAGAAACAAAAATATATTAAACAATATAAAAAAAAAAAAAAAAAAAAAAAAGAGTTATTTTATTGAAAACGAAAAATTCAAGTAATTTTCTGACGCCTTAGGGAATCTGAATGGTCAAATTGATGAGACAAAATATAAAATTATAAAATAATTAAGGTTTTAAAGCAATAATCGATAAATTTACGCGAGAAAATCATTAATTAATTTTTATTTAAATTAAAGTAATAACTATAATTAATACATAGAAACAAAAATATATTAAACAATATAAAAAAAAAAAAAAAAAAAAAAGATTGTAAAAGTAATAGTGCTATAAAGAAATGGGAAGAGAAGCATTGAAACCAGTGAAAAAAAAAAAAAAAAAAAAAAGAGTAAAAGGTAAAGTGTATAAAGAAATGGGAAGAGAAGCATTGAAACCATGTGTTGGACCATATTTTTATTGCCAATTACAATGATAAGGTACATTGGCAACCAGCATCAACGAAATGATGTTCTCTGTTGATCGGCCATGAGAGACATCAGAAAAATCAAATCAAGGATCTAGACCGTCCATTAGAAACCACGTGTTGTATTTTAGAGAAAGGAGCGGTGGATGTGTCGGCACACAGCACGCGGCACCGTTCACAGATTTTTCGGAATTTGTTTGTTTGTATACTGTGAAGGCCCCACATAGATGTTACTTGCCATATAAAATTTCATAATTAACAATAAGGTTTAAATTAATAAATAATAATATTTCATTTATTGTTTAAATAATATTATTTCACTAATAACATCATCAATTATTTAAATAATTATTGAAAAAAAAAATCCTCAATAAAGCTCAATACTGGTATAATGGTATTAAATATTACTATTAACTCAAATGATTATTAGAGAAAATGTTAAAATTGGATAATTTAGCATAAAAACAAAAATATTATTTTGATTTCATTATGTTCTAGAAGGCATCAACTCAAATCTTCATATTTTGACCTTTCCTCTCAAAATAGGAAAAAAAAAAAGTTCCATAAATACAAAAATCAAACCTTTTTAAAAATTTATAATTTAATAATCTAGGCCTCTAAATAGAAACATGATGTGACTTTGGAGAGATTTCCATTTCCCCTTCAAATTTTAGCACTTTCGTTAATTTAGTCTTATTGCTTTAATTTGAAAT